TATCTCAAATAGCATTAATATCCTGTGTTATAGATATATTATATTTTTTCTCCTTCTTTCTCTTTAGAAAATACTAATAAGATATCTAATTATATAAAGAAAATAAAATTAAAAATAAAACTAGAATCTAAAGTTAAACTTACTGTGATGGTAGAATGCACTGACCATGATGATGATATTATTTATATATATAATGATTCATCATACTAAGTGATGATTCATTATGCATGTTCTATTATATCATGCATGCAAGCTCAGACCTACTCGCATCCTGTATTTAAAGCCTACCTTGCAGTCTCGAGGATTTCTTTCCTCCTGCAAGTTCAATATTCTTACAATATAGTCAGTTTACCACTAGAGGCTTAACTCTAGCCTAAAACGACAGCCCTCATGACATCTAGGTTCTATTAATAGAATTCTTGTCACTTTTTCCGATAATTAAAATATACTTTTTCCGATAATTAAGATATATTACTAGCTCCTATAAGTTATCTTTTAACCTAAAGTCGAGCTATTTAATTAAGTACTCTAGCCTTTTATTAGCTATTTATAAGTTTAAGATTCCTTTAACATTCTATTCTTCTTTTCTATTCTCGGTTTCGATATTCTTTATAATCTAACGTACATTATCAGCGAGTCGTACATATTAGCGGGTTGTACACTTCTCTACACAACGCGCTACCTCTACACTTAACACTGATTTTCTCAATAACCCAATATACTCTCTACTTCAAAGGAAGCCAGAGTAATCTTGGCACTAGAGGCCCTTTAAAATGACGAAAATCTAAGCCTCCGAGCCGCAGCTAAGCTCTACAATGTACTAGCTATAACTCTCTCTAACCGACGCGCCGGCCGGCCTGCACGACGCGATCTTCTAGCCAACTCGCGTAAGCTCACCAATCTAGAAGAGAAGGTGATAGTTCAGTATGTGATTGAGCTATCTGCATGCGTATTCCTACCTAGACTAAGTGGTGTGGAAGATATGGCCAACCATCTGCTACGCGAACGCGGCGCGCCCTCTCTCGGTAAGCTCTAGGCGCATCGGTTTATTAAATGCCAGCTAGAGCTCTATATACGTTATGCCTGTTGATATAATTACTTGTCACGAATTAACCAACGGCAGGCTGCAGGGCAGACGGCCGTATGTGGGGACGTAGGGGCATCCTAAGCCAATCATTTGGACAATCAGGCGGACCAGTCAGAGACAGGTAAAGATGCTAAGGTGCTAATGTCGCTGAGCACTCTGCAGGACATAAGTGATCAGAGTGATCAGGGGCATATCACGATGAGCACCCCGGTGCTCATCCAAATCGAAGCATTGAGCACTTAAGGAGATAGCTAGTATATAGTCACTCGTTCTAGAGGACTCTGGGAGTTCTCCAGTAAGCAATACAAACAGTAGAGTAGCCCTACCTTACTGTGCAGACATTGCGACTAGCATTGTTGTGAACCTTTTAGCTTCACCGAGACCTATAGTCCGACCAGCAGATACCTTCGACCGGCGAATCCTTTCAGAGGCAAGACTGCCTGTGGTTTCGTCACATTACTAGAGGGCTAAGTGCGAGGATCTAAGGAATATTGGGGAGTGGTTTGCGCTTGTACGAAACACTAAGGCCAAGTATAGCATTGTAGATGACGATATCTATAACTTTGACGAAACTGGGTTTATAATGGGCATGATCTGCCTAGGCATAGTAGTTACAACCTCAGATGGCTTTGGTAGGGCTAAGCTGGCCTAGCTTGGCAACCGCAAATGGGCAATAGTAATCTAGGGAGTTAATCCTCTTGGCTGGGCCATCCCACCCTTTATCATGTTAGCTGCACAGTACCACCTCGCTAACTGGTATACCGAGTGCAACCTCCCAGCAGACTGGCATATTATAACTACCGACAACGGCTGGACTACTAATACGGCAGGCCTAGATTAGATCAAGCACTTCGACTTCTATATAGCACCTCGTACAAAGGGCAAAAAGCGGTTGTTAACCCTCGACGGCCACGAAAGCCACCACTCTACCGAATTCGAGCTCTACTACTAGGAGAATAACATCATCACGTTTTGCATACCTCTATATTCCTCCTACAAGCTCTAGCCACTCGATGTTGGCTGCTTTAGGCCGTTGAAATAGTCATACAGTCGCCAGATTAAGGACTTAATATGCGCACATATCAACTACATCAGCAAGCTCGAGTTCCTCTGCGGCTTTCGTAAGGCCTTCTTTACTTCTATGATAGAGAAGAACATATAGAGTGGCTTTATAGGGGCTGGCCTAGTACTATACGATCTAGAGAGGGTCCTTTCTACACTAGACGTAAAGCTTCGTACACCAATACCTCTAACCTCACGACCTAGCACTGTATAATCTTAGGTCTTTCAGATACCATACAACCCCCGAGAAGCCGAATCATAGTTAATACTTATCAAGACTCGCATTGCCAACCATCAAAACAGCTCTCCAACTTCAATATTAGGTGCTGTAGATCAACTTACTAAGGGTACGATGGCTATAATGCACTAGGTGGCCCTCCTTCGATTAGAGGTCTCTTCGCTCCGCAAGGCCAACGAGGCACTAAGCAAGTGCCGGAGAGCCAAAAGAACACGCGTACAGCTTAGAGGATCACTTGCTGTGTAGGAGGTACAGGAGGTTGCGGAAGCCTCAGATTCAGCTGTTTCTGATGTAATTATTGTTAGTTCCTAGTGTTGTTGTTTTGTAATTGAGGATATTGTTAGTAGTGTAGTGGAGAGTGTTCGACTCGCTTATATGTTCGGCTCGCTTATAATGCACGTTAATAAGACTAAAAGGTATAAAGGGATAAAGTAAGAGAAGAGGACGAGAAGTTGAATAAGGATAGCGGCTCATACTAAAGCAGTCCCTCCAAGATTAGGCTAGACATCTCGGAAGACAGTAAGACTGTCCCAGCTAATATTTACGTGCTCTATAATAATAAGGAGTACAACCGATACTCCTAGTGTCTTATCATTTATCCTACTAAGAAGGCTGGCGAATACTACCAAATAGGCATCTTTATATCGCGTGCTGGTAAAGTAGGAGGGATATATCTTTTCAAGTACCTGGAAGACCGAGTTATCAACATCATCTGAGTTCTGATTAGCTGCAAAATGGTAGATAGATCGGACTTTAGGGCGAGGTTTCCCTCTAGAACTTCTCGCCTCTTTAAGTCCTTATACATTCTACTGAGACGTCGCTACCAGTGTGCTCAGGATGCAATGCCTCCTGTGGTTCCGACAGTGAGTCCCAACACCCAATCCCGTCAACATACTAGGTTCAGTCCTTACAGCGTAGGCAGCGGGGCTGAGGCCCCAAATGATACAGAAGCCCTTTCCGTGGATGTCGCGGCTGAGCCTATAGAGCTTCGGGCCGAGTGTCGGGAGCGGAAAGTAGGTAGGCTCCACGAGGTCAGGCAGAGGTCAGCGAGACGAGCCCGGCACATCAGCTTGGCGGTGGAACCGCTTATACTCGTACCTCTCAAGGGCAGCCCTAATCTCGCCATGATGCACAGAATCCAGAACTAGGATGTGCTCAGACGTCTTACCAAAGTCCGAACCTGTCCAAGCCAGCTTGTCATTGAGACAAGCCATCTTCGAGTGATGGCCAACTACCCTGATTGGACCGAGGTCTCGACGGAGAACGCGGAGATGGCGGCGACTGTGGAATCACAAGACGCGGCCTGCCATTTGCATCCCCGAAATGCGGTTGCAGCAAATCGAGAGTCTGGTAGTACAATAGAAATTATATCTTGGCTGTACTGTGACTTTAGCTGCTTTTCAGTTTAGGGGCTGTAAAGTATCATGCTAGGATTGTTTTCCCCGGAATAGGTATACAGGGCTACAACGGCGATCTTCATTAGACTCCGGCACCCGGAGAGTCACTCTCCTAGTTTAGACATGGCTGTTATTACATGCCCTCACCTCCTCATCTTGTTTGATCAAGGGCAATGCGCTGAGCGTGTTATAGCAACAACGAACGTTGCCGCTCGAAGCAGTACAAATGACGCACGGGAAGCTGATCACTACCTAAGTTATATCTACGCTATTAAGTAGCAGATCGCAATATTGGCCTATAGGATCGCCGTGAGCGAATCCGCTACGCATTTGAAGTGAGTTTAGGCCTGTCGATCCTGGTCTTGGCAGCACTCCTCTCCGCTCCAATTTGCTTTCTCTGGCGCTAATATGGAGGGGTAGTGCACACCACACCTCGTCTTAACATCAATCGCCGGGGAGGCGCTCCGTTCCACCGGGTCGGTTCCCTCCATACGGGGCATCAACGGCGGCCTCCTGTTGGAAACCAACAGTCAGACACCGCGATGAATTTGGCTGAACAGGGTAAGGTAGGCTAGTTGTGCTCGGTTACAACGCAACAGTCAGAGGGAACGAGTATGCAGTGATACAGAGCAAGACTGATCAATCCACGCGAGCAGTAACTAGATGTGTTGTCTCTTGGTGTTCTCTGTGTTAATAGGCATCGGCCCAGGTGCCCAGTAATATAGCCCCAATGTGTGAAATCTCTGCGAGTAAGTCCCTGTTTTAGCTCTGGCATGTTCGACAGAGCCATCCATGCCCAAGGCGCCAAGTGCCCACTTAAGTATGGAGCACTGGCGCTCTAGTTGTCTATGCGCGCCATGTCAGGGTCATTTAGCCCGCCCAGAGCCTTTTGCCACTGGGAAAAGGAAAACTGTGGCTGGCAGAAAACCCGCTTTCAGAAGAGAGATGAGACCAGAGTGGCGTAGTCTTCGAGTCATAGTTCGGGGGCAGGAAAGCCACCAACCTTGCTCAGACGTCGACATATCATTTGCTGTTGCGTTCCGGTGATATCGCGCGAGACTTATCTGAGCAATCTGGCTCCTCCAAAGCGTGTTTCATCCATTGCCTGATCATTGCCTGCTGTCTCGATGGGATATTCTATTATCGCGAGAGTACGCCCGAGATATTATCTCGTTTGGCAGAATTGCTCATCATCCCTTTTCTTACTCTTTACATAATGTCTTCTCTGGACCATTTAGATTCGCGGACACCGCTACACAGGGCCACCCCCGACCCCAAGAATTCTGACACAATGTTACGGATCATTAACATTGTAACGGCATCGCTCTGCTCGATAGTGGTGTGTTTCTGTGCAGGCCTCAAGCTATATGCGCGATACCGGCTCAGGCCCTTTTGTCTGGATGACTGTAAGTGCAAGGAATGACAAAGACGGGAAGGCTACAAGACTGATTCTCAATAGGGCTTTGCCTGGTTGGATGCGTATGAAGTTTAAGCGCTCAGAGGTTTTCCCGACGCTGACAACCTTCAGATTCTTGCTATTGGTTACTTTGCCATAGCCCTTACGAGTACAGCCTCCCCTCGCCAGCCCCATAGTGATGGAAGACTCTAACTGTCTTGGAAGTTTCCAAGTACGGCGGCGGCATCCATAAATGGGACGTTCCAACGGAGGACATTATGCCTTTCTTGCAGGTCAGTACACCATTATAAACTGGAAGTGGGCCTTGCCAGGGACTGACACGGGGTCTAAAAACAGTGCGTGTATGCTATGATGGTGAGCATACAGACTGCCTGGTCAGCTTGCCCCCTCTGATCTCGTATAAAACAGGTCGTGTACGGTCCATGTGCCGTCTCCATTAAGGCATCCATTCTTCTCTTTGTCACTCGCATTTTCAAACCTCTGGAAAGGATGGTGCTCGTCATCAACATCTTTCTCGTGATGATGTTTTGCTACTATTTCATCTTGTTGTTCATCAAGGCCTTTATTTGTCGGCCTATCGAGCACTTCTGGAACCCGAATGTGGATGGCACATGCTTCAATCTGCGCTCGCTGATTCTCGCAGACGCAGCTATTAGCGTCGTCAGCGATATTGCTATTCTACTTATTCCGTTCCTGATGACAGGTTTCTTGCAGTTGCCACTGAAGCGGCGGCTCCGGGTCGGCGCAATTCTTGGCGCAGGCGGTATCGCGTGTATATGCAGTGTGATCAGACTAGCGGATATTGTGAAGAACGGACAGAGTCACGACATAACCTATGTGTTTGCGAAGATCAATCTCTGGGGGTATTTGCAATATACTTACTCTTCTTGGCGTCATTTACTAACGACACCTGCAGTCTTGCCGAGGTTACAATTGGTGTCATATGCGCCTCCCTACCGGTTCTTCCAGCGCTCCTCAGACGCAAAGGCACAAACTCCTCAGGCAGAACACCATACGCGTTCGGCTCAAGCTCGGATAGGATTGAAATGCAACGAAGCAGGCGTGGCATGCCGACTACTAAGTCCCGAAAGCCACTTCCAGGCAACGCATCTGATGAGAATGTCCTCATTACGGACCGGAATTATTGTGCGGGAAACGTGGAAACATCCATTCACGGCAACGACTCGGGAGTTTTTCCATGTTCCTCCGTGGAGGACCAGGGTATTATGAAGATCGTGGAAATTAAACAGACAATGAGTCACGACCTAACCGCACCCGAAGCCAGCCATTCGCAATCAGGGACCTTGGACGGTCGGATCGCCGAAATACCGTGACGCTCGGTGTGACTGACAGCTCAACATTTAGCTGACGCGACGGTTACTCGGCAGAACAAGCGGCTTGTGTATATAGTTCGCCTGGTCCCGAAGTGAAAGAGCACGGTGGAAGTGTTAGGGGCTAGAACAAGGGACAGGCTATACAAAGAACTTGCATGCTTGACTTACACAGTTAACGTCACAAACAAGCCAAACCTGTTGAATATTGCCATACCATTCTGCTTCGTTCCTCAAGGCTCTTTAGGCACACCGCTTGCGGTTTGCGTCTCCTGTTAAGGACGACAGGAATTTCAGATCGACGACAGCATCTCTGGCGCAGAAGAGCCCACATTTGCTGGTCGTTTTCCGACCAGGAAGTCTGGGTCCTATATGAAAGATCTCTGCACGTAACGCGCTAGCCTCGCAAGCCTGTATGCCCCCCGTAGTTGGTCTGTCCTACTCCTTCTTTATCGTCGACCCCCATCCTCTTCTTCAAAGGGCACAGGCAGCAGACAGTGCAGCCGCCTTGCGAGTTCGCCATACACCTCATTCTCCTGGATCTGCAGTACCCGTTTCACTATCATCAACCAGTACTTAGTCTCAGAGCCGTCTTATAGCTATGTAATTATGACGAACTATAACAACTGTCCGGAACTTATATGACATTAAGACTTCGTAGAGAAGGACCCCTAAACAGTCTTTATCCCGTGCTATACGCTCCCTTATAAACGCATCAAGCATCCGGCTATCAATAGAACAAATATACCAACGAACAATTTCTTTAGTTGTAGGAAGATTCTCGAACCCTCTATAAATGGCTGCTCCCTTGCTTAGAGAGCCAGTAACCTTCCTTAAACTACTAACAATAAAGTCCCTAGTAAACCCCCCAATCTCTATGGTATATGGATACCAATTCACCTACTGCCCATCATATATCGCCAAGGTTCTTCTAAGTCATCAAAGTGATAACTCGGCTAATACCTCCAACGTCTTGTACGCTAACATATAGATCTATAGCATAGATCTCATAACGTGCATTATACATGACTAAGCAATAGCCTGTGCCATGGTACGGTGGGTTCCACCGTCACACTAAGTAGGTCGAATATAACCTAGTATATCTTTTTAACTTCTTAGTCGAAGGCGATCCATTGTACAAATGCGAGGGAGCTCAAGATCCATGACAAGGTCCTAGGCCAATGCTTGGTCGCAGCAGCGCAGGAGTAGGGATGGTACTGCACCACCATAGCGCTCCTCCAGAGCTTACCACCCAGCCGATAGTCCGGGGGGGAGCTTGTAGGCGCGTCCGACGACGTAGCTGGCAAACGACACCCACCACCAGGCAAAGGAGCATAAATTATAGCCATGGCAGTCGTACCACGCCACATCGCCAAGTGCCCTGCATGCCCTCTCCTTGCCCCTGCGCCGCTCCAGCGATTCGTAGCCCCAGACGGCTGTGAAGAGCGTGACGGTGATGGAGCACCAGGTGGAGAGACTCGTTGCTCCGAAGGCCGCGCCGCGTGGTATAGAAGGCACTACCGTGAAGGTAGAGTCGAGGCAGCTTACTGCCTCGCACCAGTCGTAGACCACGGGCTGGCCGCCTGGTGTTCGGGTCCGGTTCTTGCTGACAAAGTAGTAGTTGGTAACATCGTTGAACTCGCTGGCCATGCCCCTCCTGTTGTCCCACGCCGGGCTCAGCAAATTTGCTAGTACGTCGGGGCACGTCGCAGGGTCGGTTGGCGGCTCTCTGGCACGACATTCTTGGAAGCCGCTGTTCTTGTTCAAGGCGAAGTCGGCGCTGGCTACGTCTAGACCCAACTTGCTTCCGTCAGCAAGAAATTTGACTATTACGCCGATGGCAACGCCGGTGAAGCCAAGACATGCTAGCAAACCGAGCCATGTCATGCACCGGAAGAACCTGCGGTCGTCATGCGCCGACGGTAGGATGCATTCAGGGTCGTGATCTCCTGGAAGAACATTAATTATCGAACAATTCCCTGCATAATGAACAACCGGGGCTTCTCACGCTCCTGCTGAGGCTCTTCTAGTTCGTGCTCCTCCAGCAGGTCGTACACGAGCCTGGTTCTCGATCGTCTCATTTGCTGGAGAGAGTGTCGTGGCATGGTCTAACGGGGCTGAACACTTGGGGTTCTCCACGCCTTTCAAGCCGTGCGTTGATAATACCAACAAAGAATGAGCTAAGGCCTCGACAAGGGATTGGGGTGCACAATGGCGGACGTCCTTTGAAGATGAGGAAAATCAGAAAGCCTACCTCGTGCAAACCTCAATCCCCTAGCCCTTGATCACTGGCTGGAATAAAATCGATTTCAGCTGCTCAGCCTTGGACCTACCAAGGCAGGTTGACGCCAGGCTTGCATACTCGCCGACCTCCAGGCACTGCGCCGTTTAACACAGAGTAGAAAGGCGCTTCTGCACCCTCGATCATTGGCCTCCCAGACAGGCTGTTTCAAGCTAGCCGCAGTATGGCTCTCAACGCCGAGCTGCCCAAGCACGAGTTGTCTCGTACGCTTCCGGTTCGACAAGTTGCTAAGCTCCAACTGACCAAGTCAGTTCTAGGGGAGTCATTCACCCCAGGCTCTCACCATGCTTGACATGTCCAAGCAGATTTGGTGGACATGTGGGAAGGAATTTGGCCGCTTACTTCCAAGATGAATCTTGTGATACGGACACTGATTAACGTTATGAGGTTGAAGGACCAATACTTTTGATAATACCCTCAAGATACTCAAAGTGGTTTGTGACAGATAACTCAAATAGGTAATGTTCAAGAGCGTCCTTGCCTGCCTGCATGTCACGGAGGAGGGAACGGACACCTGTATACGGGATGAGACCCATACGATCGGCCCCAGTTTCGGTCTGACAACCCCGTGAACGTGAAAGCGGCCGACAGCCGCTGATTGCACCATCGAAAAAGTGGGTTGTCCAGGTTGTGAACTATCCCGCACGGCTAGTTGGCAACGCAGCTGCTGCGCCTTATAGTCTGCCAAGACGTACAAAGGATGGTCGTAAACGCGTTTGGTTGGCTAAGAATAAGTTTGCAAACGCGTTGGTGGAACTTGCGATCCCAAGGCAAAATCTCGCCTTTCGCAAGCCAGCAATTGATGACTCAGCAGGCTCGGGCCAGCACTCGCCCGAAGTTCTGCCGGTCGAGAAACGCGTTCGCGTTCCCGGACCGGGGCCGCCTCCGTAACGGCTCCAAACAGCGCCGGTGGAAGTCGTCGCTTATTCTACTTCGTTCACACCCATCAAAGTCCTCCAATGCACGCCCCGCACATTCGCGATAGCAGTACGGACGTCGCTACCAAAAGAAAATGCTCACCGCCTTCAGTGCCAAGAACGCCACCACTGTAAACCACTTTTAAGGCGGTAAATTACCTCCTTCCCCTATCCTCCTGCATCTGCTAGTTACTGGTTATTCAGTACTGGGCCCGGGTGCCAGAACCACATCTTGACGGCGGTTCTTTGACCTCCCTTCTGCGTATTCGTTCCCGCCTTTCAAGCGAATGACCTCCTGGATATGATGCGGGATCCTCTCAATCCAACGTTGTATCCTCCACTGCTCTAGATCATCCCATGCCTGCTTCCATACTATCTCTGCTTGGCTCTTGCTCTTTGGGGCTCCCTTCTTTGTCGTCTCCCGCTTTAGATGCGGCCAACACGGCTCGATCATATTAAGATCAGGCGAGTTGGGGCACCAAAGTAGTCTTAATACTTCAGCCGCTGAGAAGACTGTAGCTTGTGCGTGGTGGGCGTGAGACGGTGCAAGGTCTTCCTGAACAAGAGCATCCGGACCACATTGCTTAGCGTACGGAATAAGCTTCTTCATCAGGATCTCCGTTTGGTAGCGATACCAATTAACGCCAGAGCCTTCTCGTCGTATAAGCTTGCCGTGCTTTGCATCCCACCTCCATTAAGGAGCTCGCCCGCCTTGATTCCGCAGTTTCAAACGCCTTATACCAGTCTCTAGCTCCCATTGCTCGCAGAGGATAGGTTCCAGCTTCGTATTCAGCTCCTTAAGGTCCTTCTCGGCCGCCTTCCTCTCTTGCGGGGTCTCTGGATGCCAGATATGACATGGCCCCTTTGAATCGTATAAGAAACAGCCCCAGAACTAGAACTCGGTGTATCCCTTCCATCGCTCGCGAATGCAAGACTTAATAAACTTCTCCTCAGGGGTCCTCCAAACTCGGTAGCCACCACGACGGTGATTCAAGACGACAGATGTCTCGTCGGACCAGATAACCCGCTTCCAATCTTCAAGAGTCCAGTGCTGATAGCGAAGATAGAACTCAAGGCGATCCTTCTTCATCTTCTCCGTCAGACCAGGCTTGCGTATTGGCTTTGTCTTCTTCATCCCAGCGGCGCGGAGGATACGCCAGATAGTCATCGGCGAGATAGTATTACCTAGCTCTACGGAGATATAAGCGCAGGTCATCTCACGACCAAACCGGTCCTGGCGAACCTTCTCAAGAACCGCATCCATTTTATCACCTTGCTTCGAGGGACGGCCAGTCTTTGGAGCATCGCGGACGTGTTCGTCGAGGATAATAGGGCGGGAGCTATTTGGATCGAAGCCGCGTTCAAGAGCTCTGTTAGCGAGGTTGTTGAGAGCGCGGGCCTTGACGCCGGTAATCGCTTCAATCTGCTTATTATCGAGCTGAACAATAAGCTTGAGAGTAAGCGCTTGAGCGCGCGTAGCGATATCGTAGTAAACCATAGTAAGAAGGTTCGTTGAAGGAGGATGCTGATGGAAAAGGACGTACGACTGCGGGGAAGGACCAAATACAGCTGTTGTAAATACCGGCTAATTCTGCCGGTTGTTTTTTAAAGCGGTGAGCATTTTCTTTTGGTAGCGACATCCGTACTGTAAATTCATTGCCCTAGGTGTCCCACACCGCTACTGCTACACCTACCCTCGTTCCCACCTGCCCCACTCTAGCGCCTCCCCCAAAACACGTTATAGCTAGTCCCTGCAGCGGCGCCCGCCCGGCCCTGCATACGGTCCCGGATGCTGAACCCCCGCTCGAGATCATCCAGCACGTCCCTATTGCGTCGCAATGCAGGCAGCAAGAATCGCACACGCTTTGGTGTAGATCGCTCTGGCTCGAAATAGCGACCCTGCGCGCGCGGCGCTGCTTCACGTTCCCGCTTCGCGTTCGCGGCAGTCCCAATAGCAATAGCATATATACGCCCTTCTTCACACCGTACCTTTGTCTTTCCATTTGGCATAAATTAGTCAGATCAAAGGCACAGATCCTATCATCCCTCTTCCATTCTGGGCTGGTGAAACGAAAAGATTACTCACCATTATGGCCAAAGACAAGTACAAGCATCTTCGAATCAAGGAGGTACTCAGACCCCTCTTTGATTATGAAATTTCACACCTGGAAAAACAGTCAAAGGCCAACCTATTTCGGGTGTTGCATGCAAGCGGGGGACCCCGTAGACCGAGTGCGGAGAAATTTGGCAGTGTTGGAACCACTGCGCGGTTTCGGTCGACGCCCATGTCACGATCTTGATGGCCAAAATTTGCGATCTCTTCAAGTGTGTTCTTTTCCATTGTTGTGGAAGAACTGCCCAATTGGGCGACATCGGGCACCTTCAAAAGGGTCAGGGGCACCTCGAGCCAATTTCGGCTGTTCGAGCCTCCCAGGCCGCTCGGCAGGTTCCGACAGGCAGATCTCGACGATATAGGCGAAGTTCCCGGTTCCGCGCAAATTAACGTGGATTATCCACATCCATTGTATGTGTGTGTGTAAGGTTGTGTTCGGGGAACTCGGATGGCACCTCGCCGGCCTAATTTTCACGTGACAGCCTGGAGGCTGCAGAGCAGATTTTAGTTTTCAAGTTATCTCTACTCATACGTTACTCCTTCTATGACCTATGGTTATTCTACATTCACAATGCTGCCCCACGCCTATTACCGATACTTTCTGTGGATAGCCATCGCCGCCACCTTCTTTCTCCTCGCTTCTGAGTTTGCTTCTCTGCAATCCCGACAGCAAAGGCCAGCAGCAGAATCAGCGGAAACCCCTGTCGGAAGCATCCACCCACCAGCCTCCGAAATCCCCATCCCGCGGCAGATATGGCAGATATTCTTCGCCCCGCCAGGCGTCAAGACGCTTAACAAAGGCAGTACATATGCTTCCGACTGGGTGTCGATGGCCCCAGGCTACGGGTACGCACTGTTGGGCAACGAGGAGGCCACCGCGTTCGTCGACGGCAGCTTTGCATCCCGTCCCGAGATTGCCACCACATTCCATGCACTGAAGAACCCGGCGCTCAAATCCGACTTTCTCCGCTACCTCCTACTATGGCACCGCGGAGGGACCTACAGCGACATGGACACACGACCCCTCGTTCCGGTAGAGGACTGGCTCCCTGCGGAGAAGCGGCGCGAGATCGGCCTTATTGTCGGGCTGGAGTGGGATGCAGTACGGGACGGCCACTACGCGGACTGGACGCGCGACGTACAGTTCTGCCAGTGGACGATCGCGGCGGCGCCCAACCATCCCGTCCTGGCCAGGATCGTCAACCATACTATAGCCGCGCTAAGCTACGTGGCGTTGCAGCAGGGCAGGACGCTGGACCAGGCCGATTTCTCGGACTTCCAGATCCTAAACTCCACCGGTCCTTTAGCGTGGACTGACGTCGTGTTCGAGTCGATCAGGGAGCGCGACCCGCAGGTCTCGGGCGTCAGCGACTTCCTCGGACTCCGGTCGCCGAGATACATTGGTGACATTGTCGTGCTGCCGGTCGAGAGCTTTCGGGCCGAGTTCGCGGACGAATGGGGTCTTAATAGCTGGCGCAAGAATCGCAGGGCGCTTGTACGACATTATTACAATGGCGGGTGGAAAACTCATGATTAGAGCGGGATTTATGATTGCAACCGACATTGACAGATTCCGACTGATAAACTTGTAGTCACGCTAGGCTATTGGTACTAGTCCGTGTAAAGCACACTAGTGACTAGCGGGGATGGGCCGTCTTGATAAGGGATTTAGAGACATGTACTAAAATCCTCAATGCACAGACAATAGATGCAGTGTTCCAGTTATGCTACCTAATATCCTGGTTATCCCACAGCATCATATCAGGCTAGTAGTATGAGAAAACACCGCTAGTGGAGATGAGCCGGCTGGGGGTAAGTGTTTCTTTTTCGATTCACGGGGAAGACATGGTTATAGTGTTCCTGCTTTGCTAACTACATACCCAGTCGGTAGCTAACTTGCAAATAGTACCCCGCGACCAACACACTATGGTCCATCCAGTATCACCTCCGGCTCACCAGGTGTTCAGCATGTTCTTCAGCATGTTCGACAGAGTCGACTTCTCCGCCGAGCTGACGCTCAATCCGTACGGGTACTTGACAGCCACCCAGCTCCTGGAATTTGTGCAGTAGAACGACGTGAGGGAAGGCTTCCGCGTATCCGGGGACTTGTCGCCCTTCGCCTGGTTGAGAGTAAGTCTAGCATACAACGGTGGTTTGAGCAACGAAGATTGGCTTACGTTGGCTGAGATACGCGTGAGTGTTGAAGCCGTTCGCGACCGTTGCGAAGCTCTCGGAAGGAAACGAGCTGACGATGGCGAGCGCCTTTCGTGCGCTTTATCCCCTGCTCAACCGCTTGAAGGGCGACTTTGTTCGCTTTAGCGCTGGCCAGACAGTAGAGAAGGGCGTTAATATTACGGTAGTTAACAACAACGGCTTGATACCCGTCTACTCTATAGCTATTAATGGCTACCTTAATACGGTTAAGTTTCTAGTTAACAATGGTGTAGATATTACAGTAGCTAATAACAACAGCTAGATACCCGTTATCGCTACTTTTTCTAAAGGCTATCTTAAAGTGGTGGAGTTCCTAGTCGAAAACGGTGCCAATATCACAGTGGCTAATAATAACGGCTTGACACCCGTTAACGCTGCTTTATCTAAAAGCCATCTTAAAGTGGTCGAGTTCCTGGTCGAGAAGGGTGCCGATATCACGGTGGCCAATAATAATAGCTTGATACCTGTCAACGCTGCTTTATCCAACGGTCACCTCGAGGTGGTCAAATTCCTAGTCGGTAAAGGCGCCGACGTGAATGTGCCCGACAACGCTGGATGGACACCAATATTTACCGCTGCCAGCCGTGGGCATCTCGAAATCGTCCAAAAACTCATACCAGGCAGTGATCCTATCTAGACAGACCATCTTGGTCGTTCGGCGCTGTTCTTGTCGGCCAGGTTCGGACAAGCTCATGTGGTTCAGCATCTTCTATCTAACCAACGCGTCGCACCATCTAATATTGACTGGTGCGGCTCTACGCCTTTCTACGTTGCTGGGGCAAACGGTCATTTTCGCGTCGTCGAGCATCTCATCGCCCTTGACCCGTCCTCGCCTGACCATACCTACATTGACAGGAACCTCATATGGTGGGCTTGACGTGGCAGCAATCAGAACGTCATCCAACTTCTGCTGCGTCACCCAAATCAGCCCTCTGATTCTGTGAATAGCTACATCCCGTGCGACGTTTTTTTATTCAATCCATTGTTGGCTTGGTGCGATGCATGTACCCTTTGCATTCCAAATAGGTCGTATCATGTTTGCGAAGATTGTGGCTATTTAGCTTTGTGTGGCAATTGCTTCTAGAGAGGAATCAGATACCAGAAGTTAGGCCATATTATGCTAGTTAAAGATCTCTAAAAACGGCTCGAGGGAGCCAAACTTGTACGAGGATGTCTAGTCTTGAGTTGATCCCGATATAGCTATGGCTATACAGAACCACTCGAGAGGTAAATACTGGACGTGCTCGAACGTGAATGTTTTATGAAGAGTGGGTATCGACGCGGCTATTGACTCGTCGTGTGATGATCTGGGATGCGACAAGGATGAGCTTGTGGCAAGATTTTCTTGATAAGAAGCTGCAGTTGGAGAGTAAGGTCAGCTTTGCATCGCAGGTGCGTGTACTTCATGATGGAGCTGTGGCAGCGGGCGACCGACAGGCGCCAGGGCTTGTTAGCCTGGTGTTACTAGCGAAGATCGCCGTTCTCGTGGACTACTACGAATGTTACAAGGCGACTCTAGCACGACCCGCCGGTAAGTCGGGCCCGCCCATCGACATAATCCAGCACCGCCCGGCCAGCCAACCACGAGCGGGACTTGACGATGGGCGCCCGGATCTTGTCCGGCAGATTCATATCCTCGCCAGACGCCCGTGCCGAAGTGTCCAAACGAGTACCGGCGTGCCACAGCTCGAAACCCTTCATACCCGCGCTGATGCACAACTACACTGGTGTTTGCACACTCATCGCCGCGAGCCGACACAGCTTGGATTGCGAATGGAGCCAAGTACGAATACGTCCGTCCAACCCTGCGCCTGCGCCTGCGAGCAAAGATTGCGACGAGTTGCGTCTAGGAGAAGGGGTCGCTGGCCACTGCAGCCATCAGAGCACTTTTAGCGGGGTGCATGACCGACACTGCCCTGGATCCAGCAACTAATCCAAAGCTCCCAAGCATAGTAAACAAAGGAAATTAGGTGGGACAACGCAAATGGTCCTCTACCGAGTCATGAAGATCATTGGTCAGCTGATAGTGGCCCTCACAAACCAGCTCTGAAAGTTCGGGCATACAGTAATGGGCCTACTTGGATTTGGACATGCGCATCTTCGTGAAACATTATGTCAGGCTTGAGGCGAACGTTATCGTAAGCTCTCTTCTTAGGATGCAATATTCTCTCGGTTTCTAGGCCGGGTGTAGACGTGCCATGGCTTATCGTCGTCTATGGATGTGGAGAAGGGGCCGCTGGGCATTCGGAATCGTCGCGCGACCCGTTCGGTCATGCCTCTTGTATAGCGGCTTCGCAGTGCAGCTCGGGACTTGCAGGCTGGGTGAGAGCATGAATTCTCAGGGTCCCAGAAACCTAGTTGAAGAGTCTTTGCCCTCCATTTCACTATGCCCCTGGGTGTATCTTCTCGCGTTACCGGTCTATCCATGCTCCTCGGAGGGAGTGGATGGCCACGTCGGGGTCTGTGAAGAATGTATGTGCAGGTTAGGAACCGAGAGAGATGGCTATCGCGATGAGGGTGGTTGGGTTGGTCGTACCATCGAGTGGTGGCCGTGGCAGGCAGTCCCCTTGTCGCGCCTTGTTTGCCACCGCCCTGGAGGCGCACCAGATCCCAGCCCAACGCCTTTTGTCTTGGGTTCCTTCGGCGAGACCGGCAAGAGGTCCTACCCACACTCCTTTCTTTCCCGAAGCCCTGACCATACGCTGGAATAGTCGGTCGCGGGTTAAACAGCTCGGTCGGTCTCCAGGCCGAATCTCACCAATGATTGGCGGGAACACGTCGCCAACTATATAATATATATCGGCGAGGTAATTGTCAGGTAGAATACATTACAAGTCCGCCTGAATAGCCCCTTGGGTGGATATTTTAGGAAGCCCGTAAGTGGTGCGTTCAGGTGCGGCGTATTGGTTGGACGCGACCAAGGCCCCCTCTCGCCCCTACCGACCGCTTAGCTAGGGAACGGCATCCTAACAAGCTACGGTCTGCCTTATTATTGCTCTATAGCTACGTTGATGTACGACTATGCCGTTGTTAGGCCGTTATACTTGTTGCTAGCATATGATATAGACCGGCAATCCGCCTTCGGGCACTGTCGGTACCGTAAGTGCTCGTGAACCTTAAGAGTAGCGTATATACTTGCTGCTAGTTCTACTCCTAGCTCGTATAGTTTTATTACGGTGGTCGAGGTTTTCCCTCTACTATAAGTAGTAGGGTAGGCTAGGTTAGGCCGTACAGATAACGAGCACGTCTAATTCGACGTTGATTAGCTCGGCTAGGTTGACGAGCATTAGATAAGGACGCTAGGTCGCTAAGTCTACGTTGTAATATTCTCGCTCCTTCTATAGTAGCCCTAGTGTTAGCGGTCGGTAAACTAGGCCGACGAGGCCGGTAGGCCACCCGCTAGTCGAGTAGGCGGTCGAGGGCATAAATACAAAAGCGGTTATTAGCTAGCCAAGTAGGAGGTTATAAACGCGTTTGGTTGGCTAGAAGCAGGATCTACAACGCGTTAGGGGAGCTCGTTACCAAAAGGCGATAGTAGGTTTATACTAGAGTATAGATTGGAAAACGGCTGTGACAAATGGAGTTATAAAAACTAAGCACGAGCACGTTCTCTACTGTTTCAATCATCAGAAACGGTTCCGTTACGTGACCTAGGCTCTACTAAGTTATCAAGTCGACGCCGATTGAAAATGAACTACTCGGTTCAGATCCGCGTTTTCGACCTCCCTATAATAGCGACATCTTCTTGTCTTCGTTATTGTTCAAAGGGGGTGGTTTCTTGTCCTTAGAGCGACTATTTTCGGACCCTTTTGAGCGGATAGAGAAGATTTATATGCAAAACACCCAATTAATCTACAGTGGTCTCTCTACCAGTCAATTGCCCCTCTTCATGATTGTTGAGTTCCAGATCCTTAAATTGAGGAGGCTGGGGGTATGGGCCTTCCGTACCACCAGACAACTGATTGGGTTAGCAGCCACCGACAACAGCTGTCTGACACCGCAGCGTTGCTGACGCACGTCGTGGTTCTAGACGCGCCTACCGGGGACCTGGCGCGTGTGGCCCTGCCGGACCCTATACATACATGGTGCTGCGGCCCGAAAAGAGGGTAGGAGGGTGGTCTCTGACTGCGCTCACCGGCCTCCCGGCGCGGTCGAGGCGCGTCGTGTTGCCCATTGCGGCCTGGCCCGTGTTCAAACACTCGCCACAATCTAAACGGGTGCAACTCGTCGCTGGCAAGTCTCCCCACCTGTAGCATAGGCTACCTTAGGTACGTTGTTATACTGGCCGCAAGCTCCCGGCCTGCAATGTATCGCAATAAGTTGTGCTATACACCTCGCAGATGTGCCTCAGGCAATCCCATTCAACCCCTTAGGGGTTTGGCTGGCCACATAGATCCCTTCACTTTCACAGCTCCTGCACCCCATCCCGCATCCAGTCCCGCACTCAGTCCCGCACACGAATTCCGCGGTCGTTCACGCACATGGTCGCCAACTCGCGCTGTACTCCACCTCCATCTGGCCCCACACCACCTCAACCCTAGCATCTCCCACCTCGGCCTCATTGGTCACTTCAACCTCCTCTCTGTCGGCCCCCACTTCCTCCGAGATATGAATGAGCCTGCTTTCCGGGCAATACCGCGGGAGGTGTTGGTTGCGACGGGGAAGGCGCAGTTGGCTCAAAGGGGTAAACCGTAAAACGCGACTGCGTGGAAATGAGAAGGGTGTGGAGGGAGTGAGCAGGCTTGCTAAGATCACCCCCGACCACCTGAATTGGGAAAAGGACTGGGAGTCAATCGAGAAGCTCGTGGAGCCAATTCTCCAGAAGCACCAGGCGAAGTACGAGCAGCTGGAGCAGTCGGGTTCGACACATCGGGATAAGCATCTAGCGAACCGCGATGCAACGCGGGGCCGCACCACCCTCAAGTTGCTGCAGGAGAGAGAGCTACACTCGTACCAGCTGGTAGGCAAGGACTACATCACTCCCAAACTCACTCACTACGAGTAGCTACCCAAGATGGATCTCGACATCAAGCCGTCCGAGTGGCTACGCCACCGGCGACACGAGGTCTTGATAGAGCGAAGCGATAAGTTCCACTTAGCTTCCTGGCTCGAGAACGCGTACTACGACTGCAAGCTAGAGCAGCTCCGAGCCCGGAAGGGCTTCGCCCGGCATTGCCCACCTACTGGCGTACGCGATAGAGAAGGACGCGTCGGCTGGCCCCAGGAGCAGCAGTAGGAAGTCGGCGCCGCGGTCGTCCTAGTCCACGCCACCATCGACGCCAAGAGCCAAGCGTTATTATTCCCGCTTGACAATTCTATAGATGGCCGTACAATGTCTGTCTTAGGTCTCCTGGTACTGACCCTCGCCTTTCTAGCAGCTTCCGCGATTGCGCAGCTTCGATTGAATGTTACTGCGATCGGTGCGGAAAACGGAATCTCAACTCTAGAGTGCCGGGAGCTTGATTCTCCCTTCTACATGTCTCGCGACTCGACTGCGGTTAGAGCCAAGGTTGCTCACCTCGGCAACGTATCTTCCTTATCTTAGTCCGTCGTTCCTTCTAGACATTACGTTGGCCCATATAACGCCCCTTATAATCAGCAAGTCCGCGTCCCTTTGACGATGTGCGGCAAGAGCTCGACGACATTATCTCGGTTCGTATCGAAGATGAAGTGTACACAGCGCAGCAGAACCTCGAGGACCACGTCCGGGACGCCATCATGGAGGCGACGGACCAGGTCGAGGAGAAGGTTGTGGAGCGGCTAAGCTCCGCCAGTGTTTGCATCTTGTTTGGATAAGTACTAGTACTAGCCATGCCGAAAATTTCACACCAGGCGATGAGGGGATCCAGGAGACCTTGGGGGGCCTGACGACGTGGCAGATATCAGGAAGGCCTGCGCCCTGCTGTGGATTCCGGTACCTAATGCATCTCGTCAGCCCTCGCCGGGTCATTCGGTACGGCGACACAACATGGGCGGCTCAAGCGAGCAACGGCCTGTGTTACGTCTTCCCATCGTGTATGTAGGTACTATGATGTACCTGAAACTCGAAGCACGTACTGTCTACAGTTCGCTCCAGTGAGCGAACTATTCGACCCATGTCCTCACGATCCAGACCTGGTGAGATTGGGAAGCTGCGGCAGCCCTTTTTTGTCCAACCGGATAGTTATCGAGCGGATATTTCACTCCATGCTCAATTCTCACGGTAAACTTCGCATTTTTGCCAGGTACTTGACTACTGTGTAGTAACATGAGCTCTACCATCAGCCCCATTTCCCTAAGTCCGGAAAGGCAGGATAACAAGCTCAACACTCCACAGTCTCGACCTCGGGCTAGCAACAGAACAGGCCTCACGAGGCTCGAGCATGCGGATAATAGAGTGGACGGCCAGTGTTGGTGGGTCGTTGATTTTGGGATTTAGTGGGGTCTCAGACACCGACAGATACCGCACCAAGCGAACCTCCCGGTCGCATCTCTCACGTCGCGCGGTTACCAGGAGGTCCAAGGCAGTTCTGAGCATCTTACACGGCTAACTGAGCTGAGGTTGGGGCCATGTGTTCACATCTACATTCTATCAATCACTAGAGGCCGTCTTCCAAGCTCCTCCAACAAGTTTGGGTCGCCTTTCACTGGCTATGGGGTTGATCCGCTGTCGAGCTCACTAACAAACCGCAGTACTCGGCCACACAACAGACACCTTACCACGGCACCTCGTTGCCCGTATACGCCCAGAGCCTGCCACTGTGCGTCTCCCTGGTCGCCGCATCAATGACCTTCAAGACTCCGTTGACGCTCTCGTCCACCGTGATAGCGGCGTGGTCAAACCCAAATGCGTGGGCTGCGCGATCGCCGATGTCTGTCTGCACCCAGCTATGGAAAGCAAATCAGCAACTGTTGCTCGGGGGCAGGAAAGGATAATGCGTCAAAAAACGTGCTTACCCAGGGTCGATTGGGAACGCGATGAGCCATGGCTCTTCGGTGTGGATTGCCTTGGTAAGCCAGTGCTGCACCAGCTTGGTGGGCCCATACGCCGCGTTCCGCATGGGGAGGAAATTTCTGTTGTGAGAATGAGGAGGCTGATGTCAGAAGGAGACAGAAGAGAATCGGCACGGCATTACTCACTGTACACCCGGACGAGGTTAGCAAAGGCGAAACGGGATGACCCCTCTATCTGGATATGGAGGGCTCACCGTAAGAAAAGCTGCGGACGAGCCCACGGTAACCCATTTCGGGTCCTTCGCCTTCTGCAGCATGGACTGGAAGGCCTGGAACAGCAGAACAAAGCCATGGACGTTCACATCGACATGCTGCTGGATGTCTTGTGGCGTCACCTCCGACACCTTGGGCCACTTCAACGCGATGGCCGCGTTCGCGACGAGAATGTCAATGTGGTCAATGCCGTGCTTGGCGGACAGCTCTTGAGCTGCCGCAGCAGGATCGGAGGAGACCGTGAGATCGAGCTTGACGACGACTAGCGAAGTATCCTCGGCCCTCGGAAGCGCGGCGAGCTCCTTGGCGGTAGGGTGGTTTGGGTTGCGGACAGTAGCGATGACCGTGTGGTCGGCTCGAGCGAGGTATAGCTCGAGGAGACCACGGCCGATGCCGCGATTCGCACCTGTAATGAGTACGATTGTGGGCGACATGGTTACGGGGGTCTGAGAAGGTCAAGAAAACACGGGATGCTCGGTCAGGATTCAAGACAATGGTCGAAGTAGCAGGCCATGAGGGAGCAGGAGATCGAATGGTCAGAACGGTTCTGCGCCCTGGTCTTAAATACAGAGAGCAGAGACAAGTATCGAAGAGAGGTGCCAGCGGAGAGCGAGATGCAATGTCATACAGAGAGAAACCCATGCTGAGCATTGCTGACAAATGCGACTCGGTGATGCTTCGCCAATCCGCTCACCGTGTCATCGGACAGGGTAGAAACATCCATTGATCAGTTTTCTCTTACTCAATAAGAGTGCTCGTTTCCAGGTTGGGGAGGGCTGAGAGGGCTGAGTGTTTGTTAGCGCATCACAGGGTCGAGAATCGATATCAGAAGAGCGACCAAGATACAGGTGGGTCTCCATGCTGCAAGGTAAAAAGATTACCGTGCATTAGCGGGGAACGGGGAACGGGAGGACGCTAACTAGTAGGGGTTCCTTTTACTTCCCTAGCAGGCATTGATCGAGACCGGAGTCGACGTAGCATCATGCCCTAAATGGAAAGCAGGTGGTGCGGCAGACCATGGCTTCAGAAGCTGTCATGCAGAGCACAAGCGACCGACGTCCAGACCGTCAGGTTCTGTGATGGAGGTTTGATTCAGGTTCATTTAGGGTTACGGATACCTCGGCCGACCCCTGGACAATCCAAGAATCTCGTGGACTGGTGGGTTGTGAATTACACACCATTTACCTTGCAGAATGCAGATGGGGATACCCCACATGCTTACCTTGCATATAATACTTTATGCTTAGTCCGATGAAGCCCCCAAATGCGTAGTTCCGTGAGCTACCGGAAAGCTGTTCCGGCCTGAGGAAGTATATCAAGGCATATAATGACTACGCGCCCTCGACTCACGGGTTTTGAGCTTGAACATCCTGGCAATCGACGAACTCTTTCCTGTCGACAGGCGACGCAAGGAGATCTACGAGGAGATCTCAACGACTAGCACGCCGAACCACTAACCTACCAAAGCCAACGAGACTAAGTCGACTCTGAGTAGGACAACGTATAGGACTACGAAAGGTGTCCTTTTCAATTTCTTTGCCAATTTCCTTGTCCTCGGTGGAATTGATGTGTTTTCGTGACAGCAATGGACTGGGTAATCTGTAATTCATTAGCCGTGCCGGGAGCAGGTTACGTGATAAAACGGATGAGCCTCAACACCACGACCTGAATCACCATACCGTTTCTGTCCTTGTTGGTGCTTGGTCAAGTTCTTGTTAGGTAGCTGTCGGTACGATGTATTGGTATAATACATACGTGGTAAAATACGAGACGCAGGGTTAGGGTCTCACTGCTGTGATTCGGTTGCGTTTGACGATCTTGCCAAGTGCCAGGTTTGTTCGTTCCACATGCATCACGAGTCGTCCCACAACATCCGATTCCAGATTGCCATTATGCCCATGGACTTTGAGCTCCGCCTGTCCAATACGGACCCGACAGAACGGCGGCGCTTGCGGAACCGCCTCGCTCAGCGCAAGTTTCGCCGTATGTCCGATTTCCTGTCCGTGACCATCCAACAGCCTTGCCTACTAATTGAACCCCGCAGTCAAGAAAGCTGCCGACCGCGCTCAGCCAGCTGTAACTCTACAGCCCGCGCCACAACCCGCGACGCACGCTCACAACCTCATTTCTTCCAGCGAATCTATACTCTCGACTCCGCACGACCCTAGTACAAGCCACGTTGTCTTGGACTCCAATGATGCAATGGAGAGTTTTCTGCCGGATGTCGGTGTCCCGATGATGCAGCCAGGGTTCGGACCCGCTTTCGACTTCAGCTTGCCTGAACATAACAGTGGCGACTTGGAAAAGGGCGCAGCCTTGCCTCCACCGCAAGATCAGGTGCTCTATGAGTCCCAGCCTGACAGTTCACTCCGGATCCTGTCAACGGCACCGCCAAGCGAAGCACTCGATGGATGGATCGGCACACTGCATATCGCAGCGCAGCGGGGTAACGAGGGGATCATGCGGATGTTGCTACAGAAGGGCAAAGTCGACTGCAACGAGCAGGACAGCGACGGGCGGACGCCGCTCATGTACGCTGTCATCGAAGGGCACGAGGCGATGGTGCGGGCGCTGCTGGCACACGGCGCTCGCGTCGGCGACGTGGATCGTGACCGACGGTCGGCGCTGCATCTCGCCATCTTGCATCGACGCGAGAGTGTGCTGCGCGTGCTCTTGAGCCATGACGAGCCGGGTTTAGACCTGGATGCGTATGATGTCGCCGGGTGGACGGCGCTACACATGGCGGTAGAGCGTGACTTTGCGGCGGCGGTAGAGCTACTGTTGCAGAATGGCGCGAACTTGGATACAAAGGCAAGAAAATGTCACTTGATGGGGAAAGGAGCCGTATAGCATGCGAAGGGATGAGGGGGACATTCGCTTGAATTACTAACATTGAGATAATATGACAAAAATATCCATCTCTGATCAACACACGACCTAGGCCATATAATATATCATCAATACGCCTGTCACACTACAAGTCCCCTCACTGCTGCTTGGAGCACTAAAGCACGGACGCTGCACAACTATCCCGGTGCCTTCAGTATAGATGACATTCCCCGGACCGGAAGGATCGCCATTTTGCCAGGAACACCGGAACCCCCCGGGCGGCAGACTAAAGCCGAAGCTCCCGACTAGAACCTAGTTAGACTATAGCGAGCCAGATATATTGTTCTGCTTAAAGAGCGTTTCCGGGTCGCCGTTGCAGGGGTTGGTCTGGTATTGCGTGCTATAGTCAGTCAGGTTTGCGCCGTTGACAAGCTGGTTGATCTAGTATAGTATAATGCCTAGCGACGGCGTGCCGGTCGGGGCGCTACCGCCACTAGACGAGGTCGAGGTAGGCGGCGGGAAGGGCCCGTAGAATAAGGATAAGAAGGGTTCTATGTCGTTGCCTACTGATATCGCGTCGGCTATGTTGGTATTAGGCTCGCCCTAGCGCTCTATAGGCGCCGAGACTATAGGTGCTACGGTCTTGGTTATATCAGACCTATCCGGGTTATAGGAGAGGACTTAGGAGTATATAGAGCTATAGCTAGGTGTCGATAAAGGGTTATAAACTATATATATAATGAAAGCTCAGCAGTCCTACCTCTGAAAGGGTTCGCAGATTGAAGGTAGTCTAGTCGGGCTATAGATCTTAATAAAGCTAAAAGGTTAAGAATACTATAGGCTATAATATCTATATAGTAGAGTAAAGGCTACTTGTCACGGTCGGTATGGGTGTCGCCCCAGGCGGGGGTCGAACCCACGACCTCCCTGATTGACGGCTGTTGTGGAGCACCGGCCACATGACCCACAAATCAGGAATATCTTCGTGTAATGTTCTGGGCCACCGACTCAGAACTTCTCTTTCCTTTCCTCAACCTTAGATTCACGAAATAGAATGACAACAACAGCCGGCTTGACCCTGTTCAATTGCATCTAGTCGTCACACTACTAGTTAAATTGCTTACTAAGGAAGTTAGCTATCTAAATAAGTGACAGGATGATAGATCTATATATAGCTTCCTTCTCGAGGTATCTTCGTACCTAGATCACCAGCAATCACCTTGGCCTGGTAATATATGGTGATCTGTTCGCCGGGATGTGACGAAACCACAGGCCTTGTCTGATCCCTCCAAAGGGCACACAGGGATAACTCGGCCAAGATTTGTCAGCTATACTAAGGATAAAGTACGCACATGCAGTCGCTTGCCGTTGAAAGTCTCTGAATCGAGAGCTGCCTAGGACTTTCCGGTGCATGGAGTGTTCAAGGTCGGCGAGACTTGGATCTCTGACCAAGTGTTCGGGCCGCTCTCCTTCGACATTGCGCCACTCTTCATATTGGTGTTTACACGAGGCAATGACAAACCACCTCAAGAAGCAGGTGCAACGATGTTGCTCCCCCCAAGGTTCCAATGTTTGCCAGCATAGGTATTCCGTGTTAGGTATCAACATTGCCTCGCATTCGCATCCTGCACCCGCGATGCAACGGAATGCAGCCTGGTGACAGCAGTCACGCTGCGGGGGACGTGTGCGCTAATCTAGGGCGAATTGCTTATTCCATGTGGCCTAGACGCTAATTTCGTTTACCCCTGACGCTGGCACAAATCCGGGCTAGCCGGGCTAACAACCTGCAGCGCTTGGCAGACCTAGCTCCTCCCGAGTCCTCCGTGCGACCACACCTAGCCGCCGCCAGCGAATTGGGTGTTGTTCAGCCATGAAATAATCACCGAGCGTCCCAGCCGGAGCCACCCACACGGGCCGATGGAGAGGTACTTGTTCCCCGGACATCAGGCTATGGATTGGGGCTCATAACGTTGCAGTCCCAGTGGCGTCCCCGCGGGGATCCTGTGTCATTCTTCACTTGACCTCCCTTCCTTTATTAAACCGCACGGATCCTCCCCGTCCTCCCTCCTGGAGGGGTCACGCTGTTTCAACCCTGACAGTCCCGCATCGGTTTGGGGGATGCCACTGGAGTCGGGCGCGTCACAGTCATTCGTTTGATCATCCCGCATCGCCTCCAAGATGCACCGTCTCTCGTTTCAGTCACTCCTTGCCCTCTCGGCCTTGGCTTCGGGCATTGCCGCCCATGGCCCACACGGCTCCAACGGTACCCTGACGCTGACCACGGGTCCGAAGAAGGCCGTCACGGTCGTGGTCAAGAGCACCGTCACAACCTGTCCGTCTCCGATCCCGCCTCCACCGTGCTCTGATATTCCCGGGTCCTCCGTGTCCGTTACTGCGACCCTATCTTCCAGCACGGAGGGTCCAAGCGGCACCGGCATTGCGACGGAAAGCAGCGTTCCCCCCGGCAGCTCTGTCTCTTCCTCCATCAGCAGCTTGTCCAGCAGCACCAGCTCGGTCAGTGGCACTTCGACCGGCACATCCAGCTCGTCGAGCGGGACCGCGTCCAGCAGCGTCAGCTCGTCCCTTGGTGACTCTTCTAGCAGTGCTTCTGGCACTACAACTTTGTCTAGCGAGACCTCTTCTAGCGCCGCCAGCTCGTCTACTAGCATCTCTTCGGCTACTTCTACCTCGTCTAGCGAGACCAGCACCGCCGGCTCGTCCACAGAGACCTCCTCTGGCACTGCTACCTCTTCCGGCCAGACCTCCAGCACAGTCAGCTCGATCCGCAGCAGCTCTTCAACCTCTGCCAGCTCGTCCTCGTCCAGCGAGAGCTCTTCCAACACTTCGGTCAGCACCACCAGCGCATCCAGCACCAGCTCGTCCAGCGCCAGCAGCAGCTCTTCCATCACCACCGAGTTCTCGAGCACCACCACTTCGTCCAGCACCTCTACTTCTTCCACCCCCTCTTCCACGACCAGCAGCGTCGCCGCCCCGGCTTGCACGGACTACTGGTTCGAGAAGATCAGCCACCAGGGCGTCGCTCCCTTCGGCGGCGCGGGCTACGAGGTCTTCCGCAACGTCAAGGACTACGGCGCCAAGGGCGATGGCGCCACGGACGACACCGAGGCCATCAACCGGGCCATCAGCGACGGCAACCGCTGCGGTCCCGGCTGTACCGGCAGCACGGAAACGCCCGGGCTTGTCTACTTCCCGCCAGGCACCTACATGGTCTCCTCTCCGATTATTGACTTCTACTACACCCAGCTGATCGGCAATCCCGGGTGCATGCCGGTGCTCAAGGCCACTTCGGACTTCAACGGGCGCTGGCTCCTCGACACCAACCAGTACCAGCCAAGCGGCGGGCTGGCCTGGGGCGCGACCAATGTGTTCTGGCGGCAGGTGGCAAACTTTGTCATCGACATCACGAACGTGGACTCGGGGACGCTGATCTCGGGCATCCACTGGCCCAGCTCGCAGGCGACGTCGCTCAGCAACATCGTCTTCAAGTCGTCCGACGCCGCGGGCACCAAGCACCAGGGCCTGTTCATCGAGGAGGGCTCCGGCGGCTACATTGGCGACCTGGTCTTCTACGGCGGCGCGCAGGCCCTCTCGATCGGCAACCAGCAGTTCACCATGCGCAACATCAGCGTGCACAACGCCCACACGGCCATCGAGCAGCTGTGGTCGTGGGGCTGGACGTACAAGGGCGTGAGCATCAGCAACTGCTCGGTCGGCTTCGAGTTCACCGCCACGGCCACCGACGCCAACACCGGCGCGAAGACGCTCGGCGTCGCCCAGATCACCATCCTGGACAGCGAGATCCGCAACACGCCCGTCGGCATCACCTACGGCAGCTCGGGCGTCTCTGACCCGCCGGCCGCCAACAGCTTCGTCTTCGAGAACATGCGGCTCGACAACGTGGCGACGGCCATCCAGGGGCCCTCGGGCACCGTCCTGGCCGGGTCGTCCGGGCCCTCGGTGATCGAAGCCTGGGGCCGGGGCCACGAGTACACTCCTTCGTCCTCCGGCGGCCCGACGGCCTTCGAGGGCCCCATCACGGCCAACGCCCGGCCGGCCTCGCTGGTCGCCGGCACGGCCTTCTACGAGCGGTCTAAGCCGCAGTACGAGAACGTGCCGCTCTCCGAGTTCGTCAGCGCGCGCGACGCCGGCGCCAAGGGCGACGCCACCACCGACGACACGGACGCGCTCAACGCGCTCTTCGCCTCGGCCGCGGCCGCGGGCAAGATCGTCTACCTCGACGCCGGCATGTACCTCGTAACCAAGACGGTCCACATCCCGCCCGGCTCGCGCATCTTCGGCGAAGCCTTCCCCGTGATCCTCTCGTCGGGCGCCTTCTTCGCCTCGGCCTCGGACCCGCAACCCGTCGTGCAGGTCGGCACCCCGGGAGGACCCACAGGCCGCATCGAGTGGTCCAACACGATCCTCTCGACGCGCGGCGCCCAACCCGGCGCCATCCTCTTGCAGTACAACCTCGCCTCGCCCACCTCCGAATCACCCTCCGGCCTGTGGGACGTGCACGTGCGCGTGGGCGGCTTCGCCGGGTCGGACCTCCAACTCGCCCAGTGCGCCAAGACGCCCAACACCACCATCACCGCGGGCAACCTCGCGCAGGAATGCATCGCCGCCTTCATGAGCATGCACATCACCCCGTCTGCCTCGGGCTTGTACCTCGAGAACGTCTGGGTCTGGGTCGCCGACCACGACATCGAGATCGGCGCCGACAACCAGCAGATCACCGTCTACGCCGGCCGCGGCCTGCTCATCGAGGGGTCCCGCCTCTGGCTGGTGGGGACGAGTGTCGAGCATCACCAGCTGTACGAGTACCAGCTCGTTGGCGCGCGCGACGTCTTCATGGGCCAGATCCAGACCGAGACGGCGTACTACCAGCCCAATCCGGACGCGTCGCTGCCCTTTGCGCCGCGGGAGGAATACCATGATCCGGTGTTTACTGCCGATGGCGGGGAGTCCGGGTGGGGGTTGAGGGCGGTGAGCAGTACGGGCGTGCTGGTCTATGGCGCGGGGCTGTATAGTTTCTTTGATAACTATGATGTGTCGTGCAGTCAGGTGGGCGAGGGGGCTAGGTGCCAGGCGAGGACGTTCAGTGTGGAGGCGGGGAGTCAGGTCAGGGTGTATAACCTCAATACGGTGGGGACCAAGAAGATGGTGACCGTTGATGGGGTGGATGTGGTGGAGTATGAGGATAATATCGCCGGGTTTGTGCACAGTGTCGCGCTGTTTGGGACGGACTAAGGAGGGGGAATCAGGGGCTAATCTTCTGATTGTTGGTGGTGGATTGGATAGGATTGGGAGGTTAATCCGTTGGTTTTTTGCCTGAAGGTAGATGACAATCCATGCTCAACGGCAACCCCGGATCTGATGAGACACGACACGCCTTGGATAAAGCTGCTGGGGCTGCCAGTGGGTCAATGGTTACTACTCGACTTCTTTTCTTTGTACCACGTATCATACCTTATTTAACTAGGTGTCTTTGCTTCGGTATGGGTCTACGTAGTATCTGGCTACCGTGACACTATTACGTTGCCCTAGATCAACCCCCTTAGCCACTGTTCACCCGCGTTGATTGTAGAAAGGGATGTAGAGTTCGTTCATTAACCACAATAGCGCAGCCTTCTACTAGTTCGTATGATCATCAAGACCTATCTCATGGATCCCATAGCCTTCAACACAATACACACATACCACGAGTAAGTATAGATTGACTTGCATTACAACTAGTAAATAGTATCATACCGCCGGACTTTCACCATTCCAGCCCGGGTCAAGACCCCTCTTTCTCCCTCAACTTCTTGATCACCACTCTGTTCATCGCAACCAGCCGCGTCGTCAAGTCCTCCTGCCAATCGGCCAAGTGCTCGTGCGCCGCCAGCAGGCCGTCCATGTTCACCGCGCTGTACCGGCTCTGCCACACCCGCACCGTGTCCTCCCGCGACGGGCCAGTCCCGTTGGTGGCACTGCCGGAGACGGCACCACTGCTCGAAGTATTCGCCTCCCCACCCCCCGAGGCCGTCCCCGCCGACAGCGCAGCGACATAGCTCGGGTGCAGCGGCGCCGGTGCGGGCGTGCTATTATTCTCGGTCACTGTAAGACGCACCGGCGTGGTAGTAGTAGAGCGTGGCTGGGTAACTTACGCGACGGGCACGGGCATCTGTTTCGGCATGTACACGGCCGACTTCCTGGCCGGCAGCCCCAGCATGCTGCCCTTGAAGATCTTGGACACCGTCTTCCCCTTCTCGCGGTGCGAGCACAGCGACCCTTGCCGCCCGTACCAGCAGTTGGCGCAGGCGCCGCCCGTGACCTCTAGCACGTCCGGGTCGCGCACCACGACGCAGTCGTCGGCGAAGATGCCGCTCCCGTTCGTGCATTTCCGGCACCACATCGACTTGGGCAGCCGGTCGCCCGCGGCTTGCATTAGGAACGACGTCGCGTTCTGCGGCTTGTGGTCATGGAAGGTCTTCGCCACGCGGGGGATCTGCTTGACGGGTCGGACGGAGAGGGCCCGCGTAAGCCGTCGCGGCCCGGTCAGTCCTCCGTCTAGAGTGGGGAACGTATGGCGATAGAGCTCGAGTACGGCTGCGTGATAGTGAGCCTCTTGGTTGTGCCACATGATGGAGGGGGGACACTCACTTTCCGGAAACGACGGGTGTAAGGACCAGGCAGAGGCGGAATCTTTGCTGCGCGGCACGAGCGTGCCAGAGCCGTTGGGCGTAGGCATTTCCTGCCCCAGCGCCTCGTCGTCTGCTGAGAAAGATTGGTTTACATAGCTGGCCCATGCAGGAATATCCTCGCCGTCCTGCTCGTCGTCGTCATCAGAGTCGGACTCCGCCGACTCGGGCTCGCTGGGCTCTGTGCGGCGGGTCTTGGCCGTAGGGGTATGATCTTCGCTGTCACCGCTCGACGATGCCTTGCGTTTCGCCTTGTTGGCGACACCTCCTAGCACATGGATAGATCCAAGGTTCGGTGGCAGGGGGAGAGGGGGCGGGATGTGTGCTGCAGGCCTGGGCTCGGGTGTAGAATCTGAAGCCTCGCTCGGCTCCTCCGCCTCCGCCTCTGCTTCTGTCTCCATCTTGAGTGGCGCGCTTTCAATGGTATGAACGGAGTCAGAGTCGTATGGCTCCTGCGGTTCAAATTCCGAGTCTGACAGTAATATTGGTGGAGGCATTTTCATCACCTGAAGTTCCAGTTCAGGTGCGTTTGAGCCTCAACCTCTCGCAAGTCGTGACACCAAAAATACTACTTCAAGTTGGTTAGCTTGTATTGTTTGTCCTTTTGGGGCTAAGAACTTGGGATTGGGAGACCAGTACTAGCCATTGATTATAAGCAATGCACTTTGCTGTCCTATACCTAATCTATTCTAGTAGTCTCAGTCATACCATTTTGCCAATATACACTCCTCAATGCTTGGCCTGGTTCCTTTCCCGGCTGCTATACACTGCAATGACAAAGGCGTATGCGAGGTGTGCGTCAACTCAAGTGGTCGCCGAGCGAGGTCTAATAAGGACATGCGGGAAGATATATTCATCTACCAAATACTGCAAGTATGAATACTAGTACTAGTAGTACCGGCACTACTAGTACCTCTTCCCACTCCCAGGCTCCAGCGGTAGCGCTTAAAAAGTTAGGACTATCCTCCAGACAAGTTTGACCCTGCGTCCTCCGTACTGGCCCAAAAGTGCTATACAAGCAACACACAAAGTCATATATACACTAATAAGTTGGTTCCCAAGCGCCCTACCGCCAGGAAGGGGAAAACATGCGGTGGCGCCCTAATTTATTAATTGTTCAAACATGCGCACGTCCCCGGCCGGCCCACGCCGTGGGACAGGCAGCCCGGGTGCGCGCCATCCGGGCAGTGGTTGGACAAGCACTGCTCGTGCTGGCTGCAGCCGCCGCCAATCGGGACGTTGAGGTCGTTGAAGCAGGCGCATGTCGCTGGCGCGCCCCCACCGTGCGAGAGGCACCCCGGGTACGTGCCGACGTCGCAGCTGACATCGCGGCAGTCCGAATCGGCGCCGCATATGCCGCCGGGGGGAGAGCTCGTCGGGGTGGGATTGGAGCTTTGTGTGGTGGTCCGCACCGCTGTGGTGCGGGAGGTGCTGGCAGTAGTAGTAGGGTCAATGTCGCCCTCGACGTACTCCCAGGCGCCGCCCGCGCCGCCCGCGCCTAGGACTGGCAGGCCGACGTTGGGGGTGTACGCAGGTCCCTCCCGGCACGAACGGGTTGTCGTCGTTGTGGTGGTGGTTCCGGTTGCCGAGCACGCCGTGATGGGGTAATCACACTCGGGCTCCTTGCACGTGGTCCGCGCCTTGCCGCCGTAACTGAGCACGGAGCACTGAACCTCGCAGTTCGAGACGGTGGTGCGTGTCCGACACGAGGACTCGTCCGGGTCGCCGGGGCTGCCGCTGCCGCCGCCGCTGCCGCCGCCGCCGCCCGTGTGGCCATGGTCGAAGCAGCCCGGTCCGACGCACGGGCCGCGGTTGCAGAAGGGCCCGATGCAGCCACACAGGAATAGGCAGGGGATCGAGCCCGGGTCGCACAGCGAGCCGCACTGGAGACCGCACTTCTGCCCTGGCCCGCACTTGGGCCCGTCGTCACCGCCCTTGACGGTAACCTTCCCCTTGTGGCCCGGGGAGGGCCCGGCGGGATGATGACGTCGCCGTCGTCGTCGTCGCCTCCGCCCACTGGGTTCGGCTTCAGGGTGGGCTGCACCCTGGACTACCGGTGCTTGACCCGTAGTCGATGTCCAGGTCGATGGCCTAGTTCGAGGCGCCGCCAAAGTTTAGGCCCTTGATCCAGTTCTCTCTGGCTTCGTAGGATGACTTGGAGAGCCAAGAAACCCACTGGTCTCCGTTGTATACCAGGATGTCGCCATTGTCATCCGTGTGCATCTCAATGTTCGGATTGGTAGCGATGATCTCGCGGATCTCAAAGTTCGAGATGTAACCGCTAGTACCCGTGCAGCGGCCTTTCGCAGCGCCAGACTCCGGCCCGGTAAAGTGGCAGTCTGGGCCCCAACAGTCGGGCTGAGCCATCTTGAAGGACCGGTCGTACATGGGCATGCCGACAATAATCTTGTGGGCCGGAGCCCCGGCTTTTGTGGCCATGACCAGCGCCAGTTCCGTTTCGGTCCTGTTGACGTGCGACCGGAGGCAGTCGCCTTTGGGACATCCAGGGCTATGTTTGGTTTTTCATTAGGTAGGGGGGTCTATCAAAGTGTGGCAGACACTAATGACTCACGAGGTCCACTGGTTATCGTAGTCCCATTGACCGTGTAGGTCGTATGTCATGTAAACGCTTTTCTCTCGGTTAGCCAAGGCGTGTTGGGAGGTCGGAAGTGGCCTACATATAATCGACGACCTTGGCTATTTCGGCGAGCGGGAAGCCTTTAAGGTACCAGAATGATGCCGGGGCGGCAATGCCGATGGTGAGGTGACTGGGCAGAAGCTGGCGGACGTTGCGGAGGAAGTCGAGGTAGTTTTCGCCGTTCTGCTTGCTCGCAGGCGGAATATCCGGAATGTCAGGGGCTCCTAGCGCGCGTTATTAGTACTCGGTAGTAGTACTTGTGGCTGGTAACCACTGGCAGGATGTAACTGCACAGGACGCACCAGGGTATTCCCAATCGAAGTCGACGCCATCTAACCCTTCGTTGACGATAAACTGCAACACGCATCAGGTCCATCAGTTCAAATTCCACGGTGCCCATATTGACAGTCTGGCTTACATTGACGACATTCTGCGCGAAGGCATATCTCTGTTCAGGTGTCACTCCCTCTCGGAAGATGGGGTACGTGTCATAGTCGGTGGAGAACGTCCACCCGCCGAAGCTCATGATGCGCTTCACGCCGGCCAGAGCTTTGAAGTCGTTGTAGGCAGACTGAAGACCGCTGACGTCGACATGGTAGTCGGCCGTTTTGTTGCCGAAGGCGAAGTGCTACTCACGCGTCAGAAGACTGTCCTTGCGTCGGGCAAAGGACACGGAAACAGAGGCGAAACTTACGATATGGGTATACCGCTTAGTGTCGATATTGCCAGCCTGTGCAAAGTCGCAGTGTTAGCTTCTGCACTCCGCAGTCTATACGAGAGAGGAAGTGATAGAAAATACCCACGCGCATGTTGAGACACGGTCTGTCAGCATTCCATCCCTCCCAGTACCCGATGCGCTTGTACTCTGCCGGCGGGGAATCATTCCCAATGATGTCCAAGCCGCAGTTGGCGATGCATTCGTTGGAACCCGGTGTAGCCGTTCCAGGGGCACCGCCGGGGACCGGACTGGGGATGCAGAAGTTCTCGTCGATACTGCATTGGCCCCAGACGTTGCAACAAGCATTGAGGGGGCAGGGGTTCAGATTGGCCAGATCGTCCATGTTGGCCGGCCGTGGCGTGCCCGGGACCTGAGGCCCGCAGGAGGCCTTGTCGAGCGGTGCGGGCATCGGTGGAGAGCCCGTCGAGAGACAGATGTTGTTGCCCACCATGAGCTTGCTAGGCAGAGGGAGGTCTGGAAGCACGCCCTCGGAACAGCAGACATACTGGCGAGGCTGGAGTTTCGAGCAGATGTCCGCGCCGTTGTATTGGACGAACTGGTCCTGCGTAATGCCGCAGCGCTGAGCGAGGGACCAGCATCCGTCGCCCGCCGCAACCTGTGTGTAGCTGCAAGCTTGGCCCATGTCAAATGTCACCGAGAGATTGGAGAGGTCCGTCCAGGACACCAAGTGATTTGAGCGAGGGTGCTGATGAGGCCGGATATGCTAAGGGAAGCCGGATGAACCTTCTGCCCTCTTACAGTACCGCTTCAACATTGAGGCAGGGCGGTGGTCCCGGAAGTCGCTTGCCGGCCATCGTCTGAGACCCGTGATCAAAGTCCCAGAACCGTCTCGCGAACCCCGGCCATCTCCACGGCGGCCTGTGTCAGTTCCGTGGTGACATTTCCAACCGCACTGTGTCCACCATATTCGACCCATTTGGAAATTGGAATCCGCCGTTCTCCCAAATTGTTTGCCCGCATGGCACGGCGGCTGGGACGCTCGGCTGCCGAACCGTAACTGTTTCTGGCCTCTGCGTCAATAGCGTGTCGGCGAAACCAGCCTGGACTCTGCCCCTGAGCCTCTGCTGACTCCGTCCTCGGTGAGCTGGTGTCGTATCCAAACGGCCTACCGCCCCGATTTGGCAAACTAGAAGCCAACGAGAAAACACTGTTGTCCTCATGATGAGGCGGGATACCTAATTCATCGCAGGTGAAAGAATCTTTTCCTGTGATAGCAAATGTTGTTGGTGGGCAGGCACTTAAACTCGGGCCGCTCACCTGCCTCCTCGTCCAACCCCCAACTCCCCAGGCGCTCTGAAGGAGGTCCCCAGACATCATGGCGCCGACTCTCACCCTTAGGGGTTTGCTTCTGCCTTTATCTGGGCAACACTCGCTGCGGCGAGGGCCGTGTCATGGCAGTGAGTGTGGCCGCAACCCCATGTCCGCTCGAACTGGATAGCTAACGAGCTTGTCAGTGATACCAGTTACTCGTTGCTGAGCACTCGCCAGGAAGATGAGCTCCTGGACGACTTTTGCACTGTGTCTTGCGACATAGGTATTTGCAATGCCGCTGCTTGCGGTGCCGGCCCGTTCCTCACGGTCCGCAGTCCGAACAGCTGGGCCCAAGAAAACGCCTCGGCACATTGGCTGGGTAAGAGGGCTTTCAGCGACGAGTCCCCTACCACATATATACCCGCTGTGTTTGCCGGAACGGCTTCCGACATGGCTTATTTTGGGCAGCCAGACCATTTTCAGGGCAGGAGCAGAATCAATGATATGTTTCTCGCCTTCAGTCACTGACCAGGTGGCTACTAATGAGGTTCGAGAGTCCGAGACGCTGACTCTCATCTTTTTTTCCTTCGTCTTTGTCAGGCCAGCTGGTGAACACGGAGCAGGCTGTGTCCTGGCAATATGAGTTCAAGGACTGGCCATTCCAGATCGTTTCAGGAGGGCTCCACGGGTGCACTATGGTGAGACTCGCGGCAACTTGCCCCTGCTTGTTTAGATGCTTCGCTAACTCCATGCTCACCAGGTAACGGTCGTTTCGAAGCGGGCAGTTTGGATGGCGCATTATTGGGAGAGTTACTCCAACAGAGAGGCGGGAAGCCCACTACGAGACGATAAATCAGACCGAGTCTGGATTGAGCGGGTGGTCATGCACCTCAGGGGGGAGCCTGTCACCAACCCCACCCCCTCCATGTTCGTCTCGCGTGTCACCGGCACGGCCTACGTCAAACCCAGTCGCAGTGCGGTCGGCATCAACCCAAATCTCTTTAACAGTGATGGCGACGACACAAAGATCTTCATCATGAGCCCGAATCGGGACAAAGCAAAGAATGCGCCACTCAGGTACCCCAACAAGGTCCGTGAGATTGCAAACCAGATCCGCAGGCACCTCGGGATCCGACGGGTACCTTATGTGACGATGGCGTATACAGCGCTTGACTATGCTGACGAGGCGGATATGGCACTGGTGGATCAAACGCACCGCGGCATGGCCCTATTTCAGTACGAACCGCAGGGCAACGGCGGCAGAGCCTGGCGGCTATTTTATGAGGATACATGCTACGATAGCTCGACGCCGAATAATAAGTGCTAGGAAGCTTCGAGGTGTAGGTTGGTAGGCCAGTTGGGGGGCGGGGGGGATTCTTTTGAGTTTGACATTCTTTGTTGGTGATTGTTTGGAGATATTTTGATGGAGAAGGAAGGCGGTTTAGAAAATTAAGGTACCTCCCTAGGTATAGTACCTTTACCATGGCCAGTTTGAGTGATCGTTCTCTGTTCTGAAGGCAGGACGGCCTCCAATGGCCCATGGGACAGAGATCAGTACGAGGAGTATCGGCGAATATCATTCCGTTGGCCGTGGCAAACTCTACTGTCTGGTGTGTAGTACAAGCCGTCCAATCTACCTATATACAGTGAAAATACCTCTATATACAGTGACGTTGGAAGCTTGCCCCTTTCTGAACTCTGGGTGATATTCACGTTCGCTATTAAGGTCAGGTAGGTACTGGACCTAGAGGCTAGGCACAATATAAGCTGACCTGCGCCGATAGCCCCGCTGCCCCAGAAAAGTTAACCCCATCGAGTAGTAATACTCACTATGGTTAGACCTCTTGTTGAATTGCCGTTCCTGCAACTTGCAAGTTCATTCATTCTTTCAGTTCGCTAACCTTGGACATGACATGACACCTCGCTTCAATTCCAAACCGCAGCCCATTCCGACAAGAACCTAACGCCAAAATGGAGACCGACACTATAATGCGATCACTCGGTACACAGTCACATCTTGCCCCACTAGAGAGACTTCCTCTTCACATCCTGGACTATATCTGCAAATACGTTCCCAGACGCAGTTTGTTTTCTTTGTCAATGGTGAGCAGGCTTTGCTACCAGGCAGCCACACCAGGGCGATTCGCACGCGTCCGATTCGTGATACATGACGACGAGAAGTTGCACTGGGATTTGCAACAATGGACCGCGATCCTCGGCCGCGAAAGCCGGTTTCGCCATGTTCGCCGAGTCGTAGTCGTCGGTCTCATGAACGATCCCTACCAGGCTGGAGACCTGCATAGGATGACTGGCCCTGAGGTGGTGGCCATTGATAATGACAACAGCGACGGCGATGAGAGCGACAGTGACAGTGACGTGGAAAACGTTGGTTTCAATCCCGGTGGTCCCACTTTGTCACCAGGGCATAAGCAAGCGCAACACGAGGCATGGCTGCCATTCGCACAATTCCTAAGCAAGCTGCCCGGCCTGACGGACCTGGTCTATTCCTGCACCCACCAGGTGCCCGCGTGCGTACTCACGGCGTTGCACAATCACCACCCGAAGAGCCGTCTGCATATGAGCACGTTCAGCCTGCGCAGCCTCTACCAGGAGAGGGACCAGCTGTGCGATATCGACGCAGATGAGTTTGCACTCGCCACTTCGCCCTGTCTACAGCATTCGCACCGTATGCGAGCCGTATGATGTACATGGGCGTTACAGTTTCAATTCGGAGGCCTTGGATCATATCATCATGTTGGGGTGTGCCCCGGGTCTGAGGCAGCTGCATATCCATGGTGCCCGTCCCGGGAATTCTCTGGCGCTTGTGCAGAGTAATTGGGCCCCGAGGGAGCCATGGAGGGGCTTCTTCCGCGAGAGTTCGAACCAGCCCTCCGCCCATTCGCTACAGCCGTTACCTAAGTTGTCGGAGCGGGCCCGGCTTGAGACTCTGGTCCTCTCCGGACTGTGCGACGCCCGGGCCTGGGTTAGTCGTACGAGATTTGATGCCCTCAGCCGCTTTGAACTGTACTGCGGCGTTTCCGTTCAGGTCCTCCAAACGCTGGCTTCGATGGCCGCGGACAACAAGTTCCCCTGCCTCAGGGAACTGGGACTGACGGTCTCTCCGTCCGAGTACAGCGAAAGCGACCCCGCCTCTCTCGAGCAGCCGGCCGGTCTGTTTCTGCAGGCCGTGCCTCCGCTACGAGCGCTCACGCTGGGCGATTGCTTCAGCAGGCACACCTTCACGACGGTCCTCTTCCGGCATGGTCAATCCCTGCACAAGTTGCACCTCTACCTAGATTCGGACGACGACGAGCACGACGATGCCGGGTTTGATGCAGGCTGGGTCCGTGAGATACAGCAACGATGTCCCAGGCTCGAGGACGTCCGGCTGCCCGTGCGGCGCCGGCAGGGTGGAGCCGAGGAGGTGGCCGTCTACCAGACGCTGGGGCAGCTGCCCCGGCTGCGGCGCGCTACGTTGCTGCTCGACCCTCGCGCGCCTCGCAGCGATCCATTAACTGGCGACGTCGGAGGAGTCCGCAAGACTCTCGTCAATCTTGCCGTTGACGAACAGCTCGCCCGGGCTATTTTTTGGGCAATCTCCTCTGCAGCCACCGCACCGTTGCAGCGCCTCAGGCTTGAGACGCGTGTCGAAGACGTGTTTGCCGAAAGGTATTGGGAGCTTCAAGACTGGGCGAGATGGATTGGGCGAAGCTGGGTATGTACTAGGCGTGAACCGCTCGGTGAAGTGGTTGTACGCGAGATCGGCGACAACAAAGCAAAGAGGGAGGTGGGGAATCTGGGAGATGAGCTCCAGGTTCTGCGAGACGAGCTGGAGCAATTCGAATACGACTTGTTCGATGGTACGGACGTGTGGAATGAGTTGTGGCCGAGGAGAGCTGAGGATTGGAGGGATGACTGGCACAGTTTCCCTCTGTCGGGGAGTGGAGGCCGGTATGACGGGTGAGGACGACTACCTAGAATGGGCCAAAGCCCCGTGGGCCCATGGCAAGGTACGGTAGTATGTACAACACATCCCTTGCTCGTCCGTCGAACCAAAACTACAACCGAGGCGTCGAGACAAGTTCAGTGATTGGATATAGTAAATACTACTAGCTACGTACTTTGGTCATTGGTGACCTGAGCTTTCCGCATCTAAGGGACCGCGAGGTAAGGCCGTTCTTACCTAGACCAAGACGACGCTCCTCTCTCCCCAGGAATTCTCGGTCTGATCCAGCCACTCAGATGTGTCATTCCAGAATGCCCCGATCCTCTCATATTTCCCACATTCCGTCTGCCGCAGCAGCAGTCCAAAATAACAGGTCTCCATCACCTTGGGCCTAGCCTCGTCACGCATATCGTGCGTCCAATCCCGCTCGAACAACAAGAGCCCGAACACTCTCTCCGGCAAAGCTTCGTCAAGGTCGTCAACCGAGACCTGTTCTTTCGGTCGCGTCCACATCTCCTGCAATAGCATCCTGTACCACTCGTGCACCACGTTGCTGCTAGGAGGTGCAGGGAACTTGTTCTGACTCTTCAACAGGCCCACCACATCCTCCTTCTTCAGCTCCGCGAACGGGCCGTGGATGGACACCGTTCCTCCGCCGACAACATCGAAGGTTGATTTTCCCTCGATCGCTTGCACACTGCAAGCCAGCACCTTGGCAAGGGGCGTGGCATCGGCGGTCACGGCATCACACAGGATTGGCGCTTCCACGGCCGCCCACGACCAGGTCGGCGCAGGGGGCAACCCCTCAGCCGGCGCAGGCCTCGTCCGCCACTCCTGCGTGCGAGCATACCACATCAGGTCTTGCAGCATGTTCTCCTTCCACAGCCCGGCCAGATACTCCATGCCCGTCAGCCTGCTCAGCTCCCTCGCAATACCTCCAATGGCAGGCAGCCGGTCCGACGACACGGTGAGCTTCCGCTGCGTGTAGTCCTGCACCAGGCTTCTCCACGTTTGCAGCAGCTGCGCGGTCCGGAAGTGATCCATCCACACCGACCCTGCACCGCCGTTATCCAACCCGGAATTCGCCACCATGGCCTGGGTCAGCCTCCGCACCGCCTTCTCCCCCTCCCCGCCGACCTTGCCCTCCTCGGAATAATACCCGCCGTCGCTCGCCACCATCCTATTGCACCGCCACGTCGGCCAGCGGCCATAGCTCAGCAACCGCGGCGACAGCACCCGCTCCTGCAGACACCACGCGCGTTCCGCCACGGGATCCTTCCACGCGCCCCCCATATTCACCTCCTCTTCCAGGAGATACAACGTGCCCGTCTCCGCCCTCGGCAACCTCCTCGCCTCCTTCAGATCCCTCGCGCTGGGGTCAGCAAGCGGGTAATCCAGGGGAACCAGCGCCTTCCACAACAACCCCGCTTCTCCATTACCACCACCACCATCATCATCATCATCACCACCACCACCATCACTCTTCATCTTCATCTTCTTCTCGTCCTTACTCTTACTAGTACTACCATCTCTGGGATGCAAGAACCCTTCGCCCACGCCCCTCGCCCGCGCCGCGACCAGCGTCACGAACGCGCCCTGGTAGATGGCGCTCATCTTGCCCAGCTCGGCGTACTTGTCGGCGGTGTCGTCCTGCACGATGCACAGCGCGTCCACCCACAGGTAGGCGATCCCCAGCGCCTGGGTGACCCGTACTGCGTCTTGCAGGGTCTGTGGAAGGGAAGACAATGGGAAGCCGGATTCAGAGAGGCGCGGAGTGAGGGAGGCGATGGTGGTTTGGAACGGTTGGGGGTCGGTGCCCCAGACGTAGCTTAACGCCGTGTAGCGGATGATGGGTTCGTGGTCGCGGGTTGGGAGGTATAGGCGGAGGTGGTCGCCGTGTGAGACGTCGATTAGGCGCGAAGGTAAAGGACCGGGAGAGGCGGGGCGGCAGGCGCTGCCGTGGTGGGTTTCGCATTCTTGGAGCCAGGCGCGGATCTGGGAGAAGCCTTCCTCCGAGGCTGGGGAGGGGTTGGGAGGGCGGGTGGTGATGTGTTTTGAGGCTGGGTCGCCTAATACATATGTACATGTAAGTTCAATAAGCCAGCAGATGATGGTACTTAGTGGTATGGGTATAGTAGTACTCACCCTTGGCAGCATACACATACCGCTCCGCCGCAATCACACCGGCCGAATGGAATACCCGCGCCTCCTTCAGGTCCTTCATGTCGTGCACCTCCAGGTTAGCCTCGGAAAAGACGAACCTGATCCTGTCAAAGTCCCACGGCTTGGCACTACTACTACCCATCCGGGAGCAGGTCGGGTACACGTCGAACCGGAACCGGTCATCCTTCAGCCGCGTCAGCGTGCCCATGCAGTGCTCGACCAGGCTCATGCGCTCCTTGTCGTGCTCCAGCGGCCGCGCATACCACGGACTCTGCGCTTCGTACAAGAGCGTCTCGAAGTTGGTCGCCCGGAAGAAGGTGTGCAGCATCCAGGCGCAGAAGGCGCAGCCGCGCTGCGTCGCTTCGACGAGGCTCGATATACGTAGCGGCCATTTGAATCCCACGGCGCTGATCAACTGACGCGGCGGGGTCTCATCATCGGCCGGTTGTTCTTGTTGTTGTTGTTGTTGTCTCTCCGGATCGAGAATGAACTGGGAGAGCGGAAGGCCCTGCGTGACGGGTGCGCACGACTGGCATCGTGCCCATGGGTAGGGCTCGCTGACGCCTGTTGTCTCCGGGGCATTGGGTGCGGCACCCTCGGCCGGTAGCGGCGGCGGCTCGGGCGCGGCGATGGTAGCGAAGGTGTGTCCCGGGTGAATCAGGGGTGCGTCGGCAATGCACTTCCCGCAGTAGTCGAAGTCCTGGCAGGCTTGACAGTTGTATCGCGGCTCGTGTCTGGGGACCTTGCGCGAGCAGCTGTCGCAAAAGTACCACCACTCGGGCGAAGGGTTGCTGGGTGGGTTGATACTAGTACTAGTAGTAGTATCGCATGTGCCACCACCAGCCGATTCGGTACTAGGAGTAGTAGCAGTTCCGTTATGAATATCTTCTCTGGTGGCCATAGTGTGTTGAGGTATACTGTTAGTAGTCTCAAACATGATACATGGGGTCGAAGGAGGTCATGTTGCTGATGTTGTCACGTCTTGCCTTCATATCCCGTGTCTTGCAAGGCAGCAGGGGGCTGTGCAAGCTGAAGGATTGCGAGGCAGCCGCAGTGGCTTAGGTTGGGCCAGGTTATAGCCACCCAAAGCGGGTATTCACTGCAGACAAGCCCTATCAATGGATTTTCCAATTAATAGTCTGGTTTTGTGGTATGCAATGAGGTGGAAACATGATGAGTAGAACAAGTACATGTGTGTGGTTGGTGGGTGTGTCCGTTGCCCCACTGTGTTTGTCCTCCCCATGAGCCCTACGTACCTAGTCTCCTACAAGTACTGAGCTTTCAACAATGCAACGGTTTCTCCCATGATATTTTCTCGCCGTGACTCCAATGTTGTCCAATTTTATCTACTGTGGAATTGTTGTGCCATGTATCTTTAGCACATCGCGAGTCTCAATGACTGTCTTTTACAACAGAAGTAGTAGTCGAACTCCAAGTTCACAGGACTTACTATAAGCTTAGCGGCTCCTGGCAGCAGCAATACGCCTCATGAGCGAGCTGGGCTAACAATACAACGCCAGATGCCTCCTTGAACTGAAATCGTTGAGGTTGAATCTCTTACTAATGCCAATACTATTGCCCTGAACACACTGCCCGAGGAACAGCAAACAGTCAGCCTACAGGGTCCCGTAACACTGCACGACGGTTAGATGCTTATGCTAGGTGTGTATGGGTGAAGAAGTTGTACGAGATTCCAAGTCGGGACAGTAAGTTCAGCCGCTGTGAATCAGCCTGGGCCGCTTGCAATCCTGCCATATACATCGCGACGTTAAGTCTGTTTACAGAAGCAACTAAATGGTACCACTGTATCAAAGCCTACTTCAAATCAAAGTGACGTTAGCGGATAGAGCCATTCAAGCTCTCGGGGCCGTTGGAACAGGAGCCCCGACATATGGAGGAAGCCCGTCGCCTCCGAACTATGCAGCGCGGCAGCGTGCACCTAACGCTGGATATTCGGGAAGTGAGAGCAGCACATGCCACAGCTTAATTGCCATTAATTAGCGCTAAATCGCTTGTGCGATGTCCGGGGAGAGAGGGGGAGACCGCGCTCCTAATGAAATGCTTATGGTTTCTGGACACGAGAGCAGGATTGGAGCCGGCAAGGTTGGTACTACCGATTCGTAGCTTATGACAAGGATTATTGCATGTGGCAAGTGTTTTGTAGTCGAACCACTGTTGTGCGGCGACTCGGAAAACCGAAGCCGGCATCTCTCTGATATAATATGTGGTGGCAAGGATATTGGATCGATTCTTCAATATGCGGTGCCGTCTTTGATCGCTCCTATACGACATAGGCTACTAAGGCAGATGGAAAGCTCGCTCTCCATGCGGCCAATATACGACCCCCGTCAACACGACAATCCCAAGCTTATTGTTAGTGGCTTTGTAAGACGTATGGACTACGAAACTCGATGCCAACCATCACTGCTGACTGCTATGGACCAGCTTTCCAAGGGCACAATGTTGAACACTACCAACGCTTTTACAGAGCTTTTGCGTTTACTGTTCCTTCAAGCCCTCCCATGGCGGCTTGGTTGGGCGCATCTGGGTCTTCATCCTAACACATCACAATCCAGACCGCCCTTATGCCTCTGACCACTATACTGCAAGTTTGCAGCATATAAATGAGTGTGGTGCGCTCGGTGGCTCACCTTCATCCTTCTGTTGGAGTCTTCTTCACTCCGCTGAGGCCAATGAGTTGTACTAGGAAACTTGAAGCGGCGGCAAAATAGATCCTGCTTGGCTAACCGTGCTAAACAGGGCATCCCGAAAAACCCGATTGGGGCGCTTCGTCAGCTCTGGGTTAACGTGTCGATGTTATGGTAGCATTTAGAGGCTTGGATGCGACGCCCGGTGCCTGGCCGACCTTCGTAACGCTTGGATAAATCTTCGCCGATCAGTCGTTTCGGTCTTGGCCCTGGGGCCTTTCTCAATGCGTCCTCGGCCATGGAGCTGGTATAGCTCCATTTGGAAGTGTTTCAACTCCGGTGGCTTGCTCGGATGGAAAGCACGGCAGATGCGTTGAGAAAAACCTCGAATGTTCGTGACCAGGTAGCAACAGTGCAGGGTGTATGTAGATCCTGATCCGTGCCCGTGTTAAGCGCTTGTTGTCCACCCTATATGAAGGGGGCATGGAAACAACAGCTACTTTTCCTTGACCCTATAACAGCACAGAGGGGCCGCTCAACTTTCTACATTCGTTCTCTACCACTATCACCAGCCTTGGGTTCAACAACATGATTTCCCTTCCCACGCTCGCTCTGGCCCTCCTGGCCGCCGTCCAGACCGTCGAGTCTGCCTCGGCCGGCTGCGGCAAAGCGCCCCCATCGTCGGGCACCAAGTCCATGACCGTCAACGGCAGGCAGCGGCAGTACATCCTCCAGCTGCCCAACAACTACGACTCCAACAAGGCGTACAGAGTCGTCATTGGCTACCACTGGCGCGACGGATCCATGAACAACGTGGCCAGCGGCGACTTCTACGGCCTGCGGTCCCTGGCCCGCGACAGCACCATCTTCGTGGCGCCCAACGGCCTCAACGCCGGCTGGGCCAACAACGGCGGCGAGGACATCACCTTCACGGACCAGATCGTGGCCATGCTGAAGAACGACCTGTGTGTTGACGAGGGCCAGTTCTTCGCCACGGGCTGGAGCTACGGCGGCGCTATGAGCCACAGTGTAGCCTGCTCCCGGCCGAGTAAGTTCATTCTATTTTTTTTGTTTCATCGTCTTATGTTTGTGCCTCCTCTCGAAACAACCCTTCTAACGGGTCCTTTTCGTATTGTATACAGACGTCTTCAAAGCCGTCTCGGTCATCGCGGGGGCCCAGCTGTCGGGCTGCTCGGGCGGCAGCACGCCCGTGGCCTACCTCGGGATCCACGGCGCCGCCGATGACGTGCTGCCCATCAGCATGGGCCGGCAGCTGCGCGACAAGTGGCTGCAGACCAACGGCTGCACATCCAAGAACGCGCCCGAGCCCTCGGCGGGGCAGCAGAACCACATCAAGACTACGTACAGCTGCTCCCGCGCGCCCGTCACCTGGATCGCCCACGGCGGCGGCCACGTGCCCGATCCCTCGGGCAGCGGTGGCGTCAAGTTTGCGCCGGGCGAGACGTGGGACTTTTTCAACGCCGCTGTTTCTGGTGGCGGTGGTGGTGGTAGCCCGCCGACGACGACCTCGACATCGGGTGGTGGTGGCTCGACCCCAACCACGAGCGCCGGAACCCAGCCGTCCAATCCCGGTGGTGGTGCCTGCGCGCCGAAATGGGCTCAGTGTGGAGGGAGAGGGTGGAATGGTCCCACGTGCTGCCAGAGCGGGAGCACCTGCCGGGTGAGCAATGAATATTACTCGCAGTGTCTCTGATAGCAAGGTTGAGTTGGGGAGTGTTGGCAGCATGGGAAGGGGGAACAATGTTATTTCATTCTATCATGTCACCGACTTAGGCTATCGCATTTAGTACTAGTATCGTTCCAATGCTACCGTACCGGAGTGCGTAGCCCGCACAGCCAAAAGTAAACTTAGGTGAGAGAAGTCAACAAAGACGCCTGATGATTTGCTGTCGCACCTTGTAGCCGTAGTGCTCCTTCTCAACATCAAAGAACTCCAGCTGTTCCCGGACCTTCCTCTCCAGGAACGCTTGGCGTGCCTTAGAAGCCTCAAAAAAAGCCCTGATGCGTGGGAAAACTTCGTTTTCATCTCTTTGTCTGTTTTCTTCCTCCGTGGCATCGCAAGACCTGGGGACAACCTTTAGGAAGACCACGTTCCAGTACACGAGGAAGGCCTGCTCGGGGCAATTGAGCCCCATGACAACTGCCGTGTGACACCTGGTTTCAAGAGTTTCGTCAGCCAGTCATGCATCACGAAAAAGGGGATTAAAAGGCGGCCTTGAATGGGACGGAAGAGAGTGGGGGGGAGGGGGGTGGGGGGGTTGTTGTTGCATGGGAACCCATACCATGTCTCCAACGGCGCCCATTCGGCGGACAATCGCGGCGGGAGGCCAAGTACCTTCTCGCGTTCCTGGACAGCTGCGCGCAGGTAGCGGACTTGTATGTTGTAGCTGTCTTGCGCGATCAACGCTAACTCCAGATTTGAGCCTAGGAGCCAGATGGGAGGTATCATGAGCTGGGCTGGGACGACGCGGCTCCACTCCCAGTCCACGACGCCGACAAGATTGTAGTCTTGGTCGAATAAGAGATTGCTGATGGCCATCTCCATATCTCCGTGCACTATAAACAGACTCAAACATCAACATTGGGTGTCAGCTGCGCCCCATCTGATTGGGGACGACACCAGCAACGCAGTTTTGGGATTTCGACGTACCAAGGACGAATGGGCCTTCGTCAGCCGCGGCATCCAGCCATTCGTCCTGAATAAATTGCTTGAAATGGTGAGCGGCATACAGAATGGACGCCGGCTCGTCCTCGGCCATGTTCTGGTCTGTCTCCTTGTCGAGCTTGTTGTCCACCAACCACAGCAAGCCGTCAACGTACTCCCTGGCCGTGGAGAAGGTTCTCCTCGGTGGGAAGACCGAGCCGGGCTCTAGACCATCGAGCTCTTGATCGGCCATGTCGACCGAGAGCGGCCGGTTGCAGACAGTGATCTCTTCTGGGTTGCAAGACAAAGCTGAGACGTCACGGGAGGGTAATCCCAAGGCTCCGATCCAGGGAAACTCTAGTTGCCGAAGCTGGAGATAGATGTCGGCTAGCTGCTGGTGAAGGCGCTTCGCAGCATGAGTCTGACGACCGCCCACGATGAGGCGGCCCCAGGTGTCGCTCGTTCCGAAGCCGTGGTCTTTCAAGCTCCGGCCGTCGAGATAGTCCATGATGATGAAAGGCAGCCCGTTCAGCCCCGTGTCAGAAAATGCGTAGGCGTACACCTTTGGGATAGGGATGGTCGTTTTGGCCGACACATATCTGCACACCAAGGGGTTGGCTCGGGCTTAGCTGATGGTCCCAAGGGTTCAAAACAGACAGTTGAGAGTCGTAGGGTCGGCTGCGTGCGCCAGAAGGGGTCGTTCATCTTACCGCATGGTTTCCAGTTCAATCTCGGTCTTTTCGTCCAGCACGACTTTTGGGTGCATGGCAGGAATGGGCATCAGGACAACCCATCGTGCCCCCGTCGGCTCGAACTCGACGAAGACACAGACATTGAAAGCGCCGCGCTGGCGTGGCCGGAACACGGTGCACGGGTACCCGTTGTGGAAGGACGACGCAAGACGACAGATCTCGGCCTCGTCGAGCGTATCGACCCATCGAGCTCGCTCCTCCTCGATCCTATCGATCGTGATACAGTCCCTCATGGCGCTGGCGCTATCTGGCTATTGTTGCCTAAATGCGTTGCTTGAAGTGAGGTCGAATTGCAGTTGGCGGTGAACTCTGTATAAATCAAGCGAAGCGTTCCTTCTCGCTTTCTCTGTAGTATCCGAAAGACCTATTTTGGCACCACGCCAACAGCCAACAGCCAACAGCCAACAGCTCACAGCCCCGGCAGCCAAACATGTGCCGTACATAGGTAGACTTGCAGTGCCAAGTTTCATCTGGCCCGCGCAGGTCGCTACACTCGAAGGGCGAAACAACAGAAATGGAGGATAGGACCAGGGATCCTGAGATAAGAGAAATAAGGAAGGAGACGAGAGGAAGAGAGGACAAAAGAAAAACGAAAGTAAAAGAAGGGAAGAAAGAGGGAAAGATATTATCAAATAGAGAGAGGAGAGGTAAAAGAAAGAAAGATGCTGTTTTCTTAGAGAAAACAAGCAACTTTCACCCTTTTTGTTCAGCTCTGTACATCCGCAGCACCCGCTTCTCTTTCTATTCCGAGTCCTAAGTAAGGTAAGGTACTTTACCCTTTGCTCTGAAGCATCAATACGCGTCTAACCTTTTCGGCCATGCACCTCCGCTACGTATTCCAGCCAAACAGCGAAACTCTCGACAGTCGCTACCTTGCTGTTATCTGGCCAGCTATATCCGGAGCGTGGCAAGGATTTCTGGGCTCGATGCGCCTGTTATGAACATGCGAAGAGAGATTGTTTTCACCTAAGTACCTAGAGACAAAGGCGCCTTCGCAGCTCATGCGACCGGCGTGCGGACCTTGTGTTAGGCCGTCTTATTGCTGGTGCATTACAGCTCACTCTGAACGTCAAATGTCACCTCGAAACCTGCGTGATCTCGAAGCTTCTGGGTGGAATGCCGAGCCTTCAGCTGCATATAGATTTAAGTTGTTGCAGGTGGCGCTTTGCGGGGAGACTCCGCAGTTCGCAAGTTTCAAGGCCAATGTCTCAAGTTTCAACTCCTCTAGACCACCAACTTCTCAAGAGCCTTAATCCCTCAACCAAACTTCAGAATCGAGCACTACGAAGTTATCCCCACCCGCACTCCTTACAATGCCGCATCTCTATAGCAATGATCAACTCAGACGGTACTTCGAACACATCGGGCTAGGCAGCGATTTCGATCTTGCCCAGGAGCCTTCTTTGTCGCTCCTCACCAAGCTGCAGACGCGGCACATGGTGCGCGTCCCCTTCGAGAGCCTATCGCTGCACTACTCGAGACACCGCCTCTTGTCGCTCGACCCGGAGGATCTCTTCAAGAAGATCGTCGAGAATGGCAGGGGCGGATACTGCATGGAAGTCAACGCCTTCTTCGCCACCGTCCTGCGCAGCCTGGGATTCAGGCTCTACAGCGCTGGCGCAAGAGTTAAGGGACCAAGCGGGTACAAGGGATGGTGAGTGAGTAGTAGTACTATGATTATCTTAAGATCTTAATAAATAACTGGGTGCACCCCCCTGAAGCTTGCACCTGTTATCCTGACTAAATAAACCCGGGGCAGGGACCACATGGTCAACATCGTCACCATCAACGGCGAGCGATACCTAGTCGACGTCGGATTCGGCTCCAACGGGCCCACGCACCCCATCCCGCTGCACGACGGCGTCGAGTTTGATGGCGTACCCCCCGCTCGCGGGAGGCTGCAATATCGGAAGCTCGACGAGCACACCGACCCCAACCAGCGCGTGTGGCTGTACGCGGTGCAGGCCGCCGACAGGGAGGACTCCTCCTCGGCCTGGAGGGACATGTACCACTTCGTCGAGACCGAGTTTCTGCCGGAGGACTTCGAGGTGATGAACCTCGCGACCATGACGGCGCCGCAGAGCTTCTTCGTGCAGAGCGTCATGTGCATGTGCACGATTCTGGATGAGCAAGAGGAGCGCCCCGTTGGGTTGCTGATTCTGCATAGGGATTATGTGAAGCGGAGGGTCGGGGGTGAGGCTGGGATCATTGAGCTGTTCGAGACCGAGGAGCAGAGGGTCGCGGCGCTGAAGAAGTACTTTGGCATTGTGCTGAGTGCTGAGGAGAAGAAGGCAATTCGGGGGCTGGCGAGCGAGATCAGGTCGAAGGAGAACCATGCATGACGGTGTGGGGGGTAGGAGGTCTGTCGAGGACTCGAGCTAGATGATAGATTCTAGACTCTAGAGTTAAAATAATAAGAGCCTTCACCAGGATATTAGGCTTGGCCAGAACAGTGAACTGAACGATATCGGTCGACTTATGAATTGATTGGATAACCTGATCAACGATTCAACGGAGTGGTCGGCGATGGGTGTTTTGCGCGTGGAAGGGGAGTTCAAGAACCTGTGAAATATACACTGTACTGTGTAACGTGAACAGTAAAATTGGGTTCCAGAGCCCTGGGTCCAGTTCACGACTCCCCGTGTCAGACGTTAGCAGGATGTTTGAGCTTAATGCTGGGTGATTGACGTAACGCGCTGTCTTTGCAATCTCAGACGCGTCTCTGTTTACTTCTTACCTGGAACCATAACGTTGACGTCTTTAACTGCACCTGCAAAGAAAAGGCCTAGCACCCCGGTCGATTCTATTACCTCTTCGACGTATTAAGATCATCACCCTATAACAAGAACAGGCTCACAAAAACTATGGCTTCCAACAAGGTACGTATCAGCCAGCATGCCCGGAATTGGAGCCCAGACGCGCTCACATGAAATTGTAGTATTGGCGCACCGCCCTCGGAGCCGTCCCAGGCGCCGCTAACATCCAAATCGGCGTGAATCCCTCCTCTGCGGTCCCGGCCGGCACTGGGCAAGAGAACGCTCCCATGGCGCTGCCTTCGGGCAAGCCCGCGGCGGGCAAGCCAGCGGCCAGCAGGAAGCGCAAATCCACCGAAGACCACGTGCCCGTCGCGCCGGCGGTCAACCTGGACGATATCGACCTGGACGATGCCGACATCGACAAGAACTGCGACCAGGTCCGGCGCAAGATTAACCGCCTGCTCGACTCGGGCGGCATGACCAAGACGGCGTTTACGCGGGAGATCGGCGTCCGCGCCAAGTCGCTGAACGGCTTCCTCGGCGCGCACGGCCAGATGAACGGGGCCGGCTTTGGCGCCTACGGCGCCGCCTGGCAGTTCTTCAAGAAGCGCGAGATGGCGGGCATCAAGCTGCCCGTCAAGAAGTAGAAGACGACGACGACACCGACCACTGTTGCTGCTGTGGGTGGTGCTAGAACAGCCCAAGCTGCCGTTGCCGCGCCAGCAAAAGCTGCCCCAAGAAGCGTCGACCTCAGCGACATCCACCTCGACGGCGAGGACCTCGACGCGGTGCCCGTCTTCGACACGTGCGACGAGGTGCGGCGGAAGAACAACGCGCACCTGAAGAAGCCCGGCGTGACGCAGGCGCAGTTCTGCCGCGACCTGCAGCGCAGCTCAGGGGGCCCTCGCGCCCGGCGAAGCCGTTCCAGGGCACGCAGCTCACCCGCTTCCGCAACTCCAAGGGCGCGCTGACGGGCGCCAAGTCGGCCGTCTTCTACGCCGCCTACGTCTTCTTCGAGAAGATGCGCATCAAGGAGGGCAAGCCGAAGAGCAAGCACCGGTTGGACATGGAGAAGGAGTGGGATCGTGGTGGCATTGACAGGACGATTGATGGGAATAGCACGTGAGTATACCTTTTTTTTTTCTCTTTCCCTGCAGGCCTTACTTCAACGACTTGGACTGACCATTTGGCTATGCAGATTCTTCTGCAGGGCTAGCGAACGTCCAGTGATGGACAAGTACGGCAAGATCAGCTTTTATTGATCTCATCTTGTCAGTTTTCAACTGCGTTTGTATGGTTTTCGCCGATGTCTCTCTTGTTTGATATGGATTGTATGTACTTCTAATCATGATCTTCTTTCATTTCAGTCCTATCTATTTTTATTCATCTCTTGCTGAAAGCTCCCGGGCTTCTTGGACTCAAGTGCTTGTAAGTTCGATGCTACGTTTCACAATTATGACGTAATGAGCCGGCACGGCCGGGGTCATATGTACCGTAGGTATAGTGGTAAAACCTGGCTTGTTCCGAAGTTGAGCTCAAGCCAAATCGGACTTCTCGCCTTGTACCCTAGAGGTAAACTTACATCTACTATACTATTATTTCACTTTACGGTAACAACCTACCCGTGTTCGGCTACACAAACCTCTACTAGCACTCACTTGGAGCACCTCTGGCCATCCCCAACGGACCATCATCCTCCCCAGGCGAGGCTTCTATCTCTCGACCGTTATTACCATCTAGAAAGATGACACGCTCCGAACTCCTTCTAAACCTCACCCCCCTCTCCACCCTCCAGACAGAAAAACACCTCATCCCGCCTCACCCGCCCTCCAACCTACCAAACAGCGCAGCAACCAACAAACCCCTCCTGTTCTACCGCCAAGCCTTCACCTTCACCTCCCCAACCAACAACAACAATAACAACCCCAGCAAAGCTTCAACGGCCGAGGCAATCGAGCACCACCTCCGTAAAACCAACATCGTGGCGCCGCAGTGGCGCTACGGGATGTATCCCACCAGCCACTTCCATAGCACCACGCACGAGGTGCTCTGTGTCAGCTCGGGGAGGGCGAGGTTGCTCTTTGGCGGGGAGGAGAACCCGGGTCGGGTGGAGGTTGTTGTGCAGACTGGGGACGTGATTGTGATACCGGCTGGGGTCGCTCATCGGCTTCTGCGTGAGGAGGAAGGGGAGGAAGGGGGAGGGTTTGAGATGGTGGGGTCGTATCCTGTTGGGGCGGAGCAGTGGGATATGTGTTATCCTGGGGAGGGTGGGGAGGAGGAGGAGGAGAGGGTCGGGAGGATCAAGGCGTTGGAGTGGTTTGGGCGGGATCCGGTTTATGGCGAGACCGGGCCGGTTTTGGAGGTGTAGGTGCAGGGATAGCGTGTAGTAGTGCCAATGATGGCGGAGTGGTGGGTATATTGATTATTAGGAGCCTCTCTGTTAAAAGTGTCCTGGACGTACCATATTGGAGTTGGGTGATCCAGTGCCATTTCAACAGCAATAGACTCTAGAATCTACTACAGAACAAGCATCTCAAAACATCAACCACGGCACCCATCGCCACCACAAACGTCCAGCTCAACAACTCCGTCCCTCGGCCCCAGATCATGCCTGCCACAATTCCAATCCCGCCTCCACCCCCACCGCTTCTCCCACCATCACCGCCGACAAACTCCCCCTCCCCGGCTCGCCAGTCTTCTGCAGCACGTAAATCTCGCCCGTCGAATCCGACGCCATCCACAGCCTACTCTCATCCAGCGCCAGCCCGGTGGGCCTAAAACACTTCTCCGGACAAACGGTCAAGTCCTTCCCTAGCAAGCCTCGCTGCAACAGGGATTTACATCTTCTCCCCGTCCGGCCACGCCTCCACCTACACAGGCCGGGCACCAGTGGCATCCGCAACCGGCACCGGGGGCACCATCGCCGGCGTCGGACCCACCATCCTACTTCCCCCCAAGCTTAACCGTCTCCCTACAAAGCTTCTACAACTCAAGCAGGCCTCACCTTCCCCGCGATCCCCGAAGCACGGGAGACCGTTCAGCCGGCCATCCTCAGGGCCTATCCCAACCTGAACCCCGTGATACTCGTCCTCGCCTACCTACAACGACACCACCACCGCCTCCTCCTCCAGATCCCAGATCGGCGGTGGTGGTAGCGGTGTGGATATTGACCCCCATAACCAGAACCAGAACCAAGCTGTCAGTCCAACAGTGTGTAATCACCACCACCTCCTCCTCCTCCTCCTCCACCTCCAGAAGCGGACGCGGGAGTGGGAGCAGGAGTGTCCTCTCACCCGGATCCGGAACCCACGCGGCGACGGCCATCCTCACAATCCCCGTAGTCATCGCCGCCGTGCTAGCCCTAGTAGCGCTAGCACTAGCAGCGTTCTGTGTCCTCCCCCGGCACCGGACAGGTCGTTTCCCCCTGATTGCCAGTGGTGTTGGTAGGCTGACGGTGGCGGCGGCTCAGATGAAGAGAACGGACCAAAGGAGGAGGAGGAGGTGGAGGAGGTGGAGGAGGAGGAGGAGGTCGAGCGGGTACGATGATGATGGAGTGCAGCAGAGCCGGGTTGAGCGGGTGGCTTCTCCTTCTCCTCCTTCGGTTGTCACTGTGAGCTGTGGTGGAGGTGATAAGAAGTCGGAGATGAATAATGTGAATAGTACTAATAGTTTCCAGTTGACAGATCGGGATAGGTGGTCGCCTACGGCTCTGGGCAGGAGGAATGTCTTCCGCAAGGAGGTGGAGCGGCAGGCTAGGTTGGGCTGAGGGTAGAGAGCATGGAGGGTGGGTGGGAGGAAACGGAGTTGACTGCTGGTTGTGGCATTGCCTAAGGTACCTAGACAGGTTAGGTTATCTATCAGCTGTCGCTTTGGGGAATCTACATATCTCAGCTGGCGTGCATCCCGTTCTTGTCCTCCTTCTCATCACAACCCATGCCATACTAGTACATACCCAGCACACCCCCCTTTTCACGCCCACCCCTCGCCATACACCCACCCACGCCCCCCGACTCCCTGGCACAACACCTAAAAAGCCGTGCATTATAGATTAGAGATGTATTGGTATCCACATGCAACCGCATGTCTCATCAGGCTCGGCCGATTACAAAGGGGTATAAGCGTCTACTAAGTATTAAGTCCCGGCTCGTGCCGATCCTTAATGGAAGCCCGGTCGGACCCGCCGCCGGGCCAGCATCGGATGAAGCAAGTGCGTGCGCTGAGCCCGCCAGGTCGTCAGATCATGGCCCCCTGTCCTCCCAGTGGTCCCCGTATCCAGAACTGCCTCCGTCCTCCTCATTAAGGTAGTTGCTAGGAAGCCCCCAGCCCCTCATATTCGTTTTAGGAAACATCAAGTATGTAAAAGCAAGACTCGTGCCGCCATCCGTACCCTTCGCTGCGCCACGCTTCTATGACCAAGGAAATTGCGATGTCTATCGCTGGTGTTTGGTATTTTTTTTCACCACCCGGCTTCAAAATTCGGCTTGTAGAAGCCCACCGCACTCAGCCGCACCTGCTTCTTGTTCTTGATGCCAGAAGACACCGGCGCTGGGAAGTCGGACGGCGAGATGGGCGAGTCCGGCCGGGGGATCCCGTCCTCATCCTCGTCGTCCTCGGCCGGATCCTCCAGAATCCGATGCGGCAGATCCGTCTGGCCATTGGGGCTGGTCTGGACCGAACCTGTCCGAGAGGAGCCACCGTCTCTCCGCTGGACTCTAGACGGCGGAGGCGCAGGCATGGCGCTTAATGACGCCCTCTGCCTCGTCGAGGCCGACTTCCGGCTGCTGATGGAACTGGCTTTGCTGTCCTGCCGTTTAAGGCTGCCGATCGGCGAGACGAGGAGGTCGTCATAATCAATAAAGTCAACCATCCCCGATACGGGCGTGTTCCGGGATGACTCGTGTGATGCTTGGTCGGAGGGAGCCCTCGACGGAACTGCCTTCTCCTTCGCTTGGTGCCGTGGGCGTGGGACTGCGCTCAGCGTCCCCGTCTCCAGGCGCATCGTGCACCTCGACGATTCTCTCGAAACACTCCCGGCGGTGGTGACACTGTCGTTGGTGACCTCTCGCCGGAGCTGATGCTCCTCCTTCTCAATGTCCTCCTCAAATTCGGCGATGATCTCCTCGCGCATCCGTGCCCGCTTCATCCGCAGCGCAGCCAGGAGCATCTCTTCCTGCCGACTGACCGCCATGAACCGCCCGCTGTTGCCGTCGTGGAGGCTGCTGGCGGTGCTGTCGCGTCGGCTCGCATTGACCGCACTGCCCAGGCTCGTGCTGCTGCGAATGGACCCATTCTCGGGTGGCGCAAGGGAGCGTTGGCTCTGCAGGTACATGTCCACGGTGGTCGGCGACAGCACAAGCGATTGGTCTGAGATCCGAGACACTGACGCTGCCCGCTGCCCACGCTGCCCCGGTGGAGCCGGGAAATCGAACTGTGCCTCGCTGCGCATCTTCTTGACTGCCTTTCTTTCGCTGTTTGCCGGGTCTGAGCCCCTGCTGCCCACATGGGAAACGGTGCGCCCGGTTGACGCCGTGCCGATGGACAGCCGAGACATGTCCTGAGAAAGTGCAGGCAGCGCTGCCTTCACCGACTTCTTGGCGTTCAAGGAACTCGAGCGCGGACTGATTCTGGGTCCTTTCACCGCTTCGAACTCTTGACTGCCGGGTGACGGTTTGGGACTAGGTGCAAAGCTGGTACGCTTCATCGGCTTGTCTCGACTGCCATGATACACACCTGTTGCGGCCGGTTGACGGGTCGAGAACCGGGGGCTGGTGGGGCTCGATTGGCCGTCGCTCGATGTCGGGACCACAAGGGAGCTCTTGGACGAGAGCTCATAGTCGTCCTCCGAGTCCGACGATAGAGCCAGAACACTGTTCTGTAACAGGTCAATCTCCTGGAGGCTGCGGTCTGTGCGCTTCGATGCCTTCGACGTCCTGGTGTGTCTGCTTGAGACACTGGCCGTGTCCGCCGGTACGGGGCTCGAAGGAGTGGCAGAGCCCGTGGATTTACGCTTCTCCGTCGTCGTAACCAGCGGCGATTGTTTCACTGAACGGGCGGCCCGCGACGAGGGGGCTGGGAAAGGAGAGAGGAGTCCTTTCCCTGATTGACCGGGGACTGGCGGAGGGTAAGAGGGAGGTCGGCTCGGGGGTTCGACTTGGTAACCACCGCCTTTCAGCTCCCGGTCCATGGCATCGGCGAAGGTCCGCTGCTCGTAGTGATCGTAGAGATTATACAAGTCCGCCGTGTCTTTGGATTGCTGTTGTTGCCTTTCGCTGTCCGGCCGCTGTGCCACACCCTCTCTCAGCGACTCTCTCGTGGTCTTTCTCCTGATATCCCGGTCTGGTCGTTGCGGAACCGGCGACGGGGTCACCAGCGGAGACATGGACATCACGGACGGGGACTTCGTAAACATGTCGTGCCCGAGCAGCTGGTTGTTGGTGTTGTTGGTGTTGTTGGTGTTGTTATTGCTGCTGGTGTCCTGGTGGAGATGCTTTGGTGTCCTGTGCATGTGAAGCAGGGACGAGAGGTCCAGTCTCGAGGGCTTCTTCCGAGCCTTCTGCGTCTGTGATTGCGATGGGTCGACAAAGCTGGCGTCATAATCTAATAAGGCCTGGGCTTTCGGCGGAAGCCCTTTCGCCATGGCCGAGTTCGATGTCTGTTGCGATATCGAGAGCGGGAGTTTGGACTTGTCGTAGTAGGATGTGATGGTCGAACTTGACTGCCGCCGCCGCAGGCTCGAAGCATCCGTTGCACCATCTGGAACCATTGACCCGGGAAAGTCGCTTTGCCGGTTCAGCACCACGGGAATGATCTCGGACTCTTGCTCCCAGTGTTTATCCCGCAGCGTCCCAAACGCAGCCCGCCCATCATGTGTCGGCCCAAGCTCAAGCTGTCCGTTTGTCGTCTCCGAAACCGCGACGCTAATTCCCGAGTTCGACTGCGTCTCCCATATCGCAGAGGCTGCCGAGTCGATGTTGAGCGCCGAGGTTCCGAGTATTTTGTGCGCTTTGGTCGTCAACGGCGATGATATCTGCGGAATGGGCGCATGCTTCTGTTTCCGGCCCGGCAGAGGGAAGACGAATTTCGACGAATGCCCCATTGCGGCCGTTACAGCGAGCTGATTTCGAACTCGCTGGGCTCGACTCGGCGCTGGCGTGCCGCGACTTTGGGTGCGGTCGTTGGCAGAAAACTCGGGTCACCGATGCTGGTGCATGGGCCGGCTGTTCGTTTTTTCTTAAGTGGCCGGGACAAGATCTTGATCACGGTCTCCAACAGGCAGTGGAGATTCCGCTCCTCGCATGAACCCAGCCACTTTCGCGACCCAAAAAGAAAACAATTGTCCAGGCGGACAAGAGAATGGGTGCCCAGTTCCGGCCCAGCAATGTGGTCATTTCCCATGCAAGGGACCGCCCGGAAGCCAGCAGACAGGCGGGACCTCGCGTCTTAATATAAGACTGCGTGGCAGGAAACGATGGGTTTCCCACACAAGACCTTTGCCTGTTGTCCCGGCCGGGCATGTGTAGACCGGGGCACCCCCTTGTAACGGCAATCAACAAACTCCCCAAGTGCGTCTGCGAGACTCCACCCACCTAAGCTGCTTCACGACATTGCAATTTGGCGGACGCAGGCCTGCCTGGAAGCCACGTTACGTCGAAGGACGGATTCTGTCGCTGCTGGTGTCAGATGTCCCTGAGGAAGGACCCCGACGAAGGTGCCGCAATTTGAGTGAGCAAAGCTCGCGCAACATTTTTGGTATCAAGAACCGAATCGTACTCGGGGCAGGTCTCGAGCGGACGACCATTCGGCGGGCCTGCATGGAGGATTGGCGAATGAGGTGGCACGCTGAGGAAGGGCCCATGCTAAAGGCCGCTAACCCAGCTGCTAATCTGCAGGGTTGCCAGCGACCCCTGTAGTTAGTTAAGCCACGCGTGTCATGAGGGGGGAGAAAACTCTCACACAACAGCGAGCGATCGATGTAGAATCCAGTGCGTTGGGTTTGGCTCCAGGAGTTTGGGAGGCCACGCCACCGGCTGTCTCCGGCGGCGTCCGGGAAAGGGGAACCGGCACGTTGGCGCACAAACAATGATCATCGTGTCTCATTCCAGCGTTGGAGGTCAGCAAATTGTGCATGCTGTCTTCGGGCGTGGTGTAGAGTGAAGCGGAGTGTGAGCTAGACCAGCGAGTGCGGATGATCGTCAGCAATCTCTCGATGCCCCAGTCGAAAATCGTCCAGCTCACAGATCGTCCACAGCGCGCAATTGCAAGGGGTGACGAAAGAAAAACACCATCCCCCGGATTTCCCAAAAATCCTACGCCAGCTAGGGTAGGGCCTAGAGTCTGGCGGGCATCTTGGACATCTCCCATGTGTTCTGCGGTGGCTGATGACTTGAGACGGTTGAGTCTTCGCTGATGTCACGGTCTGAAACATTCCTCTCAAAAGACCTCGGCTGCACCTTTCTCTACGGTATCACAGCACAGCTCAGATCCGGCTCGGCTCGGAAGCAGAGCTTTGCCACAGTATAGGTACCTTAACTTCAACAAATGCGTTAGAGCTGTGAGTAAAGCGCCAATAGCTCGATCGAGTCGGCCATATGAGCTGAAAACAAACATCATGATCTTCCAATTTAGCGCCTCAATGCCATCTCGAGTTGTGCATCCCATCTTACCATGTCCCAACAGAACTTCAGGCGCCCCGCACACCCACGTGTAGGGAGCTGCTTGTGTTTCATCCCCTCGATAAGGTCCTCCGAGATCCCGCTAAAATCCAAAATTACCGAATGATGTGCAGATCGGGGCAGCGCTGCTTGAGGTGTGACTTGCAGCCACGCCCTGATCATCGCGCATCCGCGGGGTCTGCTCATTTCACAATTTCGCGATTTGATGATCGGACTTGGCCGAGTGACCTAAGCACACGGGCCTGGCTCCGGCGGAATCCCAACATGCAGCACGGACCTCGAGCTTAAGGAGAATGAGGTCAACGTCAGCGAGCCCGTGGATGGCTAGATGATGACACGATCGGGTTCCCCGGCATGGACCGTGATGCCCATGTCTTCGTATTTTTGGAGTCACAGGGCTCACCTCCTGGATTGCAAAACGAACTCTGGCCTGTACACTAGCAGGTTTGCTGAGTTGCTTTCCAAACCCGCATCCTCGGAGCTGACCTGGGCTTCTCATCTGACCAGTCGGTGGTATTCTGGCGCCAGGTGGTTTCACACATGCATGCTTTCCATCTTATTGCTCTGTTTCTGTCACCAACAAGTTCAATAGCCTAAGCCTGGGTTCCGAAAACGAGTCAGCCTCACAGAGTTTGTGACTCAATCATATTGAATGCCGGCATAACAGACAGTCTCAAACATTACACACTGTATACTTCTGTCTGGGATGCACAGTCCCGTCCCGTCCCACCGGACTCCCGGCTTCGGCCCCAGCTGCCGAAGTGGGTCAAGGGCCCCCGGCAAAATACGGCGCATTTCGGCCATCGATCCCCGGTGTCACCGTTCATCCCCTTCTTCGTCAGGGTACGGAAGTTACCACAGAACCTCAGGCAATATATTTTGTACAACCCTCCGGCACCTTGCAGTTCTATTTCCGTGCTTACAGACGTCGAGGACCGCAGACTAGCCGGTCATGGTCCTCCAGGGTCTTGCAGCTTGTTTCCATGAAAACTGAGAAAAAGCTTAAAACTCAACAATGACCATTATATATCTGTTAACACACGTGACTCGTGCACTTCCACGGGCTATTGCTCCCGTCGATCCATCTAATCCGACGAATATATCTCTATGCCGCCCACTCCGGCAACCCCAAAGCCGCGGGGCCGTCATAACCCCTACCTCGCCGTATATATGCTACCGTTTACCGCCCCTGGTGTGCCGTTTTAACTCAGACCTCATAAGCGCCTATCCCCGTCCGAACCATCCATTCAAGGGAGGGTTCTTGTTAACCCCACTGCGACACCCACTACATCCGCACTTAAAAGTCGTAACCCGTAGCCGACGCGCCCGACAGAGCTCATATCCTCAATCATCGCCCCTCCGCCCCCTATTCGAATGAGACCGTTCATGGAACATGAGCGGCGACGCTGGCCTGGACGACGACAGCCCTGCACCGCGGGGCGCAGCGTCCAGCGGGTTCACGCCGAGCTTATCCTGGTCGAGATACCGCGGTGTCCCTTCAACCACCGTGGTCTTCTCGTAGCTGACGATATTGATCGGCGGCGGCCGAGCACGCTTCCGCTCGGGTAGGCTATACAGGTAGGTCGCTGTTATGACCATAGCTGTGCCAACGACAAACTGTGCGCAGCAGTCAGTCAGTCAGTGAGTCAGGACGGGAAAGTCTGCAGCAACCCTCCGCTGGGCAAGGAAGGTACGTACCGATAGTGAGACCTCGAAGTCAAAGAAGACCACGCTGAACAGGAAGCTGATGACGATGCTGATGCTGGTGGCGAAGTTCTTGGCGATGTTGTCTGCGTAGTTGATGCAAAGCGAAGCCAGCAGCCCGCCCATCGCCTGGAACACGATTGCTAACCACACGACAGCGTTGTACCCGTCGAAGAACCCGTGTTTAGCGATCTCTTCCCCGTCGTTTATTATGACGCCGATGATCAGCGCCGGGAACAGCGAGTAGAAAGACAGCTGGATATTCCTTGTCCAGACAGAGGCTGGCGTGGCCGAGTCCTTGAGGATCTTCTCGAAGTAGACCCCCGTCAACCCAGACACAACGGCTGCCACCAGAACCGCAGTCAGTCCAATCGAGTAGTTCATCTTCGGGGTCCCGTCCAAGTCCTCCGCGATGCCCTCATACGTCGCAGACCGCCGCGTCAGCTCGTTGACCAGCCCCGTGACACTCCGTTTCGTCAAGTCGTTGGCCGCTTCTGCAACATCCCCGGCCATCTGCCCCAGCTCATGGACGGATCGGGGGAAGAAGTGATCACTGAAGTCGTGAATATCCAACGCCAGGTCTTTAGCATTTGACGAGGGGAGAGAGACGATCGAGACGCCGGCCGTGAGCACAATAAGCGATAGCCAGCGCCGAGCGCCGAACGTGCGCCCGAGCAGGGTGATCGTGAAGACTGCCGTCGTGATGATCTGAAGGGGAGGTCAGCGAATCCCGCAACTTTACCTGGCGCCTGGCAAAGGCGCAGAGCCCGGCATGTTACCTTTAACTGGTAGAGAACCTGGAAATGGACCGCATCCAGGTTGCTCAGGGCCACATATTGTAATGTATTCTCCAACGTGTACAGCACCGCCGGAATCGCGAGCTTCCAGCCATCCCCCGAGAAGGCCGAGTGGTATATCTGTTCGAAGATCACCGTCACGGGCGTTTGTGGCGCCAGACTCCTCGAGACCTCGTGCATCGAGAGCGTTAGCGATATCGCGAGCTTGATGATCTCATTGAGTAAGACGGCGGTCGAGGCAAAGTAGCGATGATCGCCCGGCGGTCGCATTATTCGAGAGTAATGCATGATCTGGAGGTCGCGGTGTCAGCGAGGGCAGTCGCGGGGGGGAGGGATCCGAGCTGTCGAGGAGGCGGTACGCACCAAGATCAGTGCCGAGTTTTGCAACATCAGCTACGCATTCCATGTTAGCTTGCGACTGCATCCTTAGCCCGCGGTAATAGAGGCGAGACAGCCGTACTGTGAGTAGCGATGCCTGCTTCAAGGGCATGCCGAGCAACGTTGGCCCCGTTGGGATCTTGGGACTGTGGGCCGCCATCTTGCGGGTAGCGCTTTAAGGGCATGTGGCCGCTGTTGGCCGGCAACTCCGCAGAATGTGTCTTCTTCACGGCAAATCGAGGATGTGATTCTCGGCGGAGAATAATGCTACCCCTCTGTTGCAAGCAATGCACCTGTAGTCGCAAAATTCTGTTGTTGCCGAAAGGGTGCTTCCCGTACGTAGGCCAAGCCGGGAAATTGCCGACGCAATGCACGGTCGCGTGTCTCGCTGGATGCCTCCTGCAGTTTCAAGGCACAGCTGCAGCAGTGCTGGCTGCTTCGGATACAACACGGGAGGCTAAGGTCGTGGATTTAGGCTCGCAAGCCCTGGTTTCAGCTGGTCCCTTTGGCTGTTTGACGATGCGAAACTGTTTGGGTGATTGGAAACGGGTTAACTAAGGTAAGGTACAGGTTGCTGTGAGTTTCCCACGGCTTGAAGACGCGACGGTTCTTTGTCGACCTGACAAAGCGCCAATCTGCCGTCAGCGTACAGTTAAGGGTGGTCGAGATGTCGGAGATGCGACCCTGTGGCCTGTGCCGCGGCAAATGTTGGTCGAAGCAGATACGCCGCACAGTATAAAGGATCCAAATACACAGACACTTCTGCAGGTCGGGTCCTCGAAAAACCCCGTCCGCCGCGGCACGTCATTCACCCATTCCCCTCAGCGACGTTCTCCATAACGGGATCTGCTCCCCACCATGGGGGATTCTGGGTTATTTCCTTCTGATTTATATGAAGCTGTAAGACGAGGAGGCAACGAAATTGCTGGTAGTTCGGTCCTGCGAGCCCTCACAACTGGACGGATACATGCCTCCAAAGCAATCCCTTCTTCTCTTCCTGTGTCACCTTAAGGCGGCCCTGAACTAGCTGAGCGTGCTCAGTGTAACCTCAACCCCACTCGGCAATGGTGCCCCGCATTACTTAGATGTGGGCTTTGTGCCGAGCTCCATCCGGCGACCCATTGAACCCGGAACGGAACCCCGCCCGAGGTTTTGACAACCGGGCAGCTATGAACTTATGAAGTGAGAAAAGGTGTACCTATTGGGTACAAGGGACTATTATGCCACCGTTGCCGCTTGACTACGAGGTGTAGAACTGCTGGCAGATGAACAAGCTCCCGAGAGAGAGCGGACACTGAGACGACTTAAAGCTTTAACATGCAAGGCAAGGGGCAGACAAGCTCAAGAAAGGGAAGGATTAGGAGGGGAGACAATTAGAGGGGCACTGTCCTGTCACCGCGACAGATATGAATACGGCTTCAAGAAGGCCGAGGTAATGGCAACCTAGATTGTACCTCATCGATCAATATGAATGATCTGGATGATGTTCAGGGCTAGCATAACACAGGGCTCAAGTTGGCAGGAACTGGCAGAAGGGCCATAGATACTCATACTTCATGAAGTCGGAAACAGAGCGATGCGAACTCCTGACAGCCTCAACGAGCCGGCGGCGAATTCGCAGCCCTCTGCCGCGCAACTCCCTCGGGATCCCCCTCCTTTGCCTTGCTAGCCACGGCTCCCGGCTTGGACATAAACATGGCATACATTGCTCCCAGACCGACAGCGCCGAGACCGAGGTATCTGAATCCCTCTCGTTAGCACTCGACTCAACCACAGCTTTCTGTTCAGAGCAGAAACAACACGTACATCAGGTTCTTGTTGGGGTTCGTGCCGTCCTGGTTGTATACCTTGGCGGTTCCCTTGTCGCCCACGGAGTCCTTCGACCCAGGATCGGTGCTGGCGAATCGAGTCTGAATGGGCCGGAGCCGGTTCACCTGCTGCAAGGCAGGGCGGCGCGAAACGCTGCGGATGGCGGAGGTTCTCGCGAGCTTCATGGTGAATCTGACTGCTGTTGATGGAGGTGAGGTGGATGGATAGTGCCGGGTACTGAAAGTTCTGATTTCGTCGGCTTTTTCGGTTCTCGTAGAAATTGGAAGTGAATTAGTTTGTAAGATGCGCGTTGAAAAAGGAATTCCGTGTTCTGGATTCCAAGGTCGACCGAGCAAGTGTTGTTCCTGAGAGCAACGCCTATGACATCATCACCGTTTTCGTGGGCTGATCCCCACAGCTACCGTACAACACACCTTATTGCAAGACTCGGAACCGAGAATTGGAATATGTCCACATCTTCGGTTACTACTATTGCTTCTGTTAACTTTACTCTACCTAGCATACACGAGTTGTTTCAACTTGTGCTATTTATTCTCCCGAGCTAGTACGTCGAGACCTTTGTCTTTGTTTGCCATATCCACAAACACGCTATTCGGCAGGAAGGTTGTGCTGAACCAACAAAGAGTCGACGCGGTACCGCGCCAGACATAACTGCGGCGGCCGCCGACAATGTCGGCGACTATGCTCTTCGCCGCCACACGAGGATCCTGTCTGTTGTGGTATATCAGACCCTTCTTCTGACGATCGATGGTCTCCCAGATCTTGTGGTATCGAGAGTCAGGGGGCAGTACGAGATCTGGCATGCCGGCATGGACGTTGGTGGCGCAGCCTCCGAGCATGACCGTGACGACCCGCACCCCGAAGGGCTGCAGCTCGAGGCGCATGGTTTCGGAGAGCACCGTGACAGCTGCCTTAGAGCTCGCATACGTGCCTAGGGTGCAGAAATGGTCAGCTCCGAAGCAGCGAGGCTCGTGAAGTGGAAATATTGGAGGTTCGTCAGCGTCACGACCTACCAGCCCAGGCAAAGTTGCAGACGGCAGACACCGAAGAGATATTGCAAATAGCCCCTTGGGCCTTGATGACCATGGGAGCAAAGGCTTGCATCATGGCCAACGGAGCCCAGACGTTCAGGTCGTATAGTGCTTTGGCCTCGTCGATTGGCGTGTCTAGGAGCGGCAGGGTGTGGTCGGCGCCTGCGTTGTTGACGAGAACATCCAGGAGCCCGCCTGTGATCTTCTCGACAGCTTTCACGCACGATTGAATCGATTCGGCCGACGTGACTTCGAGTTCTAGGATGTCTATTCCGTCCATCCTAGCCAGTGCTCCAGCCTTAGCTGTGTTTCGAAGTGTGGCAAAGACATGGAACCCTCTGGCGTGGAAAGCTTCGGCAAGGTGTGAGCCCAGTCCACCGGCACTGCAGCCGGTGATTAGAACGGTCTTCTGTGGCATTCTAGTTGATGATTTTCGGAGCTGAGTGGGCTGTGAAGTCCAAATTTAGTGAAGGCATGTACTTTCGCTACACGTCGTGCGAAAAGGGTTCACATACACCGCTTCACTTACAAGCTGCTTATATGTAACTTAGAAGCCGAACACCGGCCCACCTGGACCGGAATTCGGCCGGCCAAATCCGTGTCGCCGCAACACCCCGACGGATTTCCTCCGCTTACTCCGTATATCCTCCTTTGTCGCCTCTTTCCTGCGGAATACGGACACCGCCATACTACTTGCTTCAGCCGCCTTTCCTGCTTCAATACCGTACAGTTGATAGTATGGACAGGCGCAGGCGAGCCCCTGCTAAGACAAGCACATACGGTCAAGCGTGCCTGCAATGTTTCAAGGCAAAGTGCCGATGCGAACCTAACCCAGCCGCCGGCCCTTGCGAAAGGTAGGTGGTGTATCTTCCAAGACAGCACCCGCTAGGTATTCTGGGTCGGGGTGCATGTACACGGCTGATACCATGATCGCATTGCAGATGCCTGCGTCTCGGCAAAGATTGCCAGCCGTCAGACGCGGCTCGCAGACGCAGTGCCCAAAAGGCCGGAGCACCGGACGCACGCATTGCCCAGCTGGAAGGCAAGGTCGACACCCTCTTGTCAGCTCTGCAAGCTGTCGTCAACCCATTTGGGTCTCCTGCCGGTGTGCTCCGACAACTGAGGGAGCAGGGAATGCTAGATTCTGGGGCCAGCTCAGAAGACGCTACTCCGACCAACTCCGTCGGTACATCTACCGGCTCGGATCCTGCTATTGGGACTCGGCCCACGCCCACTTCACCAACCCGAGGCTCCCCAACGGCGTTGCCCTATTTTAAGCGTGACATCCCTCCTTATCCCAGCATATGGCCCACCGAGGCCGATGCAGAAAGGTCCCTTGCGTTCTTTCGATCCGAGATGCTACCGAACTTCCCATTCCTCAACCTTGCTCCTACCATAACCGTGACCCAACTCCGCAGGGACAGGCCAGTCCTTTTTCAGGCCATTATCACGGTCACCACATTCTCCACCCGGACAAGGACGCCCCGGATCGAAGCGCTGAAAGAAACCATCTTTACCTCGGCTTTCGTCGAGACCCAGTCAGACATTGACTTGTTGCTTGCCGTGCTGACGTACATAGCATGGAGCACCGACGCCTTTCTTGGCCGGGCAGACCTGCTCTCTCGGCTCATGGTGCTCGCCATATCACTGGTTTATGACCTGCGGCTGTTCAAGCCGCCAAGGCCGGATGTGCAGGCGATCGTGGCCTACACGCAGGGCTTCCCTGAAAAGGACCAACGCCCCAGCGAAGAAGACACGGTTCACGGTTTCATGGAACGGCAGAGGGCGCTCTTGGCATGCTTCCTTCTAAGCTCGCAGTATGTATACTACTAGTACCTACTTACTAGTACCTGAGCAATTATTCCTCCCGGACCCGGAGATGGATAGGTGTTGACACTGACACAACGCCTTTTCGCTGCTAGCATTTCGTCCCACTTCGGGCGTATTGACGCTCTACGATGGAGCCCCCAGTTGGAGGAGGCATTGCAGGTCATCGCAAGTAACAGGTCTTGCCCAACAGACAAGATATTGGCATACCAGGTACGACTGCAGTTGCTCGCACACAGGGCATCCCAGGTGCGGGAGCAGCACGAGGCGGATCATCGCTCGCGTGCGGCATCATCTGGTACTGCAGCCTCTACGGGGGCTACCTCGGCGGCGGCGGCACTCCTCTACCTCAACACTCTGCGCGCGGAGCTGCAGGCCCTCAAGGACTCACTCAACCTAGTAGACCCTCAAGGCGAGTGCTCGGCCGAGAACGCGGGCACGGCGCACTACACGCAGACGCCGCCGCCGTTGCATAGCAGCAAAACTGGCATCCCTCACCCTATCCTCGCCACATACGCAGACTACGTCCAAGTCTACCTCGACCAGTCAGCCCTGTCAATGCTGTCAGTGTCGACCGCCGGCCAACCCCAGTCCCAGCAGCCGAACCCTCCTCCTCTCAGCACGTCAGGGACCCCAGCAGGGGTAGCACTAGTCCCTGGATTCGAACGACTCGAGTGTTTCTGGCGCAGCGTCGAGGGCATCAAGTCATGGCTCGACCACTTCTCCTCCTCCTCCTCCTCCCGATTCCCCCCGCCCAAGTGTGTCGGTCTGCCGTCCCACTTCTGGGCCCAGGCAATCTGGTGCAGCGCCATCCTGAAGCACCTCTCCACCCACCCGGACCCGGCGCTGGATTGCCGCGCCGTGCGGCACAGGGTCGATCTGCTGTCGACGCTGGACTGGATGGTTGTGAAGCTTGATATGGTTAGTGATGAGGCGGATCGTGCGGGTAGTAGTAGTGCTAGTAGTAGTGGTGGTGGGGGTGGTGGTGGTGTTGGTGATCTTCAGTCCAGCAGCCGCGGCGATAATCTGTTCAAGGTGTTTGCGCGGCTGTTTGGCAGGGCGAGGGTGTGGGCTGAGGCGAGGTGGGATGTTGTCGTGCCGTCTCAGGGGCAAGGGGGGTATGTGCTTGTACAAGGACAAGATCCTTGCCAGCCTCATCATGAAGCTGATGAAGATGGTCGTGTAACAGGGATGGACAGCGGCGTACCGGATGTGGAGGACTTGTCATGGATGCACGCGATGGATCTGGACAATGATAAGTGGTTGGAGGATGTACTTGGCTGGACTCCGGCTAATGTCTAGTACAACTTAAGGTTACGTAGTACTAGGCGGGAAGTATATACAAGGAAACGAAATCCACACAGGGCGATTCGTCCGGCATTAGCAAGTAAAGCACGGCGCTACTATCCAGCCTCACGCACTCCTCTTCCGTCCCTGACGGCCCTTGCACGTCCTAACCGGTGTGGTCTGCTGAGGAATCAATGATGTGGAGGGAGCGGCTTGACTGCTCGTAACGAGAGAAGTAATAGGAGCAGGTTGTTGAGGAATCTCGGTGGCTGAAGCGACCGGAGGGGCGGTTGTAATTGCGTCGCTCTGCTGCGGAGTCGACGACGAGGTGGCGGCAGGGGGCGGACTGGAACTGGGAGTGCTCGAGGGGCTGTTGCTGTTGCTGTTGCTGCCGCTCGACTGCCAACCCCTGTTGCGAGAGAGCTCGTACCACCAGTTGCGGAGCATCCAGCCGTCGAACTCGGTGATCTCGGTCGCCGAGCCAGCAAGCATGATGAAGTTGCTCACGCCGGTCGGGGTCCAGTCATAGAAGTCATCCAGGCCGAAGGTGTGGCCCATTTCGTGCAGCAGAATGTGGATGTTCTCGGCGCTCAGCGCGCTCACCATGTACTCCTTGCCGACCTGCTGGCCCCAGTCGCCGCCGAAGCCACCGCCTAGGCCGTCAGTCAGCCACAGAGACTGGTCGTAGTGCCGGTCCGCGCCGTTGGGGCAGCGGCTGTAGTCGCCGTCGTGATGGTAGAACCGACCACAGGCGGGCGCGCACTCGGGGACGCCGGCGCCGTCCTTGTTTGTGTAGACGTCAATGCCGCTCGTGTCGCCTTCGAGCAGGCCGGTGTCCCGAACGGCCCAGCCAACGACATTGACGCTGATCTTGGAGAAGGGGAAGTTGTCGAAGCCGTACAACCACTGGAACCACTTCTCGTACTGCTCGCTGGCCGCTTGGGCGATCTGGCTGCGCTGGGCCGCCGTGACGGGCGAGCTGGAATCCCATCGAACACACATGTTGATGGAACTTCGTGAGGTTAGCTAATCTGAAAGATACTAGTACATGGTGGGTAGGTCCTAGAGTAGTCGGGCGTCGGTGCCATTCATACCCATTAGTGGCCATGATCTGGTCCCAGCCATAGTTCTTGAAGCCAAAGAGATTGCCATCACTGTAAGTCTTCAGGCAGTGATCCCACACCTCCTTCAGGGGGGTTGCGAGCTCGGAGGGCGGGTTCCATCCCGACTGTCTCTTCACTGGGCGGTTCCGGGCATGGCCCAGATGACGAGCGTGGTTCACGGGCACGAGCTTCTCCCAAACAGAAGCGTCAAGGTCGGAGGAGGAGGAAGAAGCGGGCGTGTGGGCGACCGTGGCCGACGCGGCGAAGGCCACCAGACCAGCCGTGGCGATGAAGCGCATGTTGATGGATAAGCAGAAAAGAATGGAGGCAAAGCGAAACGTCAACGCGAAAAACGAAAGGCACGGTTCACAGAACCGGAGAGTGCTACTCAGACAATCCACAAGCAACATCCAAAGGGTCACAACGACATACTATATACTACTCCAGTATTCGTAGTTCTAGAATACGAAGAACACACGCTCCCCGGGCCCGGAACTGCGGAACTGTGACTAACGACCTATTGGCGGGAGAATTGACCTTGCGGAGCGATGACATGGTGCTCAAGGCGTATAGGATCATCATGGCATGATGGGTTAGTAGGTAAAGCCGGCGCTGAAGACTCTGAAGTTGTGCCTGTCCGCGTATTCGATCTCCGTTTTCCGATGTTTTCCGCCGCTTTCGGGACCTGTTGCCCCGGGGGAATTGTTTCAACATCTTCTTGGCGGCGTGCCTCCGCGAATAACAGGGCAAACGAAAATGGGAGAGAGGATGTCTCGGGCTCTCGGCATATCCTCCTGATCCCTGAATAATATCCGATTGTCCTAAGCGATCTTCGTAGGGTAAGGTATGTACTCCTCAGTTGCGCTCCGCAACAATCGAAACCTCGAAGAGCCCGAACCGAACCCTTCCTGCAACACCTCGCCAAACAAAACCCACCACCAAATGGCACCAATACTCGCCAAAACAGGCCAAAACAAACCTCACCGCAACGCCCTCATACCTTAGAGGTAACCAACCTCAATCATAAAACCCATGGGGCCAGCAACCACCCCTTCAGCGACAGCAGACCCTGTGGCATGACAGCGACCCGCCGCAGCAGTTGCATCCAATGGTCATGGAGCCGCCGCGCAGGTGAAGGTCATTCTCGGGTTGCGGGCGCGGCTCGCTTTTCTATATTTTGAGTTGGCGCGCATGGGATGTCAGCAATGGCCTGGTCTTGATCGCGATCAGGAATTTGAACCTACCGGTTGCTGCGTGATGATCTCTGCTGACGTTCTGCCGGGCGCGGACGCGGAGGAGGTTAGCGCCGCCTCCATGGGCGCCTGCTGTCGCGGTGGTTCGACGGTGGGCATTCTGTGAGCGTGTGTTTTGTTTTCTGGGATGGTTGAATTTGACTGCTTGAGTTTTGTGAGTGGTGGAAGATTGGGAGGATTGAGGGGTTGTGATGGTTCGGTAAGTGGAAGTGCTGAGTAGAGATTGCAGTCGCACTCACCGCCGCCGGTTGCGGGTATGACGAGACGGTTGGTTTTAGCTTTTCTGGCGCCCATCCCAACCGAGTCAATCTCGAAATGGCTGGAAGCACTTGGCGCATACACCCGCGCTGGTTGGTTGCACAAAGCGGAACCAAGTAGCGTTCGATTCAGCTGAAGCCAAGGCACTGCTAGTGCACTGCTGGCTGCAGATAAATGCCGTGGCTGGATGGCGCGGAGCCCCGCAAGTGAACATGAGTTACAACATGACGCGGCGTGCCGAGCATCTAGAGGCGAGGAATCAAAATTTAAGGCTAAGGTATACAAGCGCGGGAGGTGAGATCAAGGTTCCAACCGTTGTTTTGACAGAGCTTGAACTTCTCCGTTATTGGCAGCCTCACGACTGTAGAGATGCTCAAATTGTGAGAGATTGGCTTAGGAGCGGCGATGTCGGCGTAAGGGGCCAGTTCTTGCACAACATCTAGCGTCAAGTGTACCTGTAGGTAAGGTATCTAAGGCTCGGTCTCTTTGGCGAACCGGCCAATGCTGCAACCCGCTATGTATGATCGGACGTCAAGGCAGGGCTTTTCATTGATTTGTTCTCATTAAAGATACTTAGTATTATCGGGTTGCAGGACATCCAGGGGCCACCTGTGATGTTGTCCAAATCGTACCTAACAGCAGTAACGTATGTGACTCTTCAAATACCTAAATTGACGGAACCAACCCTGCTAATAAGCATATCCGTAGATTGGAGATTGTCTGGATAAAGCGCGCGATGACGTGCGTCGTCTGGCTTTCAATAGTATCTCACGGTTTCTCAGCTCGTATCCTGCGCATAACCTCGGCCACGGCTTCTCTGAACAGCCACATAGCATAAGCCTTGTGCAGCGAAAACAGGATATCAGGCTTCAGGGGCTTGTCAACCGTAGGGTTGCATGACATGTGGCTTATGTAGACCCGGATGCTGTCGGGACGCTTGCTCCCGTCCCGGAGGATGGTGAATCTGTGCACGCCGGCGAACTGGGCCGTGTCCGAGCCGAAGACAATGTCAACATACGAGCTCGACGCTTCCGTCTTCTTCTTCTTCGCCGCCACAGACGAGGAGGGCTCGGCCAGCTCAACGTGGGCGACCTGGAACGCCCCGAAGAGTATTGTATAAAGCGGAGGCAGGACATCGCCCTCGAAACGCTCGATGTCCCAGATAGGCGGTGGGAGTGATGAACTCGTTGAAGGGATTGCTGTGACAAGCTTTTAGTCAACTACTAACCCACCCATCAGAGGAGGTAACACCACCTGACCTGTGAACTTGACCAAATCAGGTCTTGCGAGCCTCAGCAGCGCCCTCTCAGGAGCGAATACCCGGCCGCCGAAGAAGCCCCTGACAAACGCAGCCAGGAGGGCCTCATCTTTCAGGCCCTGGGCGGCTGGGGGTACATCGACGTCCATGAAGCGCGAGTCGACCAACGCGGTGTGGCCGTGGGGATTGATCATGGTCTTCCTCGTCGCTGAATCATTGAGGGAGTCGGGAATGCTATCCACCTCAGTGATACGCCGCCGCGGGGCTGGGGCCATCTTGAAATAGACGGTGATGACATGTTTGGTGAGCAGCAGAACGACGCCTGCAGAGACTAGTCGCGTTGGTGTTAGTTGCGAGTTCATCTTGATGATGACCTCGGAAATTACAGGGGTTCACAGATATTGGCGCAGACAGGGGGCATTGCCATCGTTCAAAAGCCTAGGTATATATATATATATATATATGCCAGGAACTCAGCTACATAAGTATGACTCTTAATCACTTGCACCGGGCCATTCAAGGCCCAAGGAGGGTTCCTCGTCTCGCCTAAACGATCAATATTCAAGGTCACTTGACGTGAGCGAACCACCCAGTGCATCCGGTTCTGCCCGCAAGCGCCCCGGCATGGTGGAACAGTGGGGGCTGACATTGTGTTTAACGTACATAGCGGCTGCTTCGGGCCGGGTCGCGCGAGCGAAAAAGCGGCGAACCCCGCTCACACCCATTGGGTGGGTAAGCCGGAGCCCCTGTGCGCGACAGAGCAAATGATTCCCTTCCGCTTTATTCCGCCACGATCAGCAGCCGCACACGTCCACCAAGGCGATGGTCGGGTCATGATCCGACACGACGTCGTCGAAGGCGGCCCACGAGTTGAGATGGAGGTGCTCGACGCGCGTGGTCTTGCTGTGCGCCAGCGCAGGGCTGACAAACATGTGATCGAGAGCTTGGGCGTTCATGTCATATGCGCTGTATTTTTGGTTTTCTCCTGGTCAGCAAAATTACCGCTTCCTCCAGGTTCCCGCGTCGGAATGAATACTACCACTGCTAGGAGTAGTAGTAGCAGTAGGCACCACATACTATGTGTATCGCTCCTCGACGGGCACGTTGGTGGCCTCGTCGATGTCCACCATCTTAAACATGGCCGAGAAGGTCTTGAGAGGTTGCACGAAGGAGAACTCGTTGAAGTCCCCGGCCGCGATAACGCGCGCGGATGGATCAAGAGCCAGGATTTCGGCAATGAACGACTGACCTTTTTGTTAGCAAAGCTCAAGACAACACCTTATTAGGTGCTGATATTGGGAAGGGATGCGGTACTCACCCCCGTCACATTAGCCTGCGCCATCCGGGCCTGCACGGCGCCGTTGATGGGCGGCCTCACATCGCCATGCAGCGACGTGCCGCCGCCTTTGCTCGACCAGTGCACGTTGACCGTGTAGAACGGCCTGTTCGCCCCCTTGGCCTTCCACGCCGCGGCAAGGGGTTTCCGACTGGCTTCCCACGCGGCATTGGCGGGGTCGATGCGGCCGGGGTTGAACGAGAGGGTCGGGGCACCGCCGAGGCCTTTATTACCCTTGCCCGGGGCAGGGACAACCTCTGTAGCGTCGTTGGAGCCGCCCGGGTTGGGCTTGTATAAGCTCAGCACTTCCGGGCGGTAGAGATACGCCACGCGGATGTTGCCACCCGGCTGGCCGCCGTCCTCATCAGAGACCGGGTCGATGTCGGTGAATTCATAGGCCACGCCGCTGAGGGTCTTGATGGCGTCGACAAGAGCGGCGAGGGTGGCGTTGGCGTCGACGACGCCGTCATCCGTGGGCCCGTTGTTGTCCTGGATCTCCTGGACGAACATGAGGTCGGGCGTCTTGAGGTAGTCCACGATGTGGGCGGCAACTTTGGGCAGATGGGCCGATGTCGGCGCCATGTTCTCAACATTGTAGCTGCCAACCGTGAGGGCTTTGCACTTGCCCTGGCTGCGCAGAGAGGTGGGAGAGACGGATGCGGACGCGGAAACGGTCGTCTTGATGGCGGTCAGGGGCAGGATGTTATAGAAGCCGAAGGCCTGCTGGATGATCCCGGTGATGTCTTCGAATTGATCGCCCATCTTGGACGTTGTGGGGTTCTTGGTCCCGTCCAAGGGTGTCCCGACGATGATGACTTCGGGGTTGGAGTCTGCCGGTCTGGTGTGAGTACGAACCTGAATAAGGTAAACATCGCAGAAATCCCAGAGGCTCACTCACCCTTGTCCGACATGGTCACACCGCCATGCTTGTTCTTCCCCGTCACGACCCAGTCGCCAACTACCCAAGTGTCGCCATACTTGTTCGGTGTCTTGATGGCCTGGGGCTTCTTGATTGTGACCAGCTCACCGCTGAGGCTCTCCCAGAAGTCTAGACCGTACTTCGCGGGATCCAGGATGGGGTTCGCCTCGGATATGTTGGCGACTGCATTCGGCAAGCTGTAGATGTCGCCGCCATCGAGACTGCTGTACTGCGCTGTCGGGGGCGACGGAGTGTCCTTGCCAATGACGAGCGGCGTCACTGTGTGTCCCGATGACAGCACGCGCACGTTCTTCGGCGAGGTGATCTCGGTCAGATAGATGTACGTGGCACTCGAACGGTACTCGGACACTTTCCCGTCCAGGCTGATGATGTCCCCAACGGTCAAGTTGGCGCCCACGCTGTTGCTGAAGACGTACACGGCCTCCGACGTGGCCTCGTCGTCATCTGGCGTTGTCGACCGGATCCAGATGCCGTTGGGTCCCTTGGCAATCAGCAGGCCCGTCACATTCGTCACGGACTTGCCCGAGTAAGGCGAGATGAACTTGTTACCGTTGATCTCGGCAATGGTCAGGGCGGCAGCCAGCGACTGGAAGCCGGCAAGGGCCCAGCAGAGCACCGGTGTTGGCCTCATGGTGAGCTGTGGGTGGGCAGGGTCCGCGCGGTGACACAGCTTGCACCCCCACGGCGATCATGGCAGCGGGACGGTGCAGTTATATAGGTACATACTGCAGAACTAGCACGCAGCTGTCATCGCACGTGCCACCGGAAATTGAAAACGCGTCCAGACTTCAGAGCGATAGGGCGGAAATCCAGCGTTGCATCCGCTCCGTTACTCGGTGTCGCGATGGGGAATTTCAGGGGTTCGGCCGTGTTATTGGCCCGGGCGCTCAGCACGTTGCAGCCAAAGACCTGCCTGAATGGACAGGTGCTGAAGCTGCCAAGCTCGCGCCAGCTCTCTAGCGGATGGCTCCGAGTATCGATTGGTACCGAGGTGCAGGGCCCAAACTTAAACAAGGAGGTCCGATTTGATAAAAGCGCGACTCCGCGCCTCGTGTGGCCCGGAGAACACCACGCAACTGATGAGCCAGAGATGGCCTTGTGTGGTGACTGCCCACTACTAGTAATCACCACCATCCCGTCAGTCCTCTATCCGCGTCCGGTTTATTGCAGAAGACATGACGTCTCTTCCGACAATCAGTAATCCGTACAGGCCGCATCCTGGCTAAGCCGATACGCAGCTCAGGGACAGGGGGTGGGATGGCCGCATAGGAAGGTGAGTCTGACGTGGAACAAGGCCCGGAAGAGATTCAAGCCCGCTTTTTATGACTGGGCTCATCGCTGTGTTTGAGCCAGTCTTCTCGAAAGTAGCACCAGACGTCCCGTCGTCTTTTGATCCTGACATGATTCAAACCGGGGAAGCGAAGCCGCTGCTGTCCAAGTACATTTTCCCCGACATACACCGATGTCGGCTCGAATCTGAAAACGACAAGCCCTTCCCTAGTATTCATATGCCAGACGAGAGAAGAGTTAGTTTTCGGAACCTTTCCGCAATATTATTAGGCCAGGCCTCGCAAGAGAACTCGAGGAATATGCCAAGTTCTTCGAACCGTCTGTGGTTTGAAGTCTCATTGGGCGCCCAAAACGGGCACTTGATGACAAGCCTACTCGGGTCATGGTTGACTTGTATGATTCGGACGAGAAGACAACTTGCTTCTTCAAGGCAGTTGAGGGGGAATGGGTCGTTCCATAGATTCCAGGTAACGTGCGCGGAAACCGTGATAGCGTTTCGAGACAGTTTAATTCTGCTGATACTATTTCCCGGTGTCTAGATACGTATGTTCTCCCCAGACACCAGCCCAACAAACGCTATCCCGCGATATATCGTGCCGATGACCACCAGGACGCCCAAGTTTCTCCCCATCTGATCCAAGTCAAAGCCAACGAGCCTCGCTGCTAGGTCTGCATCGTAGATATATCGGAGTGGATTGACTAGCTGACCAAAGTAAATCTCGGCGAGCCACACGCCGGGACTTGCGCGCCATAGCCACTCCAAATGCCTGTACGTTTCAACTCGGTCAGCAACCCTAGTTGGTGGAAGGCAGGTAGGTAAGGGGCGCAAACAACAACAACTCCAAAAAGAACGAAGAAAAAAAGGAACTTACCAGCCCTTAACGGTATTCAACGACGGCGCGGTGCCCGACAGAATGCCCACAATCAGCGCCACCATGGTTGCCACCAACGGCGCGGCCTCCCGCCGGACCACCATGCTCACACAGCTGGCCAGCCCATAGATGCAATAAAAGTAAAACAGGTTCGTCACAAACGCCACGCCAAAGGGCACAATGGGCACGCTGAGCAGGAGCAGCGGCGCGGTGAAGTGCAGGCAGGCCAGCGCCATGCGCGGCAGCACGCTCACGTTCTTAGCCACAAAGTAGGCCAGCCGCGAGTGGCCGGCGCGGGCCTCGCGGCGGTGCAGCAGCATCTCCTCGGAGAAGAACCGCACCCCGGGCGCCGACGACACCAGCCCGATGGCAATGGCCGCCAGCAGCGCGATCTCGGGCGCCGACTCGACGTCCATGCTCACCGAGAGGATGTCGTAGGGCGGATGGTAGGGACCCAGGAAGAGCACGCCCTTCTTGGGGCTCTCGGCCAGTCCCAGCAGCAGGCCCGCCAGCGCGGCGAGCCCCAGCTCGAACACCAGGCTGGCCGGGTCGCGCTGCTGCTGCCGCAGCGCCCGGGAGAGGCAGAGCATGGTTTGCCGCGGCCGCGGCGCTCCCCGCTTGGCGAGGTGCTGCTGCATGGTCAGGAGGTCGCGGCGCGGGTCTGGTTGCTGAGTGATGCGCCGCGGGAAGACCACGCCCGGGAGGCCGCCGATCACGGAGTCGCGGAATGTGGTCATTTTGTTGCTGCAGATGGAGATGAAGCTGGCCCGCGGGAGGAGTGCAGGCTTGTTGTTGGTCGTGGTAGGTTTAGGGCTGGAGCTTCTTTCTTCCGGTGGGGGGTTGCTAGAGTCGATGTTGGTGCTGTCGATGTTGGTCTCGTCGTTGTTGCTGTCGTCCTGGCTGCGGTCCTCGGTGTCGCTGCTGCTTTTTTCATCCGGTATTGGGGGGCAGAGAGTCGGGGCCCGCGAAGGAGCCTCTGTGGTGGTGCCGCTCGACAGATCCCCAGCGCTCGGCATGGCTCGAACCGATGGATTGGGGTTCGCGTCGATGGTGCTGATGGCTGCTGAACTAGCGCCGTAGCTAGAGGCCCTCCAGTGCTTCACCAGCCGGTCTTTGGAGATGTCGCCTGTTCCCTTGTACGGTCGGCCGTTGCCCGTGATGATGTCGGTCACGATGTCGGCGGAATTGGCATATGGTGGGAAGCGGTAGCCGAGCTTCTCGAAGAAGGCGCGCACCTCGGTCCCTGGCCCTTCGTACAACTGCTGGCCGTTGGCCAGGAGGATGAGATCGTCGATCATATCGAAGATCTCCGCACGCGGCTGGTGGATTATGACAACGACAGTGATGCCCAGCCGCGTGATTGCCTTGAGCATGCCCATAATAGAGCTCGCGGCCGTGGAGTCGAGACCGGACGTCGGCTCGTCCAGGAAGATGGCCATCGGCGCGGCGGCCAGTTCCACGCCGATGCTGACGCGCTTGCGTTGACCGCCGCTGATGCTGAGCTTGCCGACACTCCCCACCATCGAGTCCTTGACGTGGGAGAGCTCGAGGCAGCGGACGACCGAGTCGACGTGAGCCCGGATGTCGTCGTCCCCCCACGCGCGCGGGAGGCGGATGCGGGCCGAGTGCAGTATGTTCTCGTACACCGTCAGGTCCGGCAGCACAATGTCGTCCTGTGGGACATGGCCGATCAGCTTCTTGTAGCGCTGGAGCTTGTCCGGCACGCCGTTGATGGTGATGTTGCCGCGCGCGCCCTCCACCCTGCCCATCAAGACATTGACAAAGGTCGACTTGCCCGCCCCTGAGCCGCCCATGATGGCAGTCAGGCGGCCGGCTCGGATGGAGCCGCTGATGTTTTGCAGGATCGGTTCATTGCCGCCTTTGGGCCGGCAACTGAGGTCGGAGTAGCCAAAGGAGAGACCACCAAAGTCCGCCGTTACGTCGGTCACCCTGCGCATTGACTCGACGAAGGCTCGGAGCTCGGACGAGGGACTGCTCTTGAGGGTGTCCTGGGTTGCGGCCTGGACGCCGCCGTCGCCGTGGCACACCCCTGCTTCCACGTCTGTCATCTCCGGGCCGTTCAAACTATCCGAAGTCTTGGGACGGTGTTCCTGCGTGCCCCTCGCTCTCACCGACTTGCGCCAGCGAAGCACGAGGAAGCCAATTAGCAGGAGAAGATCAAGTGCCGCCATGATGCTGATGGGTATGAGATAGCGCTGGTACATGGAACCTTCGGGACAGTAACTTCCGGTGGCACACGGTGTCGGTGTCACGGCTCCCTGCTGGCAATAGGAACCCTTGGGACACCGGAGCTTCTCCTTCCCTCCTGGTGGGCAGTAATATCCTGATTGGCAGATGACGGGCTCGAAGGGCCCCATGGCGACGATGCTATCATTGACGATGCATTGGAGGCTCCCGAGCCTGGCACCCTGACACTCGTTGAAGGGGGGGCAGTATTGAGGGAGTGAGTTGACAGTGTTGTTCGCGCCTGTGGAATGTAGGACAGCTTTTGGTAAGTAATTCCTACTAACTTCATTCGCATTAGGGACGTGTAGTACGCACACAAAAACCCCGGCAGACAGCCATTTGCCTGCCAATGTGACACGGTCTGGATTTGCAGCGGAACAGCACCGGCTCGCCAACACGGCGCTGCATCGACGGGCACTTCTCCTCGCTCAATCTGGCTCGCAGCCCGGTAAAAGGACGTCGAGAAGGCCGTGTGGTTCTCGCCGGTGCAGGCCCGGTCCCAGACGCTCAAGCTCTCGAGTCCAGGAACCAGCGACCCCGAGGCCGTGTCCCATTGCAGGGACGCGGACGTGTCGGGAGGGTTTGTTGCATCGTCGATGGATATCGGCCGTATGTCGGACACTTCACCCCTGTCGTCGTGCCTCGGCCGGAACCACTTTCCAGTCGTGGCCGTGCTTGCGCCCTCGATCCGGTTCCCGACGCATCGCCACAGGTATTCCGGCCTGCCATCGGGCGGTGATGGTCCCGGTGGAGCCTGACGCTGGCAGAGGCAAGCCTCAGTGTCGAGGAAACTTGGTCCCCCAGGCCGTCGCAGCGGAAGAAAGGGATCCTGCGGCAAATATTCGGTGCTGTTCGAGATTGATGCAGGGTCAGTCTCCCACAGTTTCGTAATATTGAAGCCGCTTTTCGTAATATTGAAGCCGCTTGGAGAAGCCATCATGCCGTCAGACAATATTCCTGCCTACGGACGGTGCCCTGTCACTTGACCCCGATGTTTCTGGTCCAATACATATACCAGTCGATATGGGCCATCTTAGGCATCCTAGAGGCGGGTTTGGGTCCCGCAGTTGAAGCGTAGTATGGCGCAGCGAGACAATGACCGTTCCCCCTAGGCTCCATCATCGGTTGGTGGTAGAAGGGCTCGACTTCCGGGCTCGGATCTTAGCTGCCTTGGCAGTCCTCGAATCCCCATCGTTCATGGCCGTCTCGGACAAGTTCCGATCTTGGTGCCAGGGTGTTACAAGGGTTCAAACCCGCGGATGAGCGAGCATCGGATCGGCAACCTAATCGGATGCCAAGGACGACGCCGCGACGATGCGGCGCAGAGCCAACCTATTCATAAATGTGGAAATTCTGCGCCTGTCTCACCGTGTCGACTTTACCATAACAGGGGTCTTGTCGTTGTTTCGTAACAGCGGCCATGCCAGAAGGATCATTGCCGGCGGATTGCCCCTTGTTTCTCTTCTCCAACGACGGCATATCCTAAAACAAGCTGCCTAAATCCCATGATAGGAACTTTTCCGATGAATTTCAGGAGGACCTTGTATGGTACATACCTGCCAGGAAAACGAAAGACGAAATTGAGGGGTCATCACCTAAATAAAAGAGAGGCCCATCCTCCCGGAAGAAGCGCAATCTTATTATTGCAGTATTTGGTGCCACACGGATACTGCGAAGACAACGGTCAACCAACTGCTGATGACGTGCATATTAGCCGCATCACTCGCTAAATACCAGAAAGGAGAATGCCTACAATGATAACGTAGCCGGCGAAGGGCGTGTCATCGACCGTAGCCCGTGTACAGAACCTGGTGTCGGATTTCTGACCTAGTCTTAGCTTGCATTCGCAGCCGTTGGTCTGGCGCCTTCAAAGTTGGACTTGCTGATATGGCCTACTTTTTAGGCTTCCTGGCGTTTGGTTCGAAATGGCGACTTTGATTTTCCGGAGAGGTGAGGCTCTGGTGAGGCAAGGCTCCCGAGGCCCTCTGACTTTGCTCGCATTATCTGGTCGAGAACACAGTGTTGGTTCAGAAGGGATCGGACCCCGAAAACCGCTCGGTTCTTCGGGTAGGGAACCACATCATCGACCGTTCTCCACTTCCATGTGTCTGTAACCCCACGCCCGGGAGAGTGCACCGTTTCCGGTATTGATCTTAGCCAGCTTCATGCTACAACGTGGTCGTTATGACCGAGCTTACTGGCCACAGCCTTCGCCCACCGGCCTGACTTCCAACTCAGTAAGACGAACAACCTCGAGGCTTCCTGGCCTTCTCAGACATTTGCGACCAGGTCGGTAAACCGCCTCTCATGGCTCAATGGCACAGTGCCCGGGTAGAAGCTCTTTGAGTCGATTGGAAAGAGATGGAACTCCGGCACAGGGGGCATGACCGTTCCAAGGTCATGGTCGCGTGATCTCCCGTCCGGTCGCCATAAGCCGACGAATTGGATGTGTCCGTCGTTGGTCGAAGTCGAAGGGAAGGAGCGATCAGCGAGGATGACCTGCCTCCACTGCAGCCACAAGGAATTGGAAGATGGCGGCTTCACGACAGTCGGGTAGTGGCTGCCTAATCTTCCAATCGCAACACTGACTTCAGCTCTGATGCTTCCATGTACTGCACCTTGTTTGAACTTCACACTTCGTAGCAACCAACCTCGTCCAGTTGCCGCCGGACCTTGTGGCTATGGTACCAACTCTAATCTTCTAAGCCAGCCTCCGTACCTGATTCCCGACGATGGGCACTCCGTACGATGGTTTGGACGATTTCGGTATGGCAAGTGTCCCTTCTATCCAGAGCTAGTGCTAACGTGCTCCAGACCGTGATGTCCTTGGCCACGACCTTACGGACTTCCAAATCCTGAACGACATCGCTAACTACCGGCAAATCCTTGAATATTTACCCTCTCCAAACCTCTCGCAACCCCCAACCACGTCCAGCAGATATGACAGCGGCCACGGGGCTAACCCCCCTTTGGACCGTTGTCTCGAGCTGGAACCACCGAATGAAGGGATGCTGCTCGAGGATGCCCAACCGATCCTCAACCCGAGTACCTTCTTCGAAGATCAGCCAGCTCCGTATGCCTTGGCCTCTAACAACGCATCACAAAACCGAGTGCCTCTCCTAAGCTCTGGTCAGCGAACAGGTTCTCCGCCATAGTAAGAAGACGATTTGCTGACTGGTTGATGATAGGCACACGTGGAGGCAGCAACCAAATCAGTCGATCATTCAAGCACACTCTCCAAAGCACAGGAAGTTCAAGTCCTACAGCAACACTGAGCGCCCGCAAACAGCAGAATTCAGCGACCTTTCCCTTTGGACTGGTCAGGCAGCAGAATGCGGCTACCTTTCCCTTTGACACAGTGCCAGCTCCGGCTCACTCTTCGCCAACCCGATCTCCCCCAGACAGTCAACGCTCGTCCCACCTATCAACTCCCGTCATTCATGGCATACCGCTCATCAGCCTACGCCAGGCCCTACCAGACAGATGTCGCGCGATCTTCCCTTACGAACTGCTCAACGCAGTGCAATCCAAGTGTTTCAATGTTGTCTACCGGACCAATGACAACCTCGTCGTATCTGCACCAACCGGCAGCGGCAAGACCGCCATCCTGGAGCTAGCAATTTGCAAGCTCGCTCTGGATCGAGGAAATGAAAACATCAAAATAGTCTACCAGGCGCCCACGAAGGCTCTTTGTTCGGAGAAAGCCCGCGACTGGGAGAAGAAGTTCATCCACATGAATCTGAGGTGCGCAGAACTGACTGGCGATACCTCACAAGCGGAAATGAGACGAGTTGGCGATGCTTCTATCATTGTCACTACCCCTGAAAAGTGGGACTCGATCACCCGGAAGTGGCATGACCACCGGAAGCTTCTGCAGATGGTGGAACTGTTCCTCATCGACGAAGCCCACATTCTCAAGGACGCCCGTGGGGCAACGCTCGAGGCCGTGGTGTCCCGGATGAAGACGATTGGGGCCAATGTCCGCTTTATTGCCCTCAGTGCTACTGTGCCCAATTCGGAGGACATCGCACGATGGTTGGGTCGGAACCACACAAATCAGCAACTGCCTGCCCACCGCGAAGTCTTCGGCGAGGAGTTCCGCCCAGTCAAGCTTCAGAAGTTCGTCTACGGATTTGGGTTCAGCAAGGGCAACGACTTCACGTTCGACAAATTTCTCGACCAGAAGCTTCCAGGGATTGTTTCTAAGCACACGCTTGGAAAGCCAGTTCTGGTCTTCTGCTTTACCCGGAAGTCCTGCGAGAATGCGGCGGCAGCGCTGGCGGAATTCGCGTCAGGCAGACCGGAAAGCGAGAATTTATGGCCTGTTCCTTCGAGTCAGGTGTTGGTTGTTAGCAAGGAGCTACAGGAGCTTGTCAAATACGGTGTAGCGTTTCACCATGCGGGTCTCGACGCTCAGGATCGGGCTGCTGTTGAACAGAACTTCTTGAAGGGCCAGTTGGGGGTCATATGCTGCACGTCAACCCTGGCAGTGGGCGTTAACCTGCCTTGCCACACTGTTGTTCTCAAGGGAACGGTGGGCTTCACCGACGAGAGACTGGTAGAGTATTCGGATCTCGAGGTGATGCAGATGCTCGGCCGCGCCGGCCGGCCGCAGTTCGATGACAGTGCAACCGCCATCATTCTGACCCGAGCCCCCAATAAGGAGCGCTACCAAAAGATGGTGTCTGGACGGGAGATTTTGGAGAGTACCCTGCACCTCAACTTGATTGAACACCTCAACTCTGAGATCTGTTTAGGAACCATCCTTGATCTGGCATCCGCGAAAAGATGGCTTGGCGGCACCTTCCTGAGTGTAAGGCTGAGAAGGAATCCAAACTACTACCAGCTCACTGGGAGGACGACGAATCCTGCTCGAATCGATGAGAGGCTGGAGGAGATATGCGAACGCGACATCAAGCAGCTACAGGATGCAAAGCTCGTCACTGGCCAGGACACGCTCCGAAGCACCGAATATGGACGTGCAATGTCCAAGTACATGGTTCAGTTCGACACCATGAAGCTGCTGTTGCGAATTCCCCGCGCTGTCGGGATGGAGGCTTTGGTACGCACCTCCTGCCTAACTCCTCGATCGTCTTTCGCCACCGTTAACTGGCTTGCTTAGATAACAATTCTTTCACAAGCAAACGAGTTCAATGAATTCCGTCTCAAGCAAGCGGAAAGGCCGCTCTTCCGCGAAATAAACCAGTCCCCTCTGATCATGTATCCGATCAAGGACCCGGTGACCCAGGCGAAACACAAGGTCTCGCTTATGATCCAGGCCCATGTCGGATGCGTGCAGTATCCCGACTCGAGCGAGGCGGCGAGGTTACGACGCCAGCTTGTGGTGGAGAGGCAACTGATTTTCGAAAGACTGAACCGACTCGTTCGCGCCGTCATTGACTGCAAAGGTCATGATCGTGATTCTGTCGGGACCAAGACCGCCCTTGAACTTGCAAGAGCGCTCGCAGCAGGATCCTGGGAGGGACGAGCTACACAGCTTACACAGGTTCCTCACATTGGACCCGTCGGAATGCGAAAGCTCGCAAGTAAGGGGATCCGCACGGTGCTGGAGCTTGCGGACAAGACCTGCGACGAAATCGAGCGGTTGATGTCGCGGGCGCCGCCTTATGGCAGGACCATGCTAAAGTCTCTCAACAACTTTCCGCGACTGGATATGGAACTGGCGATTGTGGGCTCAAATTTTGAACCGGGTTCGGATCAGCCAATTGTTCTTGCAGTGAAGGCGACACTCCGTTATCTGAACCGCAAAGGCCCGCCGGAATGGGTGAAGCGGATGCCGGCCCTAACCTTCCTTGCTGAAAATGTCAACGGCAACTTGCTGTACTTCTGGCGAGGAAGCATCAAAACGTTGTCCAAGGAGGGCGGCTACGATCTGATGTTCTCAGTTGGGCTGGAAGAATCCAGTGTGACCTCTCGCATGGCCCAGATCATCTGCCACCTCAGTTGCGAGGAGATCGTCGGAACGATCGTGTCAAAGACCCTCAAGCACACGCTGCCGAACCTGGTGGTGCCGTCCTTGGCGATTACGGCCGGTACGGGGCTCAGTACAGAATACAATAAAGAAGGTAGCCAACAAGCCAATGAAGAGGACTACCTTGATGACGACGACATTGATGATCTGGATATGATCATGGCTGCTGAGGAAGCATCGACAGGACCTTCCATGCACCGCACAAGGGAAGTGTCGCCCGAAGAGGAGACTGATGAGTACCCACCGCTCGAGGAGCTGCTTGTTGAGAAGCAAGTTACGGATGAGTTCGACACCCGCTTGGCATGTGTAGATGAGAAGGATAAGCTGCCTAACGGAAACTGGCGATGCCAGCATCGCTGTGCCGGAGGTGCTTTCGTTAAGGCAGGCAGACCATGTGAACACAGATGCTGCATAGAGGGTATCAAGAACCCGCCTAAGAAACAAAAAGCCAAGAGACGACGGGAGGAGCTCCAAGAAGATCAGTCTGATGCAAAGCAGATGAAAAGGCCGAGGGCTCGACAGCAGCAGGAAGGGCCCTTGATTCACGTTTTTGACTCCAAAAACAAGGCTCAGCAAGTTTTGACTCGACCGGCATTGACATTGGGTTCACCGTTCAGCAGCCCAGTCATGTCTCCGAAGACAGTGACACCTCCGACGAGAGTGACGCCTCCGAAAAAGGTGACGCCTCCGAAAAAGGTGGTGCCGCCGAAGAATGTGGAGAACATAGATCTCGATGGTATGGATCTGGAGTGCATCGATCTCACATTCCCAGATACGGATGAGGACGAACTCTGGGACCACGGGGGCCGACTTCATTCTGCGGAGGGGGGAGGGGGAGTGAGTAACGAGCCCGAGACCGCGGGCGTCTTGGACGCAGAAGATCCGGAAGCAAGCAGTCCACAGCAGGTAGGAGTTCCGCCCACGCAATCCATTCCCTCAGTGCAGCTCCATGGCCAAGAGTGCCCCACGTCGGATACGCCGCCTCTCGCCACTCAAGCAGGACGTTACGACCGGTATCTCGATCTTGACAGTATGTCGTTGCTCGAAGTGCTCTCACCGTTACCAGCGCCCACGCCCACCAGCGGAATTGACGTCTTCAGGTCAGGGGCGAGCGATGAGGTGCTCTCTCCAAAGACATCCGGAGAGTTTGATAGCGCTGGACTGGACAGTGTTCATGACACAAGCTCGGATACATCCTCCCCCGACCAGTCCTCTACGGCTCAAATCGTGACGTCCCCTGTAGGTGATGAAGGAAATGCGGCCAACGGACTAAGCCAAAGCCTGGAGAACCAGGGTTCCAATTGCGAGGAGCCAGCCTGGCTTGCTGAGTTTGACCAAGAGTTTGTTGACCTCTTCAGGGGTTATGTGACGTTTGTGTGAGTGTCCAGTCAGAATCGAGAGTTGCTATATTTGCCATGACCGGTAGTAAGGGTGTCAGGGGCCTATAAGTCGATGCGTGGATTTGCTCACAGCTTGCTACATTTTGCTCATGATGGTTTGGCTCATGTCGGGGGTGGGATTCGGAATCGACTGGTTCAGGGTGCATATTGTGAGGTTAAGCACAACCCATGACGTGTGCTGTTAAGTTTGCATGCGGATGTCTAAGGCTACTCCGTATTTAGTCTTGCAATCGAATCAACGGCTTTGATTGTCGTCTCCGAAGTCTTCGCGTCCGCATGACCCGCGCGCAAGGCAGAGATACTTGCGCAAAACATGCTCTCCCCCTCAACCTGATGATACTATTAGCAAATCCAAAGCCGCCACGGTCTTGCGAAATGACCGGATGTCATAGTATTTACAGACTGGATGTGTCGAGTTCGGCCCTATGTGTCTTACGAGGACCGTACAGGTATGCAGCAACTCATGCGTGGAGGGTGCTTTGAGAGTTTGGCGATGTGGCCTAGTCCCCTGAACCCCTTATAAGGGCCTGTGTCCATCCAACGGACCTGGCACTGGTTCTAGCCTCTTACCCAACCTCATGCCTAATCCTAGTACTGTGCTCAAGAGCATCCTGCAATTGCCCATCTAATATCCTGCTTACAGACCAATGGTCTTCACCGTGGCGCCGCCGGCACCCGACTCCAGCAACCGCTGTAGAATCTCAAGGTCCTTTAGTGCCTCAGAGGGTGTCTGCAGAGCATTGACCTTGCCGGCCTCGATTGCCTTGGCAAACGCAGCAACCTCTGCCTTGACACCGGAGCTGTAAGTGAACTCCTTCTTCTCCTCGACCTTTTCGCTGCTCCCATCGCCTTTCCCGGCCACCGTCTTCACCTCGGTCGGGTTCCAAGTCACCGCGCCATTCGTCGTGACGACCTCAACTTCCAGCAGGGACTTGAACTCGGTGCCGAATGATAGCCCAATAGTTCCACTCTTGCCGTTTTCCGTGACGGCCACAGCATGGACGGTGTCGACAGGGGCCAATTGCTGGTTCAGGAGTGCTGTGAAACCGGCTAGCTGCCTGATGTTTGCGCCCGTCGCACCGAGGAGGCATCGCAGGCCGGCGACGAAGTGGACGCCGCCATCGAGAAGGAAACCACCTTGATGCTCCGGAGTTTTCCGCCCTAAAACAGAAGTAAGGTAAGCCAGCCCACTGCAAACCCGTCTCATCGCAGCGAAAAAGGGACAAGGGCTCTCAAAACAAAGGGAATCACGCACATTCCGTGTTGAGGTACTTATTCTCGGGCCTGATGTAGGCATTCTGCTGCAACCGAAAGGTCACCAAGTCGCCCCCGATCTCCCGCACCCTCTGCGCCGCATACTGCAGCGACTCCATAAACCGGAAATTCTCGGCCACGCCCCAGAGCGGCCTTTTCTTCCCTTCCTCTGCGCCGGACCCGAACCCGAACCCTTCATACCACCGGATCAGCGCCTGCGCGCGGTCCACGTCGCCCGCGACGGGCTTCTCCGACAGCACGTGCTTGCCCGCCCGGATGGCGCGCTCCACCACGCCCGGCTGCTCCAGGATGGGCAGGACCACGTCGACGGCGGCGATGTCGTCGCGCGCGAGCAGGTCGGCGAGCGACCGGCCCGCGACCGCGGGGCTGTCATAGTAGATGGCGACCGAGACCGGGTCCTTGGAGAGCGCGGCCAGCGTCTCGGCCGATTGCTGCGAGCGCGAGTAGACTGCTTTGAGCGCTAGGCCCGGGTGGGCTTCTATCGCGGGGAGGTGCTCTGGAAAGCGGGTCAGCACCTTACTTTATCTGGAGACTGTGTCACTGTGTGTGTGTGTGTGACACTGATGAAAATGGGGGAGAGGGGAATGCGTGGGATCTCACCCTCGCGGGCAAAGATGCCTGCTCCAAGTAACGCGATGCCTGTCATGTTGATTCTTTTGATATGCGTCCTTGTTGGTTCCTGAAGAGTGGCTCAGCGATGAGTTTAGCTATGAGACTGGCTGTGAAAAGGTGTCGGAGGAGGTCAGCATTATGAAGCAATGCATGCGTTCATTGAGGTGGAGACCACCGGATAAAAGCCGTCGGCCAGCCAGAATCGGAATCGACGGAGTCAAAAGCTTGGAAGTGGCAACTCCGAACTATCGATCGGCAAAGTGGTGCCGAGGAGGTGGGGCGGAGTTGATGTCCCCAGAGTAGCGCAATTGCCATAATAAGGGGGTATGAAGACATATCAGAGAAACTGAGTCGTTAGGAATTCCTGGGCATGGCCTGTCACACATGTGTAGATAACTCTCATTCTCAATCTCAAGGCCGCCATGAAGGGAACACAATAACCTGTGCTGCGCTAAACCTCGACCCCTTTCCCAGCTCTGCGTGGAATCTAAAATTTGAAAGCAAACTCATCCACCAGTCGTACCACCTTCCGGGCAAGCCCGAAGCTGTGAATGTAGCCGCCAATCGTGCTGAAATCAGGCTCAAAGACCACAAGCTAGGCATGGTACTGGAAGTACCGGTACAGCAGGAACAGGGGCAGAAGACTGGGAAGCAGGCTCTCCATGTACATAAGGAACCAAGGTCCCCCAGAGTCCCAGACTCCCCAAGCAAGCAATACAACCTCTGTGACCCCCTAAGTACAACAAATCGTAGTGCCATAAGCATGAACGACTTTCTGCCGTTGGGCAACTCTTTCTCGACTCGAACTCCGACGGGCCTTAGGGGACGGATCCCCACCAGATGTTGGAGGATCTGGTACTCGCCGAAGCTAACGGACGGGCAGTCTTCCTCACATCGTCGGGAACCTCTTCGGTGGCTGTGATTCCATTCTTAACCGGTTACGAGATACCGCTAACAACAGCAGACCCGTCGCCGCGACCAAAGATAAACGTATACTCCCCAAGGCCACGTTAGACAAACGCGCCGCCATAGGTTGATCTGACCACGCTCACGCCATAGGTTGATCTGACCACGCTCACGTAGGTGCTGTCCATCGTCAGCTCCTCGTCACGCACATCCAGCATCGTCCGTGACACCAAACCAGACGCATCGATCAGGATGCCATGCCCGAAGGTCTTCAACTCCTCTAACGATTCCACCGTACTAATTCGCTGAAACCTGACCCCGGCATCCTCTAGTTTCTTCCTCACCCACGGGAGGAACACGCTAGGGTTGACCACCATGCTACCATCCTAAACCTCGAGCGGGACTCCTCCCTCACCCACCTCAAGCGCTTCGAGTTCCGGCAGTAGGCCCGCATACCAACAACACACGGCAGCTGCCTTGGGCGTAGACACGTCGATCAGCCGCACGCGACGCACGCCGCCCGCGGGATGCTCGATTGCTAATCGACGGAGATAGGCGAGTGCATCGAGTTGCATCTTCTGCTATGGAGAGGCCGGTAATGCTGTCAGGGATCGGTGGTGAGCAAACACCAAATGGGGTTGTTAGATTCTGGTCAGGGGAAATGGAAAGTCAGAGCCCAACACGTAGGAGGGAGGCCTACCCGACGCCAAAGATGGTGATCTTTGTCATTATGGTCGGTGCTTGTGTTGCTAATGGCGAGGTGCGTAGTACTAGTGGTTGCCCCCTGAAAAAGCCGGCTCATGTCACCCAGTGTTTGTGTAAATTGAAACCCTTTAACCTCTCTGCCCCCTTTGTCGATAAACTTCTTACTAGGCTCCCAGGCGTGATGGTGCTGCAGTAGCAATGGTAGCCAGCATAGACGGGCAAGACTTCCGAGACCCAACTCCGTCCTGTAGATTTCTGTCAGCATTTGGCGCCGTATACGAGGCAGGTTGCCCTTCTGAGACATAAATCCACCAGCCCGGTCACCGGTCCCACGAGGGAGTGTGGTGCTGGAACCCTTAGAGCTCCAGAGAAAGACCTGCGCTTGTGTCACGCCCTCCCGGTTTCTCATCCAGTCAAAGGAGATGCAGAACACACCCTCGTCGAGGTGAGTTGGAAAACACACCTGGGCCAGCATATACCGGCAACTCCGCTCCTTCGGTCCCAGCTCCACCGAGAATGGACATTTTTTCTTTGAGCCTCGGCGGCTTTGACGATCCCGACCCAGGACGGCGGAGACAAAGCCAAACCTGTCTCACCGAGGTGCTAGCGCAGCGCGCTATTGCTAGGCTGAGATGCTGGAATGTGATGGATTCGCCTAATTCCAAGTGATCGGGTCCTACAGTAACTAAAGATATTTGGAAATTTGCTTCCCTTCCCCTGTCTCGGCTGGTCTCGAACTTACGAGGGCGCCGCTGAAGCCATCACGCCTCGATCTTGGCTCTCGCTTGCTAGTTCTGCTTTCCGTGATATGTCATTTTTACTGCCGAGTACGCTCCTCCTCGAGCAACGTAAGCTAGTAGGTCAAAGAAAAGGGGAACGGGTAGCGGTCACGGATCTTCGAGCCAGCTCTGCCAGATGGATCAAGGCAATGGTGGCATCAGTGATTCTCCATGTGCTCGAGTAGGGAAGGAGTAGTCCAAGAGGATTCAAACCCTGCTGTGCAAGCCAAATCACGACCCCCACGCTTGGGTGCGTACCAGGACTAGAGGTACCTACGTACCTGTACAATACCGGTGGAGCCCAGGTTGTGAACCCCTGCTCTGCCCACGGGATCCCACCTCGGCCCGAAGCGATCGATCACTCGCGGCTGAGTCTGCCCCGCATTTTTCATCACATTCAACACATCCCCAGTGCATCACGAATCCCGGCAACCGGTAAGCCTTGATTGACACAAGAGTAAGCGATGATGCTGGGTGGTCTGATAAGTGAAACAGGGCGCCGATAGCTCGTCACCTAGGTATGCTCGACAGCGATTTCGCAGCAAAAGTGGGTAATCCAAGCGCATCCTTCGCCGGGTCATGTGAATGTCCAATCTTTTTCGGTTTGGTACATCGAACCCGATTACCCCTTACATACTGCGCACCCTTTCAGTGAAGATGACGGGCAACGGAGCCGAGACCGTCGTGAACGTGTCCTGCTTGCCGTCCAGGAACATCTCCCGGGTTTGGTCCGGCGCAATCGCCATATCATACCTGGACAGGATCTCAGCCACGACCCGCCGCATCTCCAGCATGGCCAAGCGTTTGCCGACGCAGCCGTACGGACCTTTTTGTTTTTTACCCGCGTGGGTCAATTATCAGCTCTACACCAACTAGTAAAGCAGAAAAACAGTTTGGCACCAAAACGAATCAACGATGGAACTTACCGGTGTTGAAGGGGATGTAGACCGACCGATCCTTGATCATCTCGGGCCTGGTAGTCCACCGCTCGGGCACAAACTCGGCCGCGCGCTCAAAGTTCCTCTCGTCGCGGAACACCGTGTAGCTCGGCACCTGCACGATGGTGTCTCCGGGGATATAGGCGCCACTGCTGCCGCCGCCAATGGCCAGCCCCTCCGGCGGGGTCACGCGCTGCGTGCCCGAAGGAACGGGCGGGTGCAGTCTGAGCGTCTCGTTGATGACCGCGTCGAGGAGTGCGACCGTCTGCAGGTTGTCGTGGTCCAGGCTGGGGAGGGCGTCGAATTCGGCCTGGAGACGCCTCACCAGCCCCGGCGGACTCCAGGCCAGCTCGAAGAAGAGATGCACCAGCGCGGCCACGACGCTGTCGCTGCCGGCGATGACGACCAGCTGGGCGTCGCCGTGCAGGTTGCGCCGGTCGCGGGCGGTCTGGGGCCCCTTCTCGTAGGCGCGCAGAATCGGCGAGAAGATGTCGGGCCGGTCGGGCTCCTGCCTGCGGCGCTCGTCGATCTGCTTCTGGATCCAGTCGTAGAAAGCGAGGTACTCGGCGTTGAGCAGGGGCGTGCGTTTCAGGAATGGCAGCAGCCAGGGGATGTGGCTGAAGAAGGCGATGTTCCACATGTCGGCGCGGATGGTCTTGAAGATGTACCCGTCTTGGCCGCTCTCGACCATGTGGGAGTTCTTGTTGAACGAGAGGTCCTCCATTATATCGAAGATCAGGTAGGCGAACCATTGGGCCAGGTCTAGTGGCTGGCCTTTCTCCCGCTCAATGACGGCGAGGAGCTGACTGATGGCTTTATTGATGCGCGGCTCGTAGCCTTGGAGAGCTGTTGCTGGCCAGAACAATGAGTTAGATTGGGCAAGCAAAGATGGGCAAGGGGACTTGGGGACTTGGGGGGTTGCCAGGCACAGCACCTTTGGTGGTGAATCCCTGATCCCAGACTTTGCGACGGCGGGCGTGCTCCTGCTTGTCGCGGGCCATGAACAAGGGCACCCGCGGTTCAAGAAGCGTGTACCAGGGGCCCTTGGTTGTGGGAGACTGGCTGCCGTAGATGGCCTTGACAGCTTCAGGGTCAGCAATGGAAAGCTCTCTCGGCCCTGAAAAGGAACGCGTGTTAGCGCCCGTCGATGGTCACAAGTTTGGGGGTTACTGAGAAAGGAGCCCACCAAGTCGAACGTAATCGCCATATTGCGCGTGCAGCTTCTGGACCTCTTCATAGAGGTGTAGCTTCCGCACTGACCGTGCCGTGATGTAGAAGGTGCTGAGCCGCGCAAGGAACGGGCCAGGGTACTCGGAGAGCCGGTGGAAGAAAGCTCGGTACACAAGCATGCTGCTGTACAACCCAACAACGTGGCAAGCGGCAAGCTGTGTAACCGACGAAAGCGAGATGTCAAGGTACGCATGTGAAAACAGTGCAGTAGCGGCGAAAAGCGTAACATAAGAAACGAAGATGGACGGGGATGCCACATCCCACTCCCCTTTCCGGAACAAGAAGAGGTGAATAACCACGCCGCTGGCGGCGGTCAGCAGAGCCATGGTGTGGGCGGACTCCATAACTCCGTGGCCTAGATGTTCCCTGAAGATGAAGTGGAAGTGTCCCGGAGGGTGAGGACTCGGGGTTATTCTTGGGCGGGAGGTTGAGAACGGTTGGGTTGAGTGAGGGGGTTCATCTTGAAGACTTTAAAACCCCGTCAACGGAGCTCCACGCCACGTTCCACTTTGGAGAAGACGTCTCGTTACAGCAGTGTAACAGTAGCAGGGACTATAGCCGGGAGGGGGTGTTGCACTCTCTCGCACACGCCCCACAATATTTCACGCCTCGAGGACGCGGGGTGCGCTGAGGGTAGATAGTTTGATCCTTCTCAAAAGATGGGCGTCGGGTCTAGATACTGCTAGCTCTGATGGCAAACTCCGCGGTTGGAGAAAATGTGAGATATGGCGTGGCAGAGCGCCACAGTAGAGGTACCTTACCTAGGATGACAGAGCGGCCCGAGCGGATCACAACGAAGCTGTTCTGCCCAACCCTACTAATCTATACCCTCTAGATCCAGCGACCATTACCAAAACTGCTCCCCAGGGAGTTGACGACTACGCGTGATGCATATCTACGCCCATCATGTTGGCACGTCAAGCTAGCCGCTGCAGTCAGCTCCCAGTCTATGCGACAGTTTACCGGTGATGTGGCGGGAGGATCTAGGCCGCTTGAGGAGGATCACCACTAGCCTTGAACCTATAGTCCGAGGGACAAGACGGATCTACTGAGAGACGAATTGCCAGTTGGTGATGTGCCCCATGCACACCGAGCATCTTGCTACAATCCAGAGGAAGAGAGCACATCCCTCGGCACTGACTGGCTAAAACCACCGATGGTCTGTCCGATAGCTTACATTACCTGTCAGTCGCCACTCGATATGGCTTGCGTTCTCCTTCTCATTCGGAATTAGCTTACGCAATCATCGTTGAGCATCCCAAGCGCTCAGTATACACATCAAACAATCATAGGCGTGGGAGCAACGGTGGCGGCATTGCAGCAGCATGGGCTGGAGCATCGCACCAGTCACAGGGCGGAAGGGGGCTTCTGATGCTCTCACATGGGGATGCCCTACTGGCGACTCATATAAGGAGGGCCAGAGATTGCACCTTTCCTTCCACTGCAAGATACGAACGCGAACAGGTCCTCAAACCCTTCTACACACTGACATTGAAGCCTCTGTTTAGCGGCATGAGCGTCGACCTTTGATTCAGTCCACCTGGGAAGCGGCATCCGGTAGGTCTGCCACGCGTGCTGGGTCTTGTTTTATCTTCTCTGATTGCTTTGGTTGCTCCGTTCTACTTGCTCGATCTATCCTCAACTCGATCCTCCTTCCGGAGTCCAGTCCCGCCATGGGCCCAACCCACAGCTTAAGGGAGTATGTCCGCTCGAGCGCTTGGCCAGAGAGAAGCAGCGTCCAGATCGCACTAAAGGACGGCCTTGAAATCACGGTAGGTCATGGATACCCCTGATATTGGCTCCATAAGCCCGCGATCCTAATCACACCCTGTCGGAAGCTCGATATCCCCAATTTCGGCGTGGTCGAGTGCACCCCTGTCAACCAGAACAGCGACGTTGACTCGTCCTTGACGCAAATTGCCTCGGCTCATGCTACCTTCAGGGCCGGAGTGTCCCTCAATGCCTCTTCCACTGCCGTCGAACCTCCCAACGCCGCTGATGGCGCCAAAGGAACCCCCAACGCTTGTCCTGTAAGCGACGGACTCTCCGAGATACGGCTTGCCGAAAGCTGTTTTGCCAAAGCGAACGTGATCAACTTGTTCTTCCCCGATATCAAGGACGTCGCGATCCGTGTCGCCTTCACGGCATGGCTCGCTTTCGCATGTGTCACGGACGACATTGGCGAGACGTTGGAGATGGAAGACCGACGGCTTGCTCTCCTCGAGTCCATTGAGATTCTAAAGTGCGGTAAGTCGCCTCTTCGGACACTGCCTTACGTAGCATAAGCCTGACCCCAAGGCAAGCTCCGAACGCCCCTGCACCGAGAACCGGGTCCGCGGCCCCGGAGACCAAGGACAAACGCATCCAGAACCGGATGCGGGTTTTGTACGACCACTGCACGCAGTATCTCCCTCCGAAGAGCGCCGAGGCCTTCTTCCACGCCGTCTGCGACACGCTGCAGGGTCAGGTGGAGGAAATCCACTTTCCACAACAAAACAGCGGCGCGGACAGCCTGGCGCTCTACATGAGCATCCGAGCCCGGACCATCAGCCTGAACCCCTTCTTCGCCGCCCTCAAGTCCGAGTACCTGACCGAGGCCGATCTGAGCTTCCGCGCCCACTGGGACGATCTGGAGAATGCGGTTTGCCGGGTGGCCGGCCTGCAGAACGACCTGATCGGGCTCGTCCGGGACCTCGAAGCCGTCGAGCAGCTGAACGCTGTCGTGGTGTTGATGCGCGGCTTTGGTACCGGAAAGACGGACGGCCTGTGCCGGTGTGTTGCCCTGGTCAACGCCGAGCACAACCGGGGTGTCACCCGTTGTCTTGAGGTTGTGGCCTGGCTTCGCCGCGCGGCGGAGGGTACGGCCGGCTCAAGCATTGAGAGGGTTGAGACCGTTGCTCGGTGCATTCTGATGCTGTGCGAGACACATCTGAGATGGTGTGCCTCGGCCAAGCGATACCGGCTGAAAGTTGGCCTCGGCGAAAGCGTCCCACAGTGCAGAGAGTCCGATATCAGAGCTGTATCCCGTCCGTTCCATGCCGGGTCTCTGTCGGACCCAGACTCCGGAGATCAGCTAGTTCACGCCCAGGGTGATGTACCCCAACAGCTGCCGGTGCAGTCCAGGGGCCACTTATACGGGCTCCCCACCTTCCCAAACACCCCCGACTACCGCAATCTTACAGCACTCGTCACCGGCGCCACCGGCCTGTCTGGCTACCACATGGTGAAGGTCTTGGCAGCATCACCGCAACGCTGGAGTAAGATCTACTGTCTGAGTTCTCGGCCACCACCGCCCAACTTCTTCGCAGATCTGGGCGAGGACGTCGGGCGTGTCGAACACTTGGTCGTGGACCTTTTGAACAACCCGTCACAGATCGCACAACAGCTGAAGGAGATTCAGCACGTGTAAGAGTCCAGCTCCTCTGCTGAAATTCGGTACTAGTACTTATATGCAAGAATCAGGGATCACATCTTCTACTTCTCATACAAGCAGCCGCCGCTCAAGGATGGTGTTTTTTGGGGGGGGGGGGGGGGGGGGGGGGACTTGTGGGCGAATGCAGACGAGTTAGCGACTGTCAATGGTGAACGTCGCCCCTTTTTCCAAGCCGCCACAACCTGCTAAACAGGGATGCAAACAGTTACCCTCTTCAACAACTTCCTCGACGCCCTCCGCCAAACCTCCCTTAAGCCCCGCCGCTTCATGCTGCAGACCGGCACCAAGCACTACGGCTTCTACCTCGGCCCCACGGTGCTCCCGGCCTACGAATGCGACCCCCGCGTCCAGCTGGACCGGATCTTCTACTATGAGCAAGAAGACGCTCTCGCAGCCTACTGCCAATCCATCTCGGGAGGAGAAGGAGGAGGGGCGGCATCATAGACCGTGGCTCGCCCATCGTACATCATCGGCGCCGTCCGCGACGGCGCCCTGAACCACCTGCTCGGTTTCGGCGTCTACGCCGCCGTGCAGGCACACCTGGGCCAGCCGATGGCCTTCCCCGGCGATTACCACTCCTGGGACCGCGAACAGGTCTAGAGCACGGGCACGTTGACCGCTTATTTTGAGGAGTGGCTCGTGTTGGCTGAGAGCACGGCCAACGAGGCCTTCAACATCCACAACGGTCTGTCGTTTACTTGGGGCCGTCTCTGGCCGATGTTGGCGGGCTGGTATAATGCCGGGTGGTGTCCGCCTGAGGAGGACGAGCGGAAGTATCGCGTTATGAAGCTGCGCTGTGCAATCACTCCGCGAGGGTATGTACAAGTACAATACACCCCAATCCCATCCAACATCTTCCTCACTTCCCTCCCTTTCCACCACACCTTGACTTAACAACTGAACTGAACTGAACTCAATCCTAACACAAACTGTTCTACTGAGGAGATACGGCCCACAAACAACCCTCCGCTCGACCTTCACCATAGTCGAGTGGTCGCAGCAGGCACACATCCAGGAAGCCTGGCAAAGACTTGCCGCATAGCAGAGTCTGTTCCTGAATCCCTTCGACGAGCGTTACCACACCCGCATCTTCGCCTTCTCGAACTCGGCCGTCGTCGGCGACGCGCCTATTACCACCAGCGTACGTAAGGCGCGCCAATATAGCTTCTTTGGCATAGTCGATTCGTATCGGTCCGTCTTTAAGGCGTTGTATAAGCTGTATATAGTTCTACCATTCTGCCACTCATTCAGATAGCTAGCTTCCTCAGTGAGCAATTACAAGCAATAGCCTATACCTATTATGCAGATATTGCGACAAGCATTGTTGTGAACCTTTTGGCTTCACCGAGACCTATAGTCCGACCAGCAGTTACCTTCGACCGGCGAACCCTTTTAGAGGCAGGACTGCCTGTGGTTTCGTCACACTCTATTCTTCGCCAACTTTAGATTATAAAGCAGATTTACGCCAGGGACCGGATATTGCGGTATCAAGGGCAAAGGTCAAGGTAGAAAAAATACATACGCTATATATAATACTAAAGGAAGAACTCGAGTTCGTCAGACTTAGGATAAAGGAGTACTATAATAAGCATCGGCTTAAGAGACCTCGCCTTAAGAGAGGAGATATAGTCTACCTTATTTCTCGGAATCTAAGAACGAAACGGCTAAGCTAGAAACTCGACTTTAGAAAGATTAGACTGTTCAAAATCGACGCAAGAATTTCGATATCCAACTACCGACTTTCATTACTATTAACAATAAAGCTATATACTAACGTCTTCTATATCTTGCTCCTTGAACTAGCACCTAGGAATATATAGCTTATAAAGGACATTAAAGCCAAGGATAAAGAAGAAGAATAGGACATTAAGGAGATCCTGAATTTATAAGTAGCTAATAGAAGGCTAGAATACTTGATCAAATGGCTCGACTTTAGGCCGGAAGATAATTTATAGGAACCAGCAGAACATCTCAACTATATAGAAAAACTAAAAGAATTCCACCGGCAGAACCCAGACCGACCAGAAGAGAAGCATAAAAATCTCCGGCCGGGTTACGTCACCCTATAGTAACGCAACCTATATAGAGAAGAAGCTCAGAGGGATTCGAACCTATAATCTCCTAGAGCATTCACTCGGATATAATAACCAAGCTATACCACTAAGCCATTTCATTTGTTAGGAAACGGACAACAAGAACCAGATTAAGAACCTTAGGAAGGAAAGAGCAGCTGTAGGCAATAGCGTTATAGATACTATACGCATAGTAGGCGCAACCGAGACCTAGCTACCACTGACTACGAACCTATGTTACTCCGAGCTTCGTCAACAACGGGCGGAGAATCTCTAGACTATAGAAGCGCATTAAAATCAAGGGACCTTGTCGAAACACCAGAACTATAAGGAACAACCCCAATGGCCTCCCAGTCAACCATACCAAAGGCACCTAAGGCCTATGCCTGACTAACAAGTTGCTATTCCTCCGACATCGGTTCTAGGGAAAGAGGCCTATCCTCTTCTAAACCTTCTAGTCCATGAGCTAACAACGACAAGCCTATCTCTGCTAGGCGTTAGCGCTGCTGTCGAAGATAGGAAAGACGTCTTAACGCCTTGGCAAGCTAACGCTTAGCATCTACAATCGCTTTATCAATCTTATCGCGGGCCGATAAGTTTGCCACTACTATTCTATTAGGAAGGGCCTAGCAAGCATAGATAAAGGGGTATCTATAAGTATTTATAACGCTAGGACTACTGTACTTCTTCCCTATACGAATATAAGAGGAACACTTGTTGGAACCAGGCATTATAATATAATACCTATAACGTAGGTGTATAGCGAAAGTTACATACATGCGAAAGTTACACTAAACTACACCCTCTCAACTAAATCTGTATTAATTCCACCCAACCACCTCAAAACAAATGAAACTACTCGGAATCGTCTTCCTCCGACATTTCCACAACTATCTGACAGGTACGCGCATTGTGGCCTGGTTCACCGCAGTTGCTATAACGCCGCGCACGCGTCTCAATCCTCGGCTTCCGACCGCTACCCGCCTGCGTTTCCTCCTTTATCTGCACCTCAACCTCTCTCTGACCCTCTAGATCCTGTGCATCCTGTATAGAAAGCGATCCTCCTTGCCGCAGCTGCTGTTTTTTAGCTCTCCGGCGTTTACTTAGCGCCTCATTTGCAGCTCGGAGGCTCTGATTCTCTGCCTGCAATAATGCCAACTGATATATGACCTTAGATGTCCCTTTTGCAAACATATCAACCGCCCTCAAAATCTCGGTTGGAGAGCTATTTTGATGCCGGGCAATTCGATTCTTGATAAGGGTGGACTACGAGGAGGCTTCTATTAGGTTATTTGGGGTCTTGGAAACCCAGGTATAGGTACTGCCAGGCCACAAGTTCGAGGGCGTTGGCGTATTTAGACGGATATCGAGCTACGAGATTACTCTCTCGGGATTAAAAGGAGCAAGTCCAGCACCTTAAAAACCTCCTTGAATGTTTTTAGGGGTTAGGGCGGCTTAGAAAGCAGCGTAGAACGCGGGAAAGAAGTCCTCCTTAGTAATATAAGTTATACTTGCCTATATTAACCCCTCGATTTGCTTGCCATATGCTATCTTAAACGGGCTAAAACACCTAATATCGAGCGGCTGGAGGATATAAGACGAGTAGGGAGGTATATAGAGCGTAATAATATTGTTCTCCTTACAATAGAGTTCGAAGTCGGTCGAATGGTGGCTATCGTGGCCGTCGAGGACAAGGAGGCGATAAACCCTAACTATTCGAGCTTTAGTATACCTATTGAAATACTAGATCTATTCTAGACCTCTCTCGTTGGTTGTCCAACCGTTTTCGGAAGTTGCGATGACCTAGTCCTTAGGCAATAGGCTGTTTTTATACCAAGAGGAGAGGTAATGCTTGCCCTTAACGATAATAAACGGCGGGATTGCCTAGCCAGTAGTATTGACGCCCTAGATTACTATTGCCCACTCGCGGTTGCCAGGCTATTTTGACTTTGCCCTCCTACGCCGTTCGGAGCTTATAATAACTATTATAGTCGAGATAACGCCTATCTGAAACCCGGTCTCGTCAAAGTTATAGATATCCCCCTCCTAGATACCGTACTTCGCGATTGTATTCCGTACAAGCGCAAATCAACCGCAAATGATCTCTGGATCTTCGTATCGGGCCCTCTAGTAGTTATATTTCCGATTAAAACGCATGGTAAGCTCTAGGTAGCGTTTAACGAAGGTTGAAGCCCAACGCGTTCTAACGCATCCTACATCGCGTTCGGCAAGCAGTCGATTGGCCATATCTTCTATACCAGACAAGCGGGGAGGAAATCCTTTGGCGTCTAGGTCGAGGATATATTGAACAATGACAGATTCCTCTAAATTGGTCAATTTCCGAGAGTTGGCTTAAATGTCGCGTCGTGACTGCTGACCGCGTCGACGGCGGCTTAGCTTTATTGGGTCCACAGAAAAGATCCGAGCTGCAGCTCTAAGACTTAATTTAGGATCATTCTCAAGAGCCTAGAGGGCCAAGATAATTTGGCTTTCGTCATTTTTCTGAGGCATGTTAGGTTGTGGAGGAAGTGGGTGTAGAAGTGAAATATCGCATTGGTATGGTTTAGTGTAACTTTCGCATGTATGTAACTTTCGCTATACACCTACGTTATGGCTTTATATTCTAATAACATTTGTAAGATATATCGGACTCCTCGCTATTACGCTCAATTGCTATCATAATAATACAGTGTTTAAAGGCACGGTTTCAATAGGGCCTAGCCGCCACTATATTAGCTATAGCAATAGTAAAGGAGGAAGAATGACAACTCCCTAGGGAACTAAATCAAGGGGGTAGTTAGCGTTAAAAGGAAATATAACGATAGCCAAGGTCTTTCAGGGCGAAAGATGTCAAGGAGGGGCATCGTATTACGAACCAACTATATAACCCGACCTAGTAGGGCTATATAGGTGATAGGGTTACTAATTAGGAAGCATAAGGCAGCAAGATGCCCTATATAGACGCCGACGGACGACAGCGTCCAAGAGCGTCCATATATACGCCCGAGGACGCTAGCGAGCAGCAGCGACCATAGACGCTCGAGGACGACGGCGAGCGCAGGCGTCTATAGAAAAATAGCTAGTATATAGTCATTTGTTATAGAGGGCTTTAGGAGTCCTCTAATAAGCAATATAAGCAATAACCTCTACCTATTGTATAACGTACATGATAAGCGAGCGACGCAGATAAGCGAGCGACGCACTTTCTACTACCCTATAGCAACTATCCTCAATTATAATATAACAACGCTAGCAACCAACTACAATTACATCAGAAATAGATGAATCAGATGATTCTACAGCCTCCTGGCAAGTGCGAGCATTATGGCCAGGCCTGCCGCATACCCCACAGCATCGAACCTTCGTACGAGCCCCCCCTGAACCGCTACCATCCGGCTGCGTTTCCTGCACTGCCTCCCCACCTACGGCGTTCTGATCTAGTAGATCCTTTGCATCTTGCATAGTAAGTGAACCTCCAAGCTGCACACGTGTTTTCTTGGCACGCCGGCGCTTGCTTAGTGCCTCATTGGCCTTGCGAAGCGAAGAGACCTCTGACCGAAGGAGGGCCACCTGGTGCATTACAGCCATCGTACCCTTGGCAAGCTGGTCTATAGCATCCAACATTGAAGTTGGGGAGCTATTTTGATGGTTCGCAATGCGAGTCTTGATGAGCGTTGACTATACGTTGGCTTCTCGTGGGTTATATGGTGTCTGGAAGACCTAGGGTTGCGCAGTGCTGGGCCGTGAGGTTGGGGGTGTTGGTGTACGAAGCTTTATATCTAGCTTAGAAAGCACCCGCTCTAGGTCGTATGGCATAAGGCCAGTCCCTGCAAAGCCACCCTGTACGTTCTTCTCTGTTATAGAAGCAAAGAAGGCTTCTCGGAAGGCATAGAGGAACTCAAGCTTGCTGATGTGGTTGATATGCATGTGCATTAAGCCCTTGATCTGGCGACCGTATGCCTGCTTAAGT